GGGTGTGTTGACCAGTGGTCAGTTTACAACCAAATACGTTTGTTATGTTTTCAGAACTCCACAATGCACAAAAACCCTTTTTTTTGTCCTGTCTGGTGAAAGATTACAATACTGGGCTTTGTTAGCTGTATAATTCTTTCAGTGTGTCATAATCAGATTTGGCTCAGTGTGTTTTGTGTTTATTCCCATATAGTGATTTTTGTTTATGCGAATGATTAGATGGGAATATGAAGTAAAAGTCAGCAAACACTGCTAATCTTGGAAGAGCAATTAGACATAATGGATGAATTGGAGTTTCTTCTATGAAAGCTGTCAATATGAATGTAATGTGATCCTTTCTCCTTTAATAAGCTGTTTCTGGAGTTTTGAGTTGATGACTTATACATCAAATTCTTGATCCTAATTGGATTTTTTTCTATGGCATCAGTCCTGCAAACAGACATAGAAACTCATATTTTTGAGGGAGAAGAGTGGTACTGGCACAGCCAGAGGGTCTATTTTTCCGTTTCCTTTCAAACCCAATCCGTCAGGAACCATGGGAGGTTCTGGCAAGTGCTTCCAGCTTTTGTTGCTCTGATTTGCAGTCAGATGCTCTTCCCTCTCTAAAATATGGGCTCCTTTTGATGACTTTTATCTCCACAGTAGATGTTACGTTTGATGACGAGTACAGTGCTTATGTGGATCAAAATTGTGCTCGGGGTAAATAATGAGGAACTGTGTTTCTTTAGAACTGCCTCAGATGAGTTTATGTATGTGTTCGGGAGTGGTACTGATGAAGGAAGAGTTTAAGAATACAGTTCACTTGTGACATTGTGGTCCGTCCTGATATCATTGTGTTCCTTTCAAGAAAGATTCTTGGCACCAGGGATGTGGGAGGTGGGGTGCTTTAGTGCCTGTTATTTTCTTTTTATCTGCAAGACAATAACAATAGTACTAATAATGGCCCAGTTTCTAAAAGCGTCTTAATATTAATATCCTCTTAACTGGTAGAGAGAGTGTTTATTGTGATGCTTGCTTGTTTTTAATATTGTTTTTTGTGCTAAGATGCTTTTGGGAAACCTAGGCAATAATAGTAATAATAATAAAATAAAAAATAACGTTCAGGCTAATGAAGTGTTTAATTAAGTATTGTAAGAATATGTTGAGCACAGTGTAGGCCTGACACAACCTGTAACATTCATTCTTGACATTTATGGCTGGATCTTTATTGCAGTGAGACAAATGGAATATCTTGGCAGCTGTTGGCTGCTGTGGGGGCGTCACTAAAATGCTAGCAGGTTTCCCTGACCAGAGTAAAACTGCAGATTCGTAGGCTTGTTCTGTGACATGTAAAACGCAGGTGACGACAGACCTTCTGTTATTTTTAACAGTTTCAACCTAATTTTCTGCCAAAAGGTTGTACTTTTTAACCTTTGTAATTATTTCCCAGTTTCATGTGTTAAATCCTTTGTCAGCGTGTAGTGGTGTAGCTTAAATATGAGTGTGGCATGATGAAATACGTACTGCACTGGATTTCAACATTCTGATTGGTTGCCATCATTAGTGATGTGCATGGGTACTCGAGTACTTAATTAACCATTAAAGGTGCCAGTTCTCAAACACTGAAATCACTATTTGAGTACTCATTCAGTTTCAGCACATGGAGATGGATAAAATACCTAAACTAACAATTCAGTAAACATTAAAATATTTGTGAGTAAGTACATGTATTACACTTTACCACTCCAAAAGTGCATTATTGCTAACGAGGCTAGCTACTCTAGCTGATGTTAGGTCGGTCCAGAAACAGTTGAAATATTTTTCTCCATCAGATTAATGTTAGTCATCTACTGAGGACAAAAGCCTTTGTGTAAGAAGATGAGTTCTCATCAGCATCCAGCGTTGTACCAGTTAGCTGTAGTTTTACCTCACGTCAGAAGAGGCAGTCCCCATTACTAATTCAACACGAAAACTACCATTTCCTTCTCCTTTTTTGAATATTAAAACGTTTTCAAATGTATTTCTCTGCTTGCTGCTAAATTATTGTGCTACTGATTTGTTTAGCCTCTTAACACCCATGCTTTCACCTAAAAGAGTAGCCTCCAGTGCCAGCTCTACATTAATTTCATCTGAAGTACTTGTTATTAGTTTTCTTCCCCTTCCTTGCAGTTAACCGGATATCCGTTTGTTAACTCTTCTGGGTACTCCAATATCAAAATTGTCAGAATGCACATCCCTACTTTTCGTTGTATTATGTGTTATATCACTTACATTGTCAACATCAAAAGGCAAGTTACATTGTGTTTGAGGTGATTTATTAAAAATTGTAAAGGGAAAAAAACTGTTTGGCACAGTGTTTAGCATGATGTCACAGTGTACATCACGTGTATGCCGCCAAAAGTTTCAGTGCCCCCAAAACTTAAAACGGCTTCCCTCATTCCCACTTGGCTCTGTACAAAGTGAAGCTATGATAACCTAGATTCTTTCATGTGGATATTTCTAGAAGAAAGTTATAAAGCAAGAATATGAGACCCACATGTGCATACCCTAAGGGCCAGAACCCACACTTCAGTAGCTCTGCGTAGGCCAGTGCCTTTATTTTCTTTGTTTTTCCCCACTCTAACCACCTCATATTGCAGCACTACCATTTACTAAAACCATCTTTCATATGCTGTATGTATTTCTAAGCATTAAGCCATGGATTTAAATGGGGCATACCATGATTACTGTTAAGAGCATATAATTGCATGTTTTCTAAACAACAACAGGCAATGTAAATTGAGTCTAGAGAAGCTTCTCAGTGCTCTGTTTGGGCCTGTTTTTTTTACTGTTTTACTGGTTTGTAGCTTTTAAATGGCACTGTGGCAGTGAGAGCTGTGTTTAGAGACAGTTGTCCCTAGTGCTGTGTCACACCACTGAATCAATATTATGTTTCCTGACCTAGCTTCACTCTTGTTTACACAGCATTAGCTAGCCATGTGCTTATGTAGCAGGAAGTTATGTGTGCTGTGCCCCCCTGTCCTTTCCTTTAACACAAACAGATGCACAGCCTAACACTTTCAAACACATTGTACTCTCTCTGTCATTCCCACACCTACACGGTACACATAGGCTATATACATTTCCATTTCCACATGTAAACACAGTCACTGTCTTAGGCTGCACTCAGAGGCTAATTAAGGTGAGGACCTTTCTCATATTGCTGTGGAGCTGTAAGACCAGAACAGCACTTGGCTCACTGTGCCCCTCTCACACACACATTCACACACTTTGGAGCACTGCAATTGTGGAAGGACATCCGAAAGTTACACAGATTATCTCCTGATTCTGACCTCTGTCATGGGATCGCTGAACTCTAACGCATAAACACAGACATTTGACCTCATCTGCATCATGAGATGCAGATTAAGCAGTGTTGAATAAACATCTACATTGCTGTCCTTCAGAGCAGGTGGCGAATGTTGAAGACGAATGTGCTCCACTTTTAGTTGTCCACACCTCACCATTTAGACTCTACATCCCTGATCTTAAGGGAAGTTCCCATTTTTCTCTGTATGTGACTCACTGAAGGTTCAGAAACAGGACGTCTAGTAGCCATCAAATACTGGCTAGGGGGCATTGTCACACATCCAAACAGCTTCCTCTCTCCTGAGTGTCTGATTACACTTTTTTTCAGGGAGATACAAACCTCAGATGAACAGAATATTTATCCAAAGAGTTACGTAAACAGACACCCCCACATTCCCACTGCATCACGTAACCTATACACACCTGCATGGAAATGATCTGTAGCAGTGGTTCTCAGCTGGTCTTGCCTCATGACCCATGTTTGGTTATCAAAATGGAAATTGCTCAAACATGCCTATGAGAAAAGTGATCGCTTGAGTAATAGTTCCGATTGGGAAAAAAAGAAATAATAATAATAATAGTAAAATAAACAAAATTTCCTTATTAATAGGTAATAGAGAAGTTTAGGAAGCCAACGGTACACACATTGAGATGTACATGAAAGAAGAGATAGAAACATGTCAAACACCTTTTTTACTGATGAGCAAAATTGACAGCAGTGTTTTGCAGGGAATGACTTTTGACGGATACAAATAACACAATTTTTAACACATTTTCATTTTATGTTTTGCAGTTTAAGCAGAAAGTCAATGGAAACTTAGCTAGTGACAGGTCTCAGAGAGTTATATAAGCAGGATATCCCAGATGCTTTCCAAAATAAAAGCACGCTGTCGAAAGTTCTATAAAAAATTTGGCTTTTTCATTGAGAAGAAAAAGGGTGAGGAGGAAAAGCATGTTGCATCTAGGGATTAGGTGAAGACGACAGCAGGAGCAGTTAGTTCTGATATGAGTTGATCAGATTTCACTGAGGTAAATGAATTGGAATCCCAAGAGTGTGGAGTTCCCTTCTCTGGTGTGAGATGCAGCTGAATCTTAGAAATTAAACCCAGTCCTTCCAGCTGGCTGAAGAGAACATTACTTTTTTCAATCCACGAAGTAGAAACAACTATTCATATTCCTTAATGATGAAGATTTATCATGTTTGCAGTACAAATGGTGAAAGGTTGTCATTCCCTGACCAGGCAGTTGACAAATGATGGTCATGGTGTTAGGTAGTGAAAGCTGTAGGGCTATGATGAATTGCTAATAAGCATCATGTGCAGCCCCCCTGTGTGCTCCATGTGTCCTGCAGTTTTGCTTCAATTACAGGTGTCCTTTAGCACTGTGGCTGGCAGCTGGAGGTGAGGGAGCACCTCTCTTCCAAGCGGAAATTGAAAATGGATGTGTGATACATAATTGATGGATTTAATCCCAGCTCAGAGGGAACACCTTTGCTGTGACAGTGTTTGTGAAGCTCAGAGTCTGTATGGTTCTAAACGACTACAAATAGACTGAAGACCTCATCCCACCCTTCTTTCTTTTTCTCTCACTTTCTCTGTCCCATGGGGGCAGCTTAAATGCTAGGCATCATAACTTGATTTCCTTAATTTTTATTTGTGTCTTTTTTATTCCAGATAACCACCCTGATAAATCACAAAGACAAGCTAAAGAAGTCAGAAAAGACCTTGCGGGCTATCCAGAAGGTTGGCCAGGCGGTCAGTGTTGCCGTGGGCCGCTTCGTGGCCGTGGGAGAGGCCATCGCACTGGAGAATGAAGAACTGAAGGAAGAGATGAGCCACGCTTGCTTTGAGGCACGGAAAGCAGGTCTGTAAACCTGATATTTGTGACTTGAGATGTTTGTCAATCCAAATGAATTCTTTCTGAATGCAGCTTGTGAATTTTTGGCAGAAAGAGATAAAAAACAGATTAAATAGGCCTACAACAAAGATCTAACAGTTTATAAACTGGTTTAATAGTAACAATTAGAAAAAGTGAAAACAATGAAAAACAGTGTGAAACTATTTCACAGCTTCTGCAAGGAACATTAGATAAGTGATTTGAAATCTTGCCTAGTGTCAAGATGGGATACAACACTGAGAACGTCTCCATTAAAGGTTTAATACCTCTTGAAAAAATGACATCCTATACAGGAAAACAGAAGCAAAAAGGAATTCATCAACAACAGCGCCACAGTGCAAAGTATAACTGAAAAATAATGGAATTCATTACCTTGGATGACCAACTGTTCTCTGTTGTTGAGGACATTGTACTATAGCCTACATACTATAGCAATTTCAGTAAGGTTTTTTTTTATGTAAAATTTTTTAATTTCCTCTCATCTTTTGTAGGTTTTTGGTTTTGGTTTCAGTCGAATCTGTCCTGTATTTTTGCTTTGGTTAAGAATATTTATTGCGGTGCATCTTTTAGGCAACTAATCTTCCGAGTTTTAAAGCCCCAGAGAACCTAAATCCATGTTTTTTAATAGTAGATTAATCTTGGGCACACAAAATATGTACAAAGTATGTCCTGTGAATAACTTTACAGTTGCTATTCAGTGACAGATGTATTTTGATAAAATTCTCCTCTTTGTAAACTCGGCAGTCCTAATCTTGGTCATACATACATAAGCAATATCCTCACCAATCACAAGGCTAATGTGATTAGTCCTGCCCACACAGCCTCAACAAAACTATGTTTCCGTACAGTCTTTTTTTCTCTATTCGAGTTGGAGAAAATTGTTAAAAGAAAGTTAACAATGGGCAAAAGCTATCTTAGCGAGCGTAACTGACTTATAAAGCTAGCTCATCTGTCCATCTCTGTCTGACTGCTGGTTTGTTTTATCCGCCCATGCTAGCATTCCCTGAATGGACATCCAACAGTAAAATGAATAAGAACTTTACCATCTTTAAGACATTACCATATAAACCCAGATGATTTTTTTAGTGAGTCACGAGCACAGCGGGGTCGACAACACCACCTGCATATATAGAGCTAATTTCACTCATTTTTCCACTGCTCACGTTTTTCCATGTTTTTCCTGATCGTTAATGTGATTGGATTCAAATGTTTACATGGTGATTATTCTTCCATTTTTATTCTGCCTCTTTTGATCCGATAGAAATACTCTATTGTAATTTAGGTGTTTATATGAAGTTTTTTTTTCTGATCGACCTAGAAGTCTGGTTATTTTAGAATTATTAGACTACATGTAAATGTCAAACCAAAAGTGTAAACACCATATCAGCCATTTAAGAGTTCAAGAAACATTTTAATGTGTGCAATTTGTGTAAAGTGGAGTGACATGCAGAGAACTGGGGTGATTGCATCGTGGCTCTCTCAGATGCACAGAAAGAGGCTATTAACAGAAGTACTAGTGTGAATACTCAGTGGTTTTCTAGACCTTTTTGTATGTAATTGTGCCTGCCTGAGAAAGAGAGAGTGGGGTAACTTTTCCCATTGTGTGAGGTGAGATCTCTACCCTTCTCTCAGCCCTAAAGAGCAACACTAAAAATACCCCTTAAACACTCCATATCTTCATATGTGTCATTCCATTAATGCCTCACTCAGAGAGTAACACACATAGCAGGGCTTTTTTTTCCAGTGAAGCCAATTGGATAGTTAGTGGGCATTCAGTTTGTCTTGTAGAATTTAATGATTATAAAAGTATTCATATAGTAATTTACTGTGTGCAAAAAAATGTTACTAAATAATTCAGATTTATATAACTGTTCCACAGTGTTCATTTTTTTGTAATTAGGCCACCGACCAAAGAATGAGAGGCTTATTTAGTCCTCTGCAAACGAAGCCAGCTCCTGGCAAAAATAGAAGCTAATTAAATGAATTTTTGTGCATTTGACAAGGCATACAGTAATGGTGGAAGGGAGCATTCTAATGTGTGTTTTATATAAAATATAAAATGACCAAACAAACTCCTTAAAATCTCACAAACTCCTTCAAAATGGCCCTTTCCCTCTGTCTGACTGTTCTCTTCTCAGTTGATGGTAATCCTGATCCTCAGTGATGATAGCTTACAGTAAATGTAGAGGGCTGCAGGCTGATGGTCTCCACTTCTGTACCTCCCAGTGAGAGAGACCTGCCACAGCACTGGGATTAGAGTGGCTTTAGCGTTCGCCAGCCCACTCCCCACAGCGCTGAGACACGCAGCCATGCGGCTAATCCTGCTGCTCATTCCCCTGCCTGTTCACACGAAATGGGCAAAAGTTTCACACTAAGCCTGGTGGAACAGGTGGAAAAAGTCTCTGAGGTCCCTCTTAGGGGAAATAGTGAGAAATTAGTGGTTTTGTTGGACAGGATAAAAGCTCTGCAATAGTGCTGTATCTGAAAGGGACTAGGCCAACAGGTCAGAAGTACTGACCGTTTTGTGCAGCCGTGAGTGGGAGTACATGCCTCAACGCCAGGGGATGAAAAGATGGATAGGTACACTTGATTTTAGAAGAATGAGCAGATGTCTTCTACAAATTTTAGGCCTAGATAGGTGTGTAGATAGATGGATTTAGACAGAGTGCGCATTCGTAAAAGCTGTTATTAGAGTACATTGCAAGAAGCAGTATGCATTAAGGCAGTTGTTAAAGGAATTTTAAAAATGTGCAAGGTGAAGATACAAATTTTGGCAAAATCTTGTGACTGATAACCGACTGACATTAGTCATTTAATCGTTAATTAGGTGATTAATCGTTATTATTATGTTAAGTTAATTAATTATGTAAGTTTTATTTAAGTTCAAATGAACATAAATGCCATGACTGGGGCTAGAATGTTTTTTTAACTGACAGCATTTGTTTATTTGATGACTAGTGGGTTAGTTGTTTTTATCTATAGTGCAAGTGAATATTATCAAAGGCCTTAGAGGAAAGTCTGTTCACTCAGAGACAAGCTTGGCAACAGACATGAGCAGTTACTTCCTTTGATAAAAGATCCTGTCTGTTTGAATGGGAAGAAACCTATAATCCAGAAACTAAAAGCTCACAAAAAATCACTGATAAAATTCAACAAAAATCACATAGTTTGTAGCATTTGGCTCAAATAACGCACAAAAATGTGTTCTGGCTACTGCGCATACACACATCTCCACAATGAGGAAGGAATTTTCCCATTTGCAGCTTTATCTGCAAACTGATTGAGTCTTTTTATTGAAGGGCAGAATTTTCCCTTGTCTTTTATGGTGTCTTAGACACATATATGCGCTGTTCCAGATGAGGTGATGGAATAGGACAGAATATCACAATGTGATTACAATCATTTATTAAAACGCCCCAGATAAACTCCATTCTTTTTTGTTGTCTTAAAACACAGTGTCTGCAAGATGTGAAAGTTTAATTCGGTTTCTTCACCTTAAAATTTCTGCAAGAGAGCTTGAATTTGCTGAAGATGTCAATGATGATGTTTAATGTATGCATCTTGGCTTGAGTAAACAGACAGCTAGTTCCCAGCTGCAGCTCTGCTCTAAAGCACTCTCAAAGAAAGGAACAAAGGAGCCAGTGGTGAGCCGCTGCTGAACCATGCTTTTAAAGGGCATCAGCGCTGAGGTCCTGGACTTTCACCTTCTGGAGCCGCTCTGTGGGCACACAGCCTCAGGCTCTGTCCCTTTAAAGCAGCACAACTCAGTGACAGGAGCCGGGCCGGAGTGGCAGCCATTCAGACCAGCGCCCCGGGCTTTTTCCCTTGTGCCACAGAGGGGATTTGGTCTTAAGCCAGCACAAAAGACTTGCCTTTAAAGCTCAGGAAAGACACAGAGGTATAAGAGAATCCCCTTTTCGAGGCAGGAATGTATCAGTATGGAGGATAACAACAGAGCGGTGATTGTGCATAGCTTAGGCATTAGCAGATGAATAAGGGTATGTGAGCACTCATTGGCAGCCTGATTTGGCCCATACTGCAGCATCGTTTTGCACTGTTCAGGCTGAATGTTGCAGCCGCTTGGAGGATCTGGCAGTGAACAAGCTGCCGGATGCAATCACAGCTTCAGTGTGATGTCTTTTGGCGAGCAAGTCATTCCAAATATTATCTGAATCGTAACATCTTTTTCTGCAAAAATCATGTCCTCCTACATGCCAAAATCACTCTCTGAACAGATTCCTCCTTCTTTCTTTCATTCTTTCTTGTGGTATTTTCTTCCAGTGTGTCTATTTCTATATTTTTTAAACTTTTACAACCTATATGTTGGACATATAATAAGAGAAGCAAGACTGGCGGAAGATGACAGAGAATTCAGGATTGGTTGAAAAAAGTTCAATAACCTTCGTTGTGCAGGTGATATGATGCTCGAACCTGAAGGCCCTTATAAGGTAAGTTTAAGGGCAGTGAAAAGACGGGACCGTTGAAGTAGTGGACAGCTGTTGTCTACTTGAATCAATTATTAACAACAAAGGATCCAGCAGTAAAGAGAAATGACACAGATTGGCACTCAGCAGAACAAGAATGTAGGAGCTTGAAAAGATCCTCAAATGTAATGTCTCTATGAAGATCAGAATTGTCCAGGCAGTGTTTTCTCTATGGTTCTTTATGAATGTGAAACCAGGACAGTAAAAATGAGAAAAATATTGATGCTTTTGAACTTTGGTGTTGGTCAAGTCTTTTGTGAGTACCTTGGATGACAAAGAAAAGAAGTACATCGATTCTTGACCAAATCAGGCCTCACCTCTCTCTTATTATAGACCTAAACAGAAGACAGTATGTTCTTGAGAAACACCATATCTATATGGTCACCAGGAGTTGAAATCGACTTGATTGCACTTTTAAAATAATAATAATAATAAATAATTATTAAATGTGTAACCTGGGAAACTCACAGAGATTGGTGACAGTGTTTCAGTCGAGGCTTCATTTGGTTCACCTTTTTGTTAAATATGTAAAATAAATCCCAAAGACAGCGATCCACCAGTGTGAATTCCCTTTCTTTTTCAATCCTGTTCTTTGCTATCATGTTACTATAGCATATTGACAGAGAGCTTATGTGACATGGGGTAGAGAAACAGCCTGATCATGCCCCCGACTCCATATGCCAACTGGTGACACTGCCACCCAGTCTAAAATAAGCCATCCGGTGGAGCCCATGCAGCTGGGCAGGGTTATGCCTTCTGGGCCTTTGAGAAGGCACACAGATGACTGCTTGCTGCTTACACACCACTCCAGTGAGAAGTAGTTACCAGCCAGTGACAGTGTTTGAAAAACTGCAAAGACAAAGCTACAAGTGTTGGGTATTTCTCACAGGAAAACAATTAAACAGGAGTACATTTATACGGAAGTGTTTACTGTTGGTTTGGGTGTGTGAATGTGTACAGAAACAGATGCTCAGTTAGAGAGGGAAGGAAAATCCATCAGCTAGAAAACTGCAACAGTAATGGTGCAGTAATGAGAGAGTTTCAAAGTTTTGTGTTTACTTTTTTAATCTGTGTTTGTCTTTGTTTGTGAATCCCAACCTCCAGTTAGGAGCCTACATACTAAATGCTATATACACCACAAACCCAACAAAGTTTAGAGGCAGCACTAACACTAACTTATTTTTTTTTCATGAGAAATTGGGCAGTGTTATGTTTACACACAACAAAAGGGTTTGACTAAATGTCTGCAGTAATATTGTACAAATAACTGAATCTTAATTTATTCGACTACTGGTGATTATCCTGGAATGTTTGTACTGTATTGTATCCATCTGCCTCTTACATTCAGATGCTGATGAATGATTGCTAAACTGAATGAGGTATGTTAAAATAGGAGTTTGTAAAGAATTAAAACCTCAGTATGAGAGTCAGTATAAGAGACTGTTATCAATAAAGTCAGTGAAGGCTTTTACTATATAATAAGCTAGAGTAAGAGTACATCGCTGCAAAACAGTGGAATATTTTGCAAAAAAACTTTGGTTAAACTGGATATCAATAAATATGTTATGTGTCAAACTGATTTCATGGACTTTATAAAATCATTGCTTACTTCTATATTTTGACCTATAGTGTATGTAGTGCATCATTTGGACACAACTGTTATAAATATTTTGTGGCCAGTACTGATACAGATTTTAATGGCCTTCAGATTCTGATAACAAATAATTTGCCAATATAGTTCTATATTTAGATTTTAATTGTATAACTCAGTAGTTTGTCATTTTGTCACAGTTGTCATTTTAAACTCACTGTCTTAAATAATAAAAATATTGTGGCACCAGGAGAGCAGCTTCTCATAATTCTTAGCATTTTTCTTGTCTGTCTGTGTCTTACTTTTCTTACTTTTCATAATTTTTTTATTAGATAGCTTTTTTAATGTTATGATGTTATTCTCGTGCTAAAGGTTAGGCTTGATACTGTTAGAAGGCCTTACAGGATTCTTACAGCATCATGTATACATGTATAATTGTAAATGTCAAATGTTGAAGTTGAAAAATGTTGACACCACATAAACTTTTATTCCATGTTACTAATTCAAGGATGCCCAACTTCAGTCCTGTGTGCCAGTGTCCAGCAGAGTTTGGTAGTTCCCCTACTCAAATACACCCACGGAAACTGGTATTTGGTATTGTGCTTGAGCAGGAAAATTACTAAACTCTGCTGGACATCAACCCTCCAAGACCACAGCTGTGCACCCCTGATTCTCAGCTTTTAGCCTAGCAACCTCCTGGGTAGTTTAGTCAGCGATTAGACAGTGTATGTGATAAAATGACCAACGCGTGTAAAGTGGCAACAATGCCGCAATGAGATGGACGGACCCCTCCTGCTCATTGCAGTTTCTGACTATTGTATATTATTTTACTTTGTTACTATGAAACACGAGTGCCTTAATATGTCACAGATGTGACTGAGGCGTCCACAGTAGTACAGCTAGGCTAACCATTACCTGAAGTTAGAAAAGATATTTCTCTGTTCTCAGTGTTACCTTGACAAGCCAGCATGTTTCATATCATCCACTGAGCAAAAAATAATTTACATTGTGTAGAAGATGACAACTGCCCCTCATCTAATGTTAAACTGTTAGCTCTAGCATTATAGATAGCATCATAGAATAACCGGAGCAGTCTTTTTTTAATAAATAATAAACTCATGCTTATAATTGACTTTGCCTGAAACAAAGAAGTTCCTTGTGCTACTGAGTTTGTTTTGTAAAAACATGTGTACAGTCCTGTTCCAGATGGCTGACAAAGCAATGTTACAGCAACACCACACGTTTGGCCATATCGCTACACAGGTGTGAACTTTTTATGCAAGATTAGTCGTATGTACACTGCACATGCCAAAATTCTGCACGTATGATTTTAATTAATTCATTAGTTTTTGACAGCATCACAAAAGGTTAAAAAGTCGCTAAATCATCGGCGTGTTATCAGCGATATTGCCCCCCGAAACTGATAAAACTGTGGGTCATCAAAATTGGCTGATATTATTGACCGATTGATATATCAGTCTGGCTGTAGCATTAAGTTCCTCCAGGGCAGTTGCTGAGAAAGACTAGGTCATATGGTCACCTGTTTGTGTATGTGTGTTGCAGGAACGGCCATAGCGCAGCTGACAGACGTATGTGGTGTGGAGCAGAGTGAAGCCGATGGCCGCAGTACAGTGTTCAGTGACAGGACGGGTATGGTGAAGGCTGCCCGCATGTTGCTGTCTTCCGTCACCAAAGTGCTGGTGCTTGCAGACCGCATTGTCATCAAACAGATCATCAGCTCCCGCAACAAAGTAAGAACTGTGCTGTTACCTAAACCAGCACACCTACACGCAGACACTTTCCTTTTCATCTTCCCACTGAGAATATAGACTGTGTTCTCAATATCAGTCATTATGGTGAACCTGTAACTCAGCAGGCTGCTACACCTCTATGCATGAACACAGACACGCAAACACACACACAAAGCACTTGTTTTGCCTTTAGATCTTATCGTTGCATGGGCATACATTTTAAGTCCTGCTTCTTTGGAGATAATTGAAGAGAAGCAGTGCACCTATCTTGGCAGAGCAGCAAGACCTGTTTTTACTGTCAAAATGAGTAAGAGTGGACGTGTATGTGCGCACTTGAAGCTGGAGCTAATCACATCCAGTTACTGCTGTTTGGACAGACAGGCAGCAGAGCAGCTCTCCATTAGAGAGAAACCCAATTGAATTTGTCCCTGTCCAGGCCTGATAACGCCCACCACTAGCTAGAAGCCTCAAATAGCAGCCACTTTATCTGTTTCCCCCCAGTCCAGTCCTCTCGCACTGCTTCCACTCACTGTATCTGCCCATTCGGAGCTTTTCTCTCAAGCTCTGAGGCCCTTCCATCTTTTTTCATTTGAAATGTTTGACTTTGTTCAGGCTGCAACTTTTGGTATATCAGAATTTGAACTGACATTTCAGAATTCTAATGTGGAGCCTACAGCTTGTGCCTAAATGTTAAGGCTGAATTGAGTTCCTTGCATGGGCTCTCATTACACACAGGAACAGTTGACCTGGAGCTGCACAGTAGCTATGAGGCCTTCTTGCTGTGTTCCTGTGAAGCCTGTGGTATTCTTATATCATAATAGACCACTGCGTAACGTTGTGGCTTAAAGGAATGGTTCACTGAAAAATGTGCACAACTTTACTCTTACCCCAAATATAGTCAATGAGCCAAGTCATGTTTGATGTCAGTAGTTTGCTTCTTTAGTTTTGCATTGGAGCAATTGAGTTAGTGTAGTTAACTTAAGCAATAACGTCATGACTGTGATCCGTTGCAGGCGCAAGCGGAAGGCGAGTACCATAGATCATCACAGCTGTGATGATATTTGCAATAATGCACAACCTCGAGTGTGGTATTGTTTTTATACAATAATTGTTCAAAATTAAAAAAAAGTAAAGCGAAGAAGCCTGATACATTGTATAAGATGTGCTTTAATGCTGGCAGTACCTTAAACCAAAAGTCCAGTAGCCTTTTTCATTACAAATAGAGCCAAAAATCTGTCACAGCATCAGGTTCTCAGATTTTTCAACATTCGCCAGATTAACTTGAATTTTATTTTGTTTCAGTCAGCCTGTAAAGTGCTTCATAGCTCATCTTGTTTACTGTGTTATCTAATGTATCAGTTTTCTGTTTTTGTATCTGGTAAAATAGAAACCTGGTAACAGTTAGCTGCAGGGGTAAAGTCAGTGCTTAGTGGAAAAAAACAGCACCTAAAAAGTGCTGTTATCACAAATAACAGCACAGATAGAACACTAATTATAATTATAACAGCAAAAATAGAACACTAATTATAATTATAACAGCACAGATAGAACACTAATTATAACCCTATTAGCATTGTCTAAAGTCCATGTCCGAATCATCCCGCACTTTCCTTGAGTTGTTCTCTAATCTCAAATAGGCTTGCATGTGAGGTTTCTGACATTGTATGACAATGTTAACTAGAAGAATTAAGCCTTTTTGTCCATTTCTAATGTCCATTTGTATTTAGTTCTTATCAGGAGGTTCAAGCAACAGCCTGTGTCACCCAGTGCTACATGTTGCAAGGACCTTGCAGTTTTCATTCATTTAAGCTCAAGCACATCTATCTCTGCAGAGAAGGGCTGGGTGAAGTGGGATTCAAGTTCAAGTTCAATTTTATTTTATTTTAAGCCCATAGAGCAATTAATTTACAGCAGAGGCCGACATTAAAACAATAAAAACACGTTCGAAAGACATTAACAGAACAGTAAAAAATAAGTAGTTCCTTGCTGAAGGACTAAATCTAGAGGTCTAGCCATACTCAAATTTTGTCTGTCTCAAAGTTCAGACAGACTCATCTGCTTTACTCCTATCATCATGCTAGCTTGGTCAGTTAAACAAGTGAAATAGAATTGAAATAGAAGTGTGTGGTGAATCTCTCCAGCCAATCATATAACTTATGCTGTACCTTTTAAACATCTGTGCAGATGTGGCTATGAAGTCATTCATGTTTGGATCTACTCTGTCATTTATTGGAATTGCCGGCTTAGGCTACATACCAAAAGAAAAGAAAAAGTCTATTTCAATGTGCCATTACAAAATACAAGGTTCACAGGGCACAAAATGACCAAAACACATGTTCTGACGTCATAAAAATGGTAATTCATTGTAGTCTTTTAATACTCATGAAGCGAGGTGAGTGAGTGATTCATCACTTCTAAGGGTACAGAGTTTTTCTTTTATTGTGAATGTGTGTTTTTGCAGGTGCTGGTGACACTGCAACAGTTGGAGCAAGTCAGCACCTTTCAGGAGTTTGTACAGATCTTCAGCCAGTTTGGTAATGAGATGGTGGAGTTTGCCCACCTTACAGGAGACAGGCAGAATGTAAGTCCTCCCCAACACGCACAAACCACCCAGCAGCAGTTTCCTCACTCATCTCAGACTTATAACTCATAAAGGCTCCTGATAAAAACATACTGATAAAAGCAACTCCTATGGTAAAGACTTTCTGAGCTTAAAAAAGTGTAAAGAGCTTCAGAGTTCATAGGCTTTCAGCCTTGAGGAATGAACACCTTAGTCTAGGTCACATGAATATGATATGATAATCAGAGTGATTGAGCTCCAGCATGAATAGAAATAGTAGTTTTGGTGTACAGGTTCCTTTACTCCTTTACAATCACCATGTAATTATATGAGCTAACAATCTAATCAGTGTTCAAGATTAAGATCAAGAAGAACTTTTGCACCCCAGCTATATACAAGTGTATATGCAGTGTTCCTCCAGGGCCTTATACATGCAGAGCTTGTGTTTACAGGTTACAGGTTACAGGTTTACAGGACCACATAGTGCAACCCCATTTCCAAAAACATTGGGATGCTGAGCAAAATGTAAATAAAAACAGAATGCAATGATGTGCAAATCATTTAAACCTTATTTTTATTAGAAAATAATACAAAGACAACAAATCACATGTTGAAACTGAGAATATTTATTGATTTTTGAAAAATATATGCCCATTTTGAATTTGATGCCAGTAACATGTTTCAAAAAAGTTGGGACGGGGCAGCAAAAGACAAGACGTAGTGTAATTTAAAAAAAAACACCTGGTGGTTAATTGTCAACAAGTCAGTAACATTGGGTATAACATTGGGTCCTCTGCTGGACTCATTTCGGTACTTCCTGCTGTGTATCAGTCCGATCAGCGGAGGTGTAGTGAAGAGCGGAGAGCCTCTGTGAGCTGATAGGAGAGTCTTATATCAAGCCGGAAGCTTCTCCTCTGCTAGTCGGTGTTTCACACACATATCACGTCTCTATCTGTCTCGCTGCAGAGCTATCCTGCCAATCTTTTGCTGCCTCCATCTATTAAGCTTTATAAAGGGAATATAATAACGGATAATCACATCTGCTTTTGTTAGACAGCCCAGGGAGAGAAAGCTCAGTGCACATACAAACACGCACAGATATAGACACACACATAGCGTATCAGCTTCTACATCCCTCCTGCAGGAGCTATAGTGTGCTATAGTGACTGAAGATCCTGTCAGAATGCTTCTGTTGAATTTATATCTCTGTTGAAGTCTATCTCCTGCCTTTGGGATGCCATGTGGTATTACACTTTGTTCTCTGGCTTCTTGGTCCACATTAAAAACCTCCAGAAATGCTGCCTTCCAGGCCTGATGGTCAGGTTCCTTATCACATGTTCCATGTTCTGTTTTTGTGGTCTGATGCAGTTCTGTAGTAGAAGCCAGTGTCTGTTTGGCTTTACACCTCATGGCACGTAGATTTATTCTGTCATAGCTGTTGAGCTATGAACTCCAACCATTGTTTCATTAAGTTTTTAGAAAGCTCTTATAACAGTGAAATCTTGCTCACTTTTCTTCTGTGTCCCTAGGATCTTAAAGATGAGAAAAAGAAAGCGCGAATGGCTGCGGCTCGTGCTGTGCTGGAGAAGTGCACCATGATGCTTCTCACTGCTTCCAAGGTCAGTGCAGAGACTGGAGGAGAACTATCTGCTGGCTTATGTGTAGTTTAATCACTGTGGATTATAATAAAGTTGGACCACTAAAACCTAAATAATAAAAAAATAAAGTTGATTTTGGTTGGGTTTTTTTTTATATTCGTATTCTAATATGCATACCATTGCTGACTAAACCTTGTATCTTAATTTCTGTTGTTGTTTTATGTTTTATTTATTTTTTTTTCACAGAATTTGAAAATGCCAGCTGCACTTTACAAAGTGTTAAAATTGCTGAATATACCAATAAAAATCATCCAAAATTATTTGGAAAAAATTCGAAGTTAAGAAATTTTTTTCTTCTCCTGTTAATTTATCATTTTGGAGATACAAAATACATATATATAAAACATACAGCATATAATTAATTATATGTTGTTTCACATTAGCATAATTATCTTTTCAAGGTCTATTTTCACCAGGACAAACCACTATCGTATATGAGTCCGTTTACAGTTCTTTCAGTGTTTATGAATTTTTCCTTCTGTGAAAACTTGTGAATGTGAATGTTTGCTTCAGTTCTCACTCAGATGATGTTTCCTCTTCCCCAGACATGTCTGAGACACCCAGACTGTGAGTCTGCACGGATCAACAAGGATGCTGTGTTCCAGCGCATGCGCCTGGCCCTGGACCAGGTCATAGAGATTGTGACCGATGCCAGGACCAGTGGCGAATCCAAAGCATTGCCCATGAGCATCTATGCTGGGATTAAAGACTTTAAGGTGCAGGCATGAGTCAAGGGTTCATGTATAGATAATTCAATGGACAGAGATAATGGACAACTCCTGTTTTTGTCTCAATGTCAAAACAGCCTCTCTCGTAACAGAAATTTTCAGTCAGTCAAGTTTATTGAGCAGTTATGCTATAATATTCTGGTCCCTTTTCTAATTTGTTATTTACCTGAAAGCATTTCCTACTTAGTGATTTCATACACTATTATGCCTCTACTGCAAAGCCCATTTGGTAAATGTACTGAAAAAAATTGTGGATCTGTATTATCGTGTAACATAAGTAAAAAAGCCCAAATGTATAACGAGTTATGCTTACAAATGTAGTTGTAAATCACTCACAAGTAAATGAAGAATATTCAAAGCTGTTGTTTTCTATAAAACATTTCTGAAGCCCTTTTCCGATCACAGTTACAACCTTTGCAGTATTGAGGCTGAGTGTGTTTCTGTATGTGTTTCAGGGTAAGGTGGAGGGTCTGAGGGATTCTCTGTACTGTGTTCCTTGTGAGGCTGTGGCAGCACAGTTGGAGGCCCTGGTGGAGCAGACTGAAGACTTCACAGATTCAGCCTACACCAGCCATGAGCAGCGAGAAAGCATACTGCAGCTGTGCCTCATCACACGGCAGGAAACTCAGCAGCTCATTTCCACCTGGAGCCGGGAGGTATGACACTCAAGCAGACGTGTAAAATTATTACTGACACTGAGAGGCAACATGTCTCCATCTGCTTAGTTTAGCTTGGTAGATGCAAAGCGCCTCATGTACCTGGCTTGAAAATTACTCAGTCATTAAGCCACTCACACATATTTTGCAGGCTGAAGATGCCACAAGGGGGAGCTATTAGAACTCAAGTAGCTTTTGTGTGCATCATTGAAAGGTAGTCTTGTGGGCCAGACATGATCTCATAAGGAGAATAGATGTCTAGGGACAACTTATTAAACTTTTGGTGCAGGATTGCAGCGATATCTACCGCTAATAAGGGTATGCCCCTTCTAAAACAGACCCCAAATTCTTTTTTGTCCATGCTCTTTTAAAAATAAGAGTACAGTAAAGCGAGCTAGCTAGCAAAATGCTCTCCTTAGTTATTGGAACTGTTTTCCCCTTGCAAAAGGTAATATTTATTTTGTAATGCATGTCATGTGTTCTCCGCACACACAGCAAATCTACATGCTTAATTATGTTCAGACAACATTGACAAGCTCACCATTGCCCCCTGCTTTGAGCTCTGCCTTCACAAGGTGTTGGATTGGTTTAGAAATTTCACATTCAGTTTGTTCTCACCCTAACAAGTCTACATTCCCATCAACATTTAGCCCAAAATTTCTCACGGTTGCCCTCAAACAATCTTGTTACAAGATCACGTTCAGCCCCACGAGACTACATTGAAAGGGAGAAAACTGACTTGAACCCACACCAGCAGAATCTTGTGAATTCACATATGTTCAAGCAGAAATGTTTTACATTACACAACAGTGTACTGATATGGGAAAACATTCACTCAATCAGAGTAACAGTACTTAGATTGTAAGTATATGGTTATAGATTGTAAGGTAGGTTGTGGCGATGACCACATGCAGGAAAAGCACCAGGACGTCTATGGAAGAGTGCTGCTTCACATGAGGCACTTTATGTGTGCTTGTTAGCTCATTAGGTGACAAGGTTACCACTTTGTCAGCCATCCTCTCACCTGTGGAGATTTCTTGATAAGTCTCAGTGGCTTTTTTATTTCAGACATCCAGTGCACATCTTTTGATGCATTGTCTCTGTGCATTGTTTTTCACTTGATGAATGAGTGTAGACATATACAAGATTTTTAATTATTGATACAACCCACATTAGGATGGACAGCTATGCTGTCCAATTATGCTCTGAAAGAAAGTTTTTATGAAGTTATTTGTCTCTCCCTGCCCCATATAATAGGTGTTCATTTTCCCCCATGTCCGTCCTTTTCCTGCATATCATAAACATTGGAATATTCAGCCCTCCCCTTGTAGAGCTCTGCTGTGTAACAGTCCTTAGCCATACAGGTTCATTCATCCTTGACTACATTGCCAGTTTTTCTTAGGCTTTGTGAATAGCTATTCACTTTTCCCTTTTGGAGTCCATGCTGACAGCAGTGACATCATCTGCGTTGAGTAATCTAAAGACAGTGTGCCTACCCTCAGGCTTATTCATTATCTAACTCAGTAAATGCTAAGGACATAGTGCCTATACGTGCAGCAAGTGACTCATAGTTGGTCTTTGGAAAGAAATACCTCCTTGTAGGAGCTGAAGAATATCGAAAGGTTTGCAGAAAATATTTTATGTTAAAACACGTATTCAAGTCTTTGTGAATAGAAAAGTGTAACAAAAATATAAGCAATACAGGAAAAAAAAGTTTGTTTTTTTTATTCTCAAACATAGTTCATTCTTATACTCAGTTAGAGTCAAAAATCTACAGTTCATTTATTTTTTTAAATTGAAATGTAAGAATTGTGAAGCCATTGTAAAGGATTAATCTTTACATCTGCCTGAAACAAGGTCAGTGATTTCTTGTTGCCATGCAACATAGTGTTAGTTGATTTTGATGTGTGTACCAGTTCATATTTTTTATCATTACTGAGATATGAATGTCACCAGTTTACTTATCACTAAGGGCTACAATGACAGAATGTGTCAAATCACATTACACACAGCGTGAGAGCAGTTTAATTAGATGGACAAGAATGTTGCATTACAAGGATCACGTATGTGCACAGCTCAAAAACTGCCCCATGCTTAACTAACTGGTAATTAACCTGTACTAATACTTCAAATGAGAGCATTCTCAATCCCATAGTTGTGTGTAAAATGTGTGAAGCAGTAATGGCTGATCACAACAAACCTACCTCACCATAAAAGAGCTTAATATTTATTTTATTGCTGTATGTAGGCCCATATAGAAAAAGCTGTCTGGACTAACAGCATTAAAGTGCACAAAAATTTGCTTGCAGTTGTAATGTTAGCATTTCATTATTAGTATTTCATTATTTTTATATTGCACTTTGCACAATAGTGAAAGGTGCTTTTTTAAATAATAATTTATTGATTTTATTTTCTCGTACTGTCATTGTAATATCCAACATCACATTTGATCCAGATTGTGCAGCTCTAGTACCAATTAACATGTGCACTACATGTGATATCAGACATATAGCTATTTATATTAGCTCCAATTCTAATCTTGCACATCGAACCAGTTCAAATAAAAATGTTACTGATACTCTCACCTATATTCAATGCCAAACGCTGCTCCCAAAATCTATTCTTATAAATCTATTCTTGGCAGTCCTGGAATGTACCATACTAAGTTTTCTCTTTTTTATCAGTTCTTTGTATAAATATTGAACATAGTGTATTAGATACTTTCTCATTGCAAGTCCCAGAATTCTACATGAATTTTAAGAGACACTGTACCCGTTTGTGTTTCTTTACTTTTGAATTCCTCACCTTCCTGTTGTGTTCTACCTGTCTGAGCCCTGAGTGGCAGGCGTACTGCGAGTTTGTGCTCACGGAGGTGATAAGAGCTCATTCAGGCACACTGTGATTTCTGGAAGTCGAGTCAGAGGGGTTAGGAGACGGGAGCGGCTGGAAAGCTCCTGCAGGCTGCAGTGTGTATGCTGTGTGTCGGCTGTTTGTGCTGACGGCCTGCTGTAATCCTCTCGGAAAGGGATCCCTCCCACCTGTCTGCCAGGCCTCTGATGACAGCACTGCTCTGAGACTATCATGTTTTACAAAGTGCATCTCCCTGGCTTCAGCAAGCACGCTGACACTGCACTGCACTTTTTTTTTTCACTGTCAAAAAGCTTCAAGCATTACGAGCGTTATTTGGCAAGGATGAGGAACGCTCAGTCAAAGGTCATCTTTTAAGCAATATTTTGACTGCTTTAGCTTTCCATCTGTTTCTCACCCTTTCTGCCTTGCTATCTCTTGTTTTCTCTCTTTCTGTCCTTGCCATCAGCAGCAGTCAGTCAAAGCCAAAGAGGTGACGGAGGAAGTGGAGCTGGCCATTCTAAAAACCTGTCAGAGTGTCAGTGAGCTGAGGCGAGAGGTGAGCCATCTAGTAGCTTCACACAGGAATTCAATATCTGATGATCATAGTTGTGCAAGGACACTTTTCCATCTATTCCATGTAACTGTCTTTTACTCTCTCTTTCATTAAACCCCCTTTGCCCTCTGTGACTGTCTCCTACTCCTTCTGCACCCTCCCCTCCTTTTTCCTCCCTCTCTTTTTCTATCGTGATTCCATTATTGTCGTTCCCTTTTTTATTTCTCCACCTTTCTGCTCAGCTCCATAAGGTAGCAGTGGGACGGGCCAGTGAGCTTCTGAAGCTGCACTGTGATCACCTTGTGCTGCAGGCTCTGAAAGCGGGCGGTGGTGAGGGAAACCTGGAGGCAGTGGCTGAGTATGGCCGTACACTGACTGAGCAGAGGGAGCAGCTGGTGGAGGTGAGCACATGCTAGAGCTCAATGGAGCTTCGGCTTCATCTATAACAGTGGTCTGCACCATATTTCTACAAAAGGCACAACCTTGACCTCATTCTTGTTTGGAAGGCAAAGGGCTATTTATCAATAAAGGAATGGTTCAGCGAAAAAAAATTCCAGTTGCCCCAGATGTAGCTGATCGGCCAAGATATATTTGGTTTCCAAATTTTGCTTCTTTAGTTTAGCACTGGAGGTACGAGGCTAACGTTGCTAACTCAATAGTCACTCAAATCTTTTCCATAAACACATCCCCAGAATTCTCTCAACCTACTCAAACCACAACCAGGTCTTCATTAAGGTCACACAGACTTGTTAGTGTTGTTGATGTCACAGCATATCTGTGAACTGTAACAATTACAGAAACTGTATAGCTGAATGTAGTGGACAGCCTAATTAGACAACTGGGGTTTTGCCAAATTCTGACTCGGCTGAAGAATCAGACTGAAGAATTTAACTTTCAGTTGCATCATGCAGACATACGAACTTTAGATTACGTCCGTGACTTGTTTCTGTTTAAAAACATCATTGGTTCGAAAATTCAAGATTAACAGTTATTTTTTTAAAAAGAAACAACAGAATTACAAATGTAATTCGTATTGTTTATATGCCTGCATGATGTGCACATGTGAGTCAGAATTCAGCACAACACTTGTTGTCTAAAATGGCTGCATGTAGCATTGAGTAATATGGTGAAGTTTTGTTCATTTTTATAGTTCACAGTATGTCATACTGTCGCTACAACTCACAGTGGCAAGTCTGTGTGACGTTAATGAAGACTTGGATGCAGTTTGATCAAGTTTTGGGTGACTTTTGACCTCTAGTGTTTGTTAGCAATATTAGCCTCATAGCTCCAGCACTAAACTAAAGAAGCAAAATGTGGACACCAAAATGTCTGCTGGTTGACTGGAGTCAGTGGAAAACCACAAATCATTTTCATTTTTTGCCAAAACATTCCTTTAAATTGATGTTGTATTTAGTAGTTTTTATAAGTAACACTGCATTTTGAATGTTAGTATCCGCAGTGAGGATTTGCAAGGTGTTTTCAGACGTACTTATTAAACATTTTATGAACCTTCATTACTAATTGCCTTAATGATCTGATACTGAGAAAAAATCTAAAAAAATCAAACTTCTCTATTGTGGCCAATGGCGTTTTGCTTTAGTTCAGCACAACCACCGTTCTATAATTTCTCCATCTGTAACCAGAGCTTATATGCGTACATGCATCTGTATGCTTTCAGACCTGCCGACTGCTGTGCCACATCTCGGGGACAGAGCCACTGGAGATCACCTGTATCCATGCAGAGGAGACCTTCCATGTCATTGGTCCACAGGTAAGGAATAACAGAGCGAGACAGTGTCTTCTGTCGGACACAAACAGGGACTGAGTAATACTTAAGGTTTCATAGTGTATAGCTTCAGATCCAGAATATCTGGAAAAAATAACATTTGCCGTCTTATCATTTTGGCAAGTTCTGGGCAACAAATAGCAAATCAGCAGCTTCAGCAGCTCAATGGTTGGTGGTTGCTGCTCTGCTGCAGACATTTACTGTGTTTGATAAATACACATTATAGAACATAGAAGTTTTTCTTTTTTTCAAGCTGTGTCATGTCTGCTAGCCAAAATAGTCATAGACTGATTTTGCTCATTTGCTTATTCCATAAGCTATGTGCTTCGCAATCCTTCTCTAATAGAGAATGACCTCACATCATCAGCTGTAATGAAGCTCAAAGGTCAGGCAGCCAATAAGAACGCAGCAGGGATCAGTAGCTTTAGGAGTGCATTTTAATAAGCCTCATCAATAATTCAAAAAGCTGCAGGTAATTACTATCTGAAATGAGTCCATTAATAGAGGTACACCATGTCTGTTTTTTTGGTACTGATTATGTCTTGTAGTTTATGAATTTGGGAAGCATTCTTCTAGTATTACTGCTGAGAAGCTGTTGATATATGTGTTGAATTCACATTTCCTATGTCAGTCTGAAAAAGCAACACTCATTAAATTAAACTGCCATTTAAGTACTGATGTTAAACAGTAATCTTTGTTTTTCTTGTGCAGAGCTACACTTGTGTGGTTCTTCAAATGTACATTGTGTCCTGACTGCCTCTCTATGCTCTAAATTCCCCATCAGATCATCTCAGCTGCGCAGACACTAGCCTTGCATCCTAACAGTAAGATAGCCAAAGAGAACCTGGACGTGTTCTGCGAGGCCTGGGAGTCGCAGCTGAGTGACATGGCCATCCTGCTGAAAGAGATCAACGATGTGTTTGAAGGCCGCAGAGGTGGGCTATCTCCTCCATCTCCAGCTTACCTAAAGCCTGCCGTGAGACGCTATTTATACAATTCACACTGACTTCTAGACCTTTACCTTCCTCTCTACACCATTTATAAAAAATCCACCTATAGCAAATCACTGGCCCTCTCTGGGATCTTGCACAACTCTCACTGTGGTACAATATGTTATTCTGAATTTCATAGTTCACTTTATCCTAAAGCGCCATCAGTGCAAGCTTTTTTACTGGTACACAAAAAGGGTTTTGTTACTGATTTATGGTCAGAGACCCCGAGGACCATGGGTTCTTAAAAAGGTCTTTTTCCACTTGGTGAGATCCGTATCATCTTCACCTGCTGAGCCGTGCCACTGTGACATTTACACAGCACAATCCACAGAAGCCACATCCATTTCCCTGAAGTAACAGAAGTGGCATACACCCATGTTGCTATTAGTTTTAAGATGGACAGCAGTGCTTCTACTGAGAAGTGGTCCTGCCGTTCATGTGTGTTTTTGAGTGCTGCCCACTCCCCGGAGCATTAAACACTTGAAACGTAAAATAGTCCGCTTTTTTTCAAAACTGCACCCGAGACGTAGCTCTCTGAGACAGTGGTATTTGTCTCAGAGCCTGAGAGAGAGAGAGAGCGGCAGGAACAGCTCTGCTGGAAACACCACACCTGGGGAATAGCTTTTGATAGAGTGGAAATTTTCTATTGTGTTTGTGTCAAATACCAAAAGAGTGTTTCTTTGTACTTTTAAAGATTTGCAGTTTGCTCCTTGCTGTTTTGTTTGATTGTCCTGCTTTCTATTTTTTAATAACCATGTTTATTTGTTGTTATTCAACTTAAAATAAATGAATTCCCTACATTCTCTCTACACTTCATTTCAGGTGATAAAAGAACCTATCTGTCATTACCTAGACCAGGGGTAAGTATCTCACACAGTACCAAAAAAATGATATTGTGGCAAGTGAAATCATCTTGAATCTAGTCAATAATATTATTGATTGCATTATTAATATAATATAATATAAATGAATATTAATATAATAGATTAAGTTCAAATATTGTATATATATTGTAATATTATTGAACTTAATTCTATTTTTCACTCGTTTTTACGTCATTTTATTTAGTCAAGTTGTCTTACTTTGATGACAGATAATTTTGGTTGTTTGGAGCGCAAGCCAAATTATCTGCCAATAGATTTTTTTGCAGTGAAAAATAGCTTTAAAAGCTCAAAATAGCTTTAAAGCTCCATGGTGAGTTTATATTACATCATCGTACTGTGAATCTATTCTCTTTCAGAAGCACTCAGCTAATCTGAAGACAGTAAAGGCTGCCAAGCTTGATGCAGAGGTACGCAACAAGCAAACTTTATTCACTGATGTTCCCAGGGCCATGTGTTTCTTCAGCTCTTGATATGATATGTCATGCCTTAATATGATACAGCAAGGAAACTTATAATAGGGTTCCTGAGGGCATGGTTACAGTCTTTTGGTTAGGCTGATTATTGAATAGGAACACATTTTGGCTGAGCCAGCCTAAGGGAACTATTTAGCTAGCTAAACAAATTTTGAGTGTAGAATACATATACATTTTGAATAACAGCTTTGTCTGGGGTAAATTTGGTGAATTGGCCTTTCTTTTCTGCTGTAGCCCTTAACTAGCTTTACTGTGTTAAATGTGCAATGTGTAAGATTTAGGGGGATCTATTAGCAGAAATGGAATACAGTATATAAAAACATGTTTTCGTTAGTGTATAATCACCTGTAACTATAAATCGTTGCGTTTTCATTAGCTTAGAATGAGCCCTTCATATCTGCATAGGGAGCGGGTCCTCTTTCACCAGAGGTTGCCATGTTGCGTGCCATGTTTCTATCGTAGCCCAGAATGTGCAAACCAAACACTGACTCTAGAGAGTGCCTTTCGTGTTTTAGGTTGAAACAGCAGTAATTGAATTTGGTGGTGCTATAGCACCGGGTGGAAGACATAGAAAGAACAAGAATCAGTGGTTGCTACCAGTGCTGTGTGAGAAGTTTGAGAACCAAAAATTTGACAAATGAAGGATCATACTTATTATTTAGCGCAAGAAAAAGCAAGAGAGGGTAAATCCTTGTCATCAAAGTGAATGCATGATGGTTCTACTACACTCTGGGAAAGGGAGAGGTGAGGGAGAGGTATTCAGTTGGTTGCAGTCTGCAACCTCATCGCTAATGCCAGTCTTACACACTATACCTTTAAGCCCAGTTTTAAAGTAAGTGATACACAAAATGCATGCTGCGTCAGTTCACAGTCATATCTGCTCCTGAACAGCATGATGAAACATGATTGAGGCAACAAGAACAATAACAAGAGTTATTTCCTAGAAAATGAAGGAACATAAGACCCTGGGAATATAGGGCTGCTACTAAAATTACAAGCAGGGTACACAGGGCCTGGGGAACATTGGTCCCTGGAAACACAGGGCTGTTTCCTAGACATTTCAGTGAAAAATTGAAGGGCCCAGGAAGCATAGGGATAGAAAAAAGCTGTTCTTACTAAGAATAAACAAAAGCAAACAGCTACCATTCAACATTATGCAAATGATATCATGCAGCTTGCTGGGTTCTAGCTTCCAGCCACTGTTTGATACATCATCATATTTTTGTTTAACTGTTCCTCTTATAGTTAAGATAATCGTCAATAAGATTTAAGATGCTGTACTGACAAAACTAGGTGTGTATAAGACTAAGACTGTTTTATTCAGGAGCAGACCACCATTGCTAAGCTGGGGCTGGAGCTTCGGCTGCTCACCTCAGATGTGGACTCTGAGCTAGAGCGCTGGGAGGAGCAGGAGCATGAGGTGGTGCGGCAGTGCCAGAGCATGTCCAGCATGGCCTACTCCATGTACCTCTTCACCAGGTACTGACCCAAACAACACTTTGTTTCAGCAGCTTTTAGAAAATTAACTAAAATGCTGAGATTGCCAAGTAAAATACAACTGCTATGCTAACAGTGTTGCAAAAGCTTTTTAGCTTTAATTAGAATTTTATGGAAAAGAACAGTGAATTCTGTTAAGATGGTTTTAACACTTTTGTCTAACTTCTCAATGTTATGGATGTAACGACGTTCTGACGACGAATTGCTTGGCAAATCAATTTTAGACAGTTTTCTCTTTACCGTCTGTATAGTTGATGAGCTAAGACACTTTTGGTGTCTGAAATTTAGCTATTTAGTTTTGCACTGGAACTACAAGGCTAATGTAGCTAACAAGCAATGGAAACTTTTTTTAACACTCAATACTTTTTGAGGCAAAAGTGCAATGATTTAGGTTTGCAGTTTGCACAGTGCTAATTGGCGGTGTATAAGCTTCCATTACTTGTTGGCTATATTATCCTTGTGTCTCTGACACAAAGCTAAGCAAATTTTGGACACCACTTGTGTCTTGGCTAATCCACTACATTTAGGGTGAGGTGTACATTTTGTTTCGCTGAATTATTCTTTTAACTCTCTGCCTTTTGGTCTGCTGTTAAGGGGGGAGGGCCTGCTCAAGACTACGTTGGACCTGTTCCACCAAGCTGAGGTACATCATCCAGTTCAGCTTCTTGTCTTTTTTTTTGTCTGAAAAATTCAGGTTCTGTGTTGTCATTAAGAGCAATGAAGTCCCTAGAAACGACAGATCAATATGTTATTAAAAGCGCCAGTCATCATTTGTCTGTGAAATGCAGTGTCTCACCCTCTGCCCCTGGGGGCTTTTGTAGAGAGACTGAGGGGAAACTGCTGAGCTGGCAGCTTGTCTGTCAAACAGTGCGAGCCGTTGGCCTCCAGCCAGCTCTATGACCTTCCCCACACCGGCCTCTTCTCTGACAGACTGAGCCAATCTGCTTAGCCACATAATAAAGTAGTTCTGCTAAGAACACCGAGAACCTCTTAGGGTACAGTACAGTTTGTATCTACTAACAAGGTTCACTCTGATCTGCTATAGGTTAAGTTATTAATTTATGATACTGCAGTAATCGATCTGTATGCTTCCGTTTTGGTAAGTCCATGATGTTACGCCAGGTGAAGTTATCTGTGCTCTGATGTAAAGGCCTTTCCCAGACAGGGCTGGGAAAGCTTATTCTGGCTTATTCGATTTAAAACCTTACTCAATTTAACAAAATTCACAATCCAAAACCATGAAAGGATTTATTAAAATACCAGCATTTTCTTCTGATCATCATCCAAGACCATAATCCATAATCCAACACAATCCAAATTGTATTTATTTGACCTAGGTCCTGCCCAGGGAACATTGTTGCTCTGTGTCTGTGTTCGCTGTTAAGTAAGATGTTGTTTTTACTAAACAAAGTAAGTAAACTGGCTTACTTCAATTTATGGATACCTTCATTCAATGACAAATACGGCTTTAAAAGGATATGATGTGCATTTTTGTATCTGTGAGAAACTGTTATATCTATTTGTTATTTGTTTTATTGCGTTTAGAATGGTAAAAATGTATTTTTTAACAGGATCAATAATTATGCCACCTAGAAAATGTCAAGCAGCGCAACCACACTAGTCTTTGTACTTGGACACCATTATAAATCTTTGTTCTTGGACTCAAGTTTATACATCTTTTTTTAAAATAAACAAACATGATTATAATAGCAATATTTATGAATGGGCTGTTGACCTTAACACTGCATTAAGAAGGTTACTTGGGGTCCTTTACATGATGCAGTACCCTCCAGAGTCTCACAACTTAAACAGTAAAAATCCATAATTTATTTGGCTTTTTGCTTAACAGGAGACACAGTATCAGTTACTTGTATCCTGACATTCTTTGTGTTTCTTTGTGGTCCTTTGGGGCACACTTATTAAAAACCTACACTATACATGATTTATTTAATTTTCTTATTTGAAATTACTTGTGCCTCAGCCGACAAAGTAAACAAATACCAAGATCCGTATGTTTGAATATCCATGCCAGTCCTTAATTGAAACGCCCTCTCTGTTTTTAGGTTCTGTCAGAGCAGGGTCTTCAGCTGTGCTCCTTCCTGCAGTCCTTCTCCACACAGGTAAAAAAGTGCAGCTATCCTGTCCTTCTCCCTCATCATCCCCCTCCACCACTGCTCCTGACCCCACACTTTAATTCCACTTGCCTCTCTGTCTGTCTGTAATGAGTGCCATCTATCTCAGAGGGAGGATGGTCATGCAGCTATCAGTGTTAGCTAACCCTACGTGCCTGGGCCAAGACAGAGGCCACTCATACATAATCACACTGCCCTGCGTCTTAGCCCAGCACCCCATTCATTAATATCCTCCAGCAGGTCCACTTAGTAATGTAATTTCTAAACTGTACAGAGCTGCAGTCCAGGAGCAAGTAGCAAGCAAGCGAAGTTTATTTATATAGCGCTTTTTACAACAGGTGTTGTCACAAAGCAGCTTTACCAAAAAAAATAAATAAATAAATAAATCAGCATTACAGAAAGAAATCTGGGTCCAAGCCCCCATGAGCAAGCCAGAGGCGACAGTGGCAAGGAAAAACTCCCTAAGAAACAGATAGAAACCTTGAGAGGAACCAAGACTCAGAAGGGGAACCCATCCTCTTCTGGTCAAGTGCAATTACTGCGTATCACCCAGCTCAGGGTGTACCTTTTAGTATCATTAGCAGTGTGAAACTTTTAATACTTTTCTGTGGAAGGCTTTTTGTCTTGGCTCTGGGCAGGGACAAAACACTAACTGAAGGTTTAGGAGCTTCTTAAAGAGCTATTTGTGCAGGCATGAGGCTTTTTCTTCTACATACCACCAGTATTATTGATCATACAATCTTGAATATTCGAGTCTCCAGTGTGTGGGGGTATGAGAACCATGTGCCTAGAACATTTCTAAACACCCACTCCAAGTATATTGTTTTGTATTTAAGAACAGAAAAACAATTAATTGTTAACTCTGTTACTCGCTGCACTTATTCTGCAAACAATACTTAATAAATTTTAAAAAGTACAGACTCAGAGCCCCCTGGTGGCTCGGGGGCCCTAAGCAACTGCTTATACTGCTTATAGCAAGGCTGCCCAAAGTGTGGCCCGCGGCCCAGATTTGACCAGTTTGATGTGCATCACCAGATGTGTACGAGGTCATTTAAAATGGACTGTGGTCCAATCAATCAACATTTGAAATTCTTTTTGGAAATCTTGGACACTGTGTTCTCTGGACTAAAGACCACCCAGCTTATTATCAGCGCACAGTTCAAAAGTCAGTATTCATGATGGTATAGAGTTGCATTAGTGCACATGGCATGGGTGACGTGCACATCTGTGAAGACACCATTAATGCTGAATGATATACACATTATGGCAACATATGCTGCCATCTAAGCGACGTCTTTTTCAGGGAAGGCCTTGCTTATTTCAGCAATGCCAAACCACATTCTGCATGTATTACAACAGCACTGCTCCGTATTAAAAGAGTCTGGGTGCTAAACTGACCCGCCTGCAGTCCAGACCTGTCACCCAACATTTGGCGCATTATGAAATGAAGAATACAACAAATGAGCCCCTGAACTGTTTTGCAGCTGAAATCCTATATCAGACAAGAATGGAAAAACATTTCACTTTCAAAACTACAACAGTCGGTCTCCTCAGTTCACAAATGCTTACAGAGTGTTGTTAAAAGAAGAGGTGATGAAACACAGTGGTAAAGATGCCCCCGTCCCAACTTTTTTGGAAAGTGTTGTTGGCATCAAATTCAAAATGGGCATATATTTTTCAAAAAACAATAACATTTCTCAGTTTCAACATTTGATATGTTGTCTTTGTAGTATTTTCCTTTAAAAATATGGTTTACATAATTTGCATATCATTGCATTCTATTTTTATTTACATTCTGCACAGCATCCCAACTTTTTTGGAAATGGAGTTATATATTTAATGTACAGCATACTATATTTTCTTTTCAAAAAATATATTTTTGAAGAGCGTTGAGTTACAAAATAGAGTAATGTTATAAAATACATTCTTTAAACCTACCCAACTTTTTTATTTATATACTACTGTTTTATTTTTAGCCCTCAGCCTATCATAAACATTGCACTATGGCCACCCAACACATACGTTTGGACACACCATTGCTCATAGCAAGAAGCAGCCCTGGCAACAAAGGCTGTGGTGTCACATACTAGTTAATGTATTTAATCTCTAGTCTAGAAGTGTTTAAAAAGATTACATTTAATTACACTATAAATGAAAATGTAAAAGTGCAAACTGTAGTGCACTTTTCTATTTTTTTATTTTTTTTATTTTTTTGAGTAATAAATAAAACATTCAATATCAAGTGTGCCATAACATTTGCACAGGCCACATTTTCCCAATACACTAAAAATTCAGCAAATAAACAGTAATTGGGCAAAAGTGTGTTCTGTATAGATGATGTATACTTATTTTCCAACATAACGTAATTTAACCAGAGGGCACCCAAACTTTTGCACACGTTTGTACAGAACCAGTCAAAAAAAAACAGAACTTTTCCTTGTTTTCACTATTTTTCATGATTTAGAATAACAGTGAAGGATCAGAACTACAATATAACATATATGGAATTTTGCAGGGATCAAAAGTACATAAAACAAATAACTCTTTTAATCAAACAGGACTCTGTTTGCTTATATGCTAATTAGCTAGCTTCATGAGGAGCCACCAGGGATGCCTTTTCAACTGTGTTATAGTTCCCACATGTTCACTTAGTGGCTGAACTAGTTGTTTGAGGGGGCAATAAAAAATAACTATTTTTGTTTTGAAAATATATTAAAAGACCTCACTAAATTTCTTAGAAACACATTTCAAGCATTTCAGCGTAAGCTGGATCAAGCTGTCTTTAAGTTAATGAAAAACATACATTCTGTCAGGTGTAGTTGCATCCAAAACCTGCCAGGAAGGCTTCAAGTCATAGTTTGCTTTGTCCGATATAGAGGAGAACATCCTGACCTGAGCTGACAGTAATTCAGGAATGACTGAATTTTGTTTTTCTTTTGTAGCTGGTGGATGAAGAAAAAATGCTAGTGCTGTCTGAGATGGAGAAGTTGGCAGCATCCTGTCAGCAGCTACAAGTCTGTGCAAAGACACCTGTCCAGGGGAAGAGTGCTACCTTTCAGAAGGTGACATGTTACTAGAACCACCCTGCAACAATATAAGATACAAGAAATTGCTGTGTAGTTTGAAAGATTGAACACTCATTGAACTTTAGGCCTAATGTGCTTCTCCTTTCAACACCATTTAACCTGGCAAAATAGCACACCGTCGAGAGCCTGTTCTTTGCTTTGATCAAGCAAAGGTCACGGCCAAAGCGTGGTGTTAATGGATTTACAGAGAGAGAGAGAGAGAGAGAGAGAGAGAGAGAGAGAGAGAGAGAGAGAGAGAGAGAGAGAGAGAGAGAGAGAGAGAGAGAGAGAGAGAGAGAGAGAGAGAGAGAGAGAGAGAGAGAGAGAGAGAGAGAGAGAGAGAGAGAGAAAATGTGCTGGAGCTAAAACATTGGTCTCAGAAAAAACAAGCTCAATCAAGATCTCCCTGTTTGTTTTCTGTGGTTTTCACAAGGTTTCCAGGCATATTATTTTGCAGGGAACTGCAGAGAAACCTATTATGTGTAAGCCAGCCAGCCTCCCTGATCATCTGTCAAAAGAACTCTAGATTATTGTCTTAGGGTGGACATGATTGCTTTTCTGAGATTTGAGGCCAAACAAGGAGGCATGGTGCATTTGTTAAATGTAATTTTGGGTTTCTGACAGTTTTTTTTTTGGTCTTGCTCAGGTGGACACATCCATACAGAACACCAAAGGCATTATGACAGTTTTGGTCTCTCTCCTGCCACTGTGTAATAAGCTCATCAGAAAGGTGAGATAATTAGAGGGGATGAAGCCTTAGCAGAGCTGATTGCCCTGAATAACATTTTACCACTAGTAATAATATTATTAGTACTGCTCTTCTTATTATTGTTTTAAAATACTTTCGTGTCAGCATTCTTTGGTCTTACTAATAATCCTTAAATTCTGCGTGTAATATTAACTATTTTGAAGATTTATGTATAGAAGAAAATGTCCCACTTAAGAACAATGTTCATTTACTCTAAAGCTGAAGCCCTATCTGTGCATGAGTTTATCTTGTACAGGATGACAGTTAGGGGAAATAAACTGGAACAGCAGACAGTTTTGTTTTTATAGCACAAAAAAAAGAATCTTTAACGGGAACATCTTGCTCCCACCCTACCTGGGGAAAGAACAGTAATAGCTAACACTGGTTGTACTGTCAAATCTATACACTACACAGCTGTGCACACACACTCACTCAAATGTCAATGCAGGATTATGTGTAGAGTTAAGCAAAGCTATGTGTTCTTCACAAGAGTGAAAATATAAGCAAAACACTCATTCTTGCCAGCATACAGGCAAAAACCTAATTGCATACATTGCTAACAGATAAACAAACATTACTCATTGTTGCCCACTAAACATGTTAGAGCACCATTGATTAGTTATTGTGATTATATGAACTGCTTAATTACTTTATTAATCCATTTAATAAGAAAAATGATAGTAAAACAACTACTACTACTACTACTACTACTAATAATTACTATTATTATTATTATTATTACAATAATAATAATAATAATGACAGTTTAACATAAATAGTAGCATTCAACATTTCATTGTTAAGTATAAATGATTATTAGACACGACATAAATCAGATCAGGTGTGGGTGTAGTAACACTACCTCACTGCAACACTTCCACAAACTCATCTCCAGCAAGATAGATAAAAATGATCACCACAGCTCACAGCTAACATGTAATGCTAATGCTAGCTAGCCAGTGAAACTCTAGTGAACAATATTTCTGGGGCAGTATTAAAGGGGGCATTTTGCTCCATGTCTGGGAGGACTTAAAAGTCTAACCTTGTATTTTTCACTGAAAAATAAACAAAAAATTTCCTTCTGAAAACCAAATGTACTGCATGCTCCACAACACCCCTACATTAGATCATAGCCATAGATCATAGATTTAGTAGATGTGTTGAGATGAAATTGGGATCAGTTGATCAGGGGAGAAAACTGGGGGGGTGGGGGGGCATCTTCCTCCAAGTTACCCTATCAAAAGTACCCTATCCATCCTACTGAGATAATGATACTTTGATTAATTTTTATCCTCCTCCCTCCTCCTCTGTCAGTGTAAATCGGAGCGCAGCAGTCTGGGCTCGCCACAGCACTGGAGAGAGAGGCAGATCAGCACTCCAGTTAAAGAGGACGCACTGAACGGCAAGGGCTCGAATGGCTTCGGAGTCAAATCCCTGGAACAACACATGGCCAATATGACCTTCCTAGAGAGCAAGTAGCTCTGGGCCCTTTTAGCCTTCCTCCTCTAACGAGACCTGGAGTGTTATTCCCCACACACACACGTGCACACACACACACACACACACTCTCTCAAAAAGCGCATTGCAGTGGACTCGCCCACTGTGTGTCTCTATGTGTGCTTTGCCCAGATGTTTTGTGGTGTACAGTAGCTGTTAGTATATCAGCCTCACACCGTACATATACATACACCAAAAAAACACAGCCCAAACACGCTCTCTCCCTCTCTCACACATAAACCAGTGCATGTTTTCAGGTCAATTCCAAACTGTGTAGTGGCTGTTGAACAAGCTACCATTAAGATGAAGTGTATAATTTATCACCATATATTATCATGTGTTATCAGAATAGCTTATTTTGAAACGCAAATTATAGTCACCTCAAATGTTTCAATGTAGGACACTCTCACACTGTATTTAATGTATCTGCCTCATTTAGACGTCAACACCAAATATGTTCTCTATTATGATCATCTCTCTCTACTGGGCTTTCTGACAAGCTGCCAGCGCAAGGCTACAAGGCAACGTCTCATGGACTTCACATTTTCAGCGTTCCGAACATTACTGTGTTTTTAAAGGGCGTCTCCAACGAGTCATTTTCCAAAAAGTAATTCTGACAGATCTGACTTTGATCCAAAAGTGACATTTACGGTATTAAAAGGAAGATTTTCAGTTTTTTTGGTTCACTTGTGGCAAGAGTGACTGCCTTGTTGTATGGACTGCCCTGTAGGTCACTGTGATTTGTATTGTTACTTGAAACATAATGGATGTTGAGCTCGGGTACGCTAACTCCAAACGGTCAGAATGAAGCCTGGGTATAAAAATCAATAGACTTGACTGGTGTGTACTTTAGAGCAAGTGGTTCATAAGGCACTATCCATTGCTACCTTTCATTTCTGTGCACTACAAAGCCTCATGCTTCACTCAAGATTATTTGGGCATATACAATAGGCTGGAGTCTAAAATGTTTCTATTCAGGTGTGATATATAAACACACTTTTAACTGTACTTTGAAAATAGAAGTTCATACCTTGCTGAAACCTTTCTCAAAAGTACACTGCAGTCAAACCATAAGCTTTAGAGATGCTTGAGCAGCTAAGAGTTTGAGTGGAATTAGTTTTGGACCATTGATCCTTTTGACAGTTGAATGATTGTTAAACTGAGAAATACCTAAATATACATTATTTTTCTTAAAGTTTTGGTGGCTGTGTCATTTATTTATGTATTTACAAAAATAAATCTAAAAATGTTTGCACAACCAAATACGGTAATAAATAGACAAGTGGTGTCTGAACTGACCCAACCAGTAAGTCCAAATGAACTACTGTTAAGATGTGGTGTTAAAAATAGTTAAATCTGTGAATATATTTTTTTTTCCTTAACAGTTTGTCCATAGAAAAAAGCAGGGGCTGTAGACAGCAAATATGAGAAAGGTAAAACAAAATGCCATGATGGCTACAGTGCTTTTCTCATCTAATACACAAAAAATCCTTGGAAATTCTACTGGACATGGTAATGATGAGCTTCAGTCGGTGTAGTCAAGTCATGTCAGACTTCACCAGGTAGACTGCGTGATCACTAGCTGATTGAAACTTTCCTGAGAAAATTTCTTTAAGGCTGATCTCGGCAAGGCTTTGGCTGTTGAGCAGTCCGCTTAGAGACAACTTCCTCATATTGTTCTCTAGTCAGAAGGCCATTGGTGATGCTTTTGCTTTCCTCAAGTTTGGGTAGGATGACTGCTATATACCCTTCAGTAGAGGGCTGGATAGGGAAGGACACAAAACAATGTATTAGACATTTGCACAAAAAACATACTATTAAATGAGCAGTGTTGTAGTCTGTTACTGTACTCAAGTACTTTATTAAAGTATTTCCATTTTTGGAGATTTTACTTACACTCCACTACATTTTGAAGTAAAATATATTACTTTTATCTCCTTTACTTTATGCATTAATGTGTTAATACTGGTTACTCTGCAGTGGATGCACTTAATCCCTCCCCTAAAAACAGACTATCTAATCCTAGCTAATCATGCTGATCATCAGCAGCTAAGCAGAGAACTTTGTGTATACTACTTCCCAAAATTTGGATGCATTGATCCAAAGGGCTAAGAATTCCATGGGTTAAATCGTCAGCTATGGACTTTTTGAATGCCATAATTGACATTGCATGCTCAATAGCTTGCCAGACGTAGCAACAGTAACCAAGGGGTGTGACTGGGCCAACTGACTAATTTATTTGACCTGTTGTACCATTACAGAAATTAGAAAGCTAGCTATAGCTATACTGCTACATAAAAGTGTCAGATGCATGTACTGTTGCTTTGTCTATGCATGTCAAGACTTTGATACATTTAAAAGCCAATACTTTTGGACTTTTAATTCAAATAGAAATATAATTAGAGGACCTCTAATTGTACTTCAGTATTATTTTAGGGTACTTTGGGGTATTTCTACTCTCAGGTACAGAAGTACTTCGTCCACCACTATAAACGAGGGATGGATCTCTAACAAATTTGGAATAGGTAGTGCCGAATCACACTTCAGTAGTATTGCACTGATGTTACAGCTTGTGAGCCCTGTTGAAAAACAGAGTGGCCTATGTACTTTACAAAACTGAAAAAATAGTAACTTCAAGTTAAGTTAAGGTTACCTTCTCCAGTAGCAGGTCAGGTTGCTTGAGGATATCCTCATTGACTTCTAATAGACGTCCTCTGATACAGCTGTGGGAAAGGTAAACCAAACAATAAAAAAGCTAGAACGTCACGATAAACACATTCAGTTAGTGCAACATCCATCAATGTCATTTTGCTTGTCTAGGAAAAGCCTGTAAGTAGATGTAACTCACCTAAAAATGGTGTACTCTATGTCGTCTGTACATGTTATTCTACACAGTGGAGCAAACTCTGTGAGGAACTGACCACCCTGCAGAAATCGTCAAACAAGTTGTTAATGTGCATTCTTACAGCTCTTAAACACTGCTGCTGCTCTGATGTTAGACCCTCAACAGCAAAAAAACACTCACTCTCTTTGACTTCCCAGATACTTTGTTGTTCAGGCGGCTGCATCCATCACTGATCCGGTAGTTGATGCTCTTGATTTTCCCCCCATTCTGAAGAATGGGGTGAGACTCTGCAAGGGTGATAACACAGATTCTGCAAAGACATATTTTGTTAGATGACCCCCTCAAAATAAATTCATCACAGAAGATCTCAAATTGTGAAGAATATCTCTACCTGTTTGAATGCTGAAGAATGCAGTGGTCTTCACATGGTTTTCCTTTCATATCTAAACATAAATGCAATATAAGTGAACAGATGTATATGGTTCCAAAGTTATGATTATACACCGATCAGCCATAACATTAAAACCACTTTCTTGGTTCTACAATCATTGTCCATTTTGTCTGCTCCACTTACCAAATAGGTGCACCTTGTAGTTCTACAATTGGATCAATGACAAATAAGGTTTTCAAATTGACAGTTAAAATAAAATAAAAATCGTATTAAAAAGGACCGGATGTGTATTTTCATATCTACATATATTTGCATTTATATATATGTGCATTTTAAATCTTAAATATTGTGAGTGTTATCAAAGCTTTTCATTGCCTATTTAAGGTATTAAAACTGTCCTGGTCTGGTTGCACCATTTGACTTTTCAGACTAATTTCAAATTAAACTGGCACACATTTAAACACACAGAAACTTTTGTCTTGAACTTGAGTTTATACTTACTTTTTTCAAATAAATAAACGTTATTACAATAACTGCACATTTTCATGGTTTTCCTGAGGACACATCACCTGACATGGTAAATGAAACCATGCTAACCATGACTCAAAAAATCTGTGAACTGACCTTGGCATTGCACCATGACGGTCACTTGGGGTCTCCCTTATGGTGCAACACCCTGGCCCCCCTTTCATAAAGACATGTCAAAATAAAAGTTTGTTTTGGTTGTTCCGACTGAAATGTGAGGAAATAAGAGAATTCTATATAGATGCTCTGCAAATTGTTTAACATAAACGAGATATTGTTGAATAATTTGATATGTCATGTATTTAATTATTTTGTGGGAAAATAATGGACTTAAAAATGCATGTCATGTCAATGACCCAATTACAGACTGGAGTCCATCTTCTTCTCTGCATACTTTTTTAGCCCCCTTTTATCCTGTTCTTCAATGATCAGGACTCCCACAGGACCACAACAAAGCAGATATGATTTGGGTGGTGGATCATTCTCAGCACTGCAGTAACACTGACATGGTGGTGGTGTGTTAGTGTGTGCTGTGCTGGTCTGAGTGGATCAGACACAGCAGTGCTGCTGGAGTTTTTAAACACCTTAGTGTCACTGCTGGACTGAGAATAGTCCACCAACCAAAAATATACAGCCAATAGCGTCCTGTGGGCACTAATCAAGAACTAGAGGATGACCAATACAAACTGTGCAGCAAAAGATGAGCTATTGTCTCTGACTTTACATCTACAAAGTGGGTGTGTAGGTGTGTCTAAAAGAGTGGACAGCGAATGGACACAGTGTCGTACAAGCACAACACACACTAACACACCACCAGCAAGTCAGTTGTCACTGCAGTGCTGAGAATGATACACCACCCAAAGACTACCTGCTCTGCGGTGGTCCTGTGGGGGTCCTGACCACTGAAGAAAAGGGAGAAAGGGGGCTAACAAAGTATGAACAGACTCATACTACCATCTAATTGCAGAGCTACAAAGTGCATTTTTCTAGTAAGTGGAGCTGATAAAATGGACAAGAGTGTAGAGATACGGATGGGGTTTAAATGTTACGGTGTACATCTCTGCACAGTAATAATAAACTGCCCTCACACTGTCAGGTAAAACTATGATGTGTAGACAGTTTAACTTCCAACCAACGTGATATCTAAGTCACTATAAGATCTACAATTTTCCAAGTGCAAATGCACACGATATCAGATTGTGTAAGATGTACAGCGCAGTTACTTTCTCTTCACTTCTACAAGAACAACACTGAAGTCTTTTTCAAGCTCCTTACTGTAATAACTTTAACGTTTTCTCAGTGAGGTTAAGTGAATGAGCGTTAGCTAAGCTACATCGTTACTTCGTACAGCAGTTTAAACGGTTGAACTGTTCACTTTCTTTCACAGGCTAGCGATACTGCACACACAAAGCAGTCCAAACGGCGTTACCTGTTTTATACCATCGTGTATAATATCGGTCAATGACAGATGGAGCTTTTTTATCTGCTTCTTCCATGGCAAAAACACAGCAGCCACTTCCCAACCACCATGACGGACTACAACTTCTGTCCGCCTACAACTACAGTCCGGCTGGAAAAAAGGGCGTAGCGTGTACATAAAAAGGCTTAGTTGATATTCTGTTGTGTCTTTGTAAAACTCATAGTGTAGTTCTTTTATTGTCATTACAAATAAATACGTAAGGTTTGGTTTTCGCAAACATGCATATGAGTGTAAGATATAATCTGTTGCGGAATAGCTGAGTAACACAAAATGTTTCCCGGTTGGTTTGGGAAAGAGAGCAGACAGACATGGCGGCCTCCGTGCTGCAGACGTGCCATGTAGCCTGCTGTGCAAACAGGACTCCTCATGTTCTCTCATGGAGCCGAAGAGACTTAATCGCCTTCGGGACTTGCAACTCAGTTGCCCTTTACGATCCACAGGTAACCACGGTCCGGCGTGCTTTATACTGGAGCCAGAGCTGCTTCTGGACATGTGTTAGCTAAGCTAGTTAGCTAGCGGAGCTAACTATGAGGTCTGTTTTGACAGATGTAGCTAGTGCCTGCAGTCACAGATTTAAGTTACTGCAGTGCAGGAAAACTGTGTAAAGCATTTCCTTGAATATTTTCGTGCTTCGATAATGAAAATGTTGAATTTTCTTATTGTCTTATTGTCACTGTCACTTTAAAGGGGCATTCCACCATTTTTTCAACATTTAAAATAGTTAGTTGCAGAGACTCTGATTTCTTTACAGTGGTGGCAATAGGAACCAGGGGGCTACAGTACAAATATAGGTTAGCCATCTTATTTACTATCCAAAACCACAAATGAATTTAGTTGAAATAGTGACAAAGTTTTATCAGGGCATTGTTTTGCTTCACAACACCATGCATGTACCTCTCTGCCATGAATGGAGTAAAATAAATAGATTAAAATAAATGTTAGGCTTTATCACAAAACTATCATAACACAGTGTGTCAGACATGGGGCAGCATATGTCTAACCATTTCATGTAATAACTTTCCGTGAGGGAGCTTTTAGAAGCATTAATCTCTTTGGATGTCTGGTTCTTATCAACACCTCTATGAACAATTCTGACTCTGTAAGTTTCTCTAGAACTGAGCAAAGTTCCCCTTTAATTTGAGGGAAAATTCAGATGAGAAACGTTCTCTCATCATGTAGCATCAGATAATTTATTCTCATTATTGTTGTGGGATATATAGTTTGAAGAATGAAATGACTCCAAAATACTCCAGGACCAAGGTTAGGAATCATTAGGAGACAGGGTGTCGATAATAAGGACTGTATTTTTTTATGTAGTGATATTAAATTGATTAAAACATGAAGCGATTATGGAGTGGTATTATAATCAGTTTGTGCCCTCATAATTCATTTTATTAGAAAGACCTACACTTAATGGCCCTTTGGTCTGTTTACTCTATAGGTCCACTGTTGAGAAGTATATTTGCAGACCGTTATCATGCACAATTTGTCAGCCACTCTCTTCCCCATTAATCATTGGTTAGTTTCTGCTGTTTCTGCTGGTGACCACAGCAGTGATACTGACATGGAAAAGGCGTAGTAGTCTACAAGTGTACTGGGTGCAGCAGCATTGCTGGGTTTTTACACATATCGATGTCACTACTTTCCAAAGATATCAAACCAGGATCTGTTCTGTTGTTCAAAACTAGCTATTGATGAAGAGTTAAAGTGTGGCTAACACAGATGGTGCATGGCAACATCATAGACAGGCTGTAGTCTGTAGTAGGTAGCCCTACTTGTTTTTAATAAATTGCATTATGAGTGTTTATCATATTTAGATTTCACAATTGCTAAATCTCCCACTGTTCAGTGTCTGATTGCAAATTTTGTTATAAAAATATGTTTTCTCTGTGCTACAGCATTAATGGACACTGTTAACTTAGTAGTTAGTTGTGATTCTTTAATGTCTAAAATTAATGTTGACTAGCTTTTATAAACCCCTTCATATCTGTACTGTTATAATTGTAGCTTGTTGGCTTCCAAATATGATCTGTGGTTTCAGGATTTAGCTGAAAACAACATAGATTTGGTTCAGTTAAAGACTCTAACAAGACAAAATGCTTTGTAGGCTGTGGAAAAATACCTCTCATTTTTGTTCTTCTCCAGGAGATAAAGATTATTGAGCTCCTGAATAAGCATACTGGAAGGGTCAATGCTGTCCAGTGGGTTCATAGAGAAGACTGTGGTAAGTCAGTTTTCACTGTCTGCTAATGAACCATGTCAGTCTATGCATCTCTGCTTCTCCTCATTGGAGTACATTTGCTGACCTGAGAGAAGTATTGGAAGAGAGAACTGTTGGCCTCACAATCATTAAGCATTGCAGTTTCTCTCTTTGCTTCTGCTTCCCGTGATGAGATTTCGTTCAATGACATGTGGCTGTTGTATCTTATGGCAACCATGTACATACATTCACAGGCCCAGAAAAGCAGCTTGTATCAGGAGGGTCAGATAATGCTGTTATTTTGTGGGAGGAGCGAGATGGCAAGGTTTGTTTCTTTTGATTTTTCTTCAGTGTGAACTGTGTGGTCATGCATTTCCATTAATATAAATGTTAATATTATATTAATTTATTGTAATGTTTTATTTTAACATATGCTGTGGTATCAGTCTAAGTATAAAACATGCAGTGACACTGAACTGAAGAAGTGTTCTGATAATATTATAACAAATGTTAATTTTATAAACTTGTGGTCCAGTATACGTCTTCTGCAGTTTGCTCTGGTCACTCGGGACCAGTGTGTGCAGTGGATGGTGTGTCTCTGGCTTCCGGACAGTCACTTCTAGCCTCTGCATCATCAGATTCTACTGTCAAGCTGTGGACATACAGCAGTGGAGAAGGTGAATGTTTGCTGATATTGACTTTAATAAATTTTGATAAGTATTAGATGTATGTATTAGATTGTTTTTTTTTTTTTAAGAAAAAGAATGAACACAGACTTGAGTTTCCAGTAATGTTTCAAGCCTGACATCTGCTGGTAGGTTTTTGTAAAGCAGAATATTGAGCTATGAGGGATGCGGCTGTTTGTTTGGACTGTTATTCATAATGGGTGCCCCCATCATAGGCAGATGTGTAGAGGTCAGAGAAATTCTTTGCATAGGCTTGCACTTATAAACTAGCCTTACTGACATGGACTTGAGTTTGGAAATGAGGAGGATGGGCTGGTGCTGTCACTGCCCCTTATTTATTTTGACCTCACTTGCATAAACAACTTTTCTTTGAGGGGATTTCAGCAGCAGGATTTCACTGAGTGAGTTCTTGTTGATTGCAGCTGACAATCAATTAGGATTTTTATTGTTTACATTAGTCACGCTTTTGCATTTGAGGTCTGATAGCGCCCCCTAGGCTAGACACATAGTTTAGTGTTTTTCGGTCATGTTTATGTACATATTTGCTACAAATCTGATTCATCCTAATTATGGAGAAGATTGTCCCAAATAATTCTGACATGTCATCTCAGTGTTCCTGTAAAACCAGAGCATGATTGAAAGGGCACATCATTTGTTCCTTGAAATGTTCCCCCTCTCTCTGTCCAAGAGGGAAGATGAGTGATTTTCTGTGACAGTTTTGGAGAGAGTGTCTGTTTGTCTGCAGGAAGTATGTCTGTGATTTGAAGGTTTGAAGAGAGGGGCGTGTGTGCTAACGCACTCCGTCTGCCTGTAGGGACGGGAAACTGTGGGTATTAAACAACTTTTGACAGGCTTCCTTCTGGCCTAATTCTGGACAGCACACACTCTTTCTTTCATTCAAAGAACATTACTGATGTACTAATTCATGGGTTAGTTTCTCAATCCCAGGTTAAAAGATTGTTTGTAGTGGGGCAAAGCTAGTAGGTTTCACAGACTGCACCCAGACAAAACTAATTGCTGTTGAGAGAATTACAGTAATATCCTTCATAATTAACATTTTCAGAAGCTTGGAGAATGACCATGTAAACTGCTCTGACAGACAATGGCCACTTAAAGTAGGTCAAAGGAAACAGGGCTGCTGTTCAGAAAGTGGTTTAGTGTGGCAGGGCTGTTTTTGACTAGTCTTTAATGACGAAAGTTAAGTAGGGAGATTTTAGATCAGCGTTGAGGCAAAAACATTGAAAATTATGTGGACCTACTGTTACTTTGAGGAGATGATTCTAGTAGACTTCAGATTAGCCCTTTGTAGAATATCTCATTTTGGGATTACTCAGGGGGCTCTCAGTCTAGCTGACAACTGAGCCATATGATTAACAAACAGAACTAGAAACCACAGGACATACAGGTGTACAGTGCATTGTTTGGTAATTCTGATTGAAAGATTGCAGTATTGATAGCATAGACTGCTGCAATATACAGCTGAAACCTCTTAACAAACCAGTAGGGGGATTGGAGCTTCATAGAAATGAGGCAGTGCAGGGTGAGGTGGTGGGATTTTTGGAATAATTAAGCAACTGTGATAAGAAGTCTGAGGAGTTCATCCAAACCCAGAGCAGCATGATCATTTGGTGATTCCAACAATGTAAGTAGCAGACAAAATGTGTGCTAAAAATGTGCCGAATTTGAGTAGCTCATGGTATATTGGCATTAACAATCATAGTTATGATACTATATGAGCTTCACAACAAATTTAATTGGAGGTTTGATGAGTCCTAAGTACTCAGCCAACCCCCCCTTAACACACATTGACTGTTCTCATTGCTTTGGCACTCCTGTTGCAGTTTTGCACAGCTGTTTAAGAGCTATGGAAAAAAACAGTCTGATTGGTTGAGAGGATCGTAATTAAAGTCATATGGTAATTATAATATAAGACTTTATGATAATATTTGCAGTCCATAAATTATTCAGATTGAGCAGGACTTGAATGTCCAAACACATTTAGGGGCTCGTTTTTATTAGATGTTTGATCTGTAGTTTCGATTACCTTCATTTTGACAGAGAACTGACTGGCAGCCACCAGGCCAAGGTGTAGAAATTAAGTCTAAAAAGTTGGGACAGTATGTGAAATGTTAAGGAAAACAGAAAGCACTGATTAGTAAGTTCTGATTGGCCCATATTAAATTGAAAACTATACAAAAGCAAGATATTTGTTGTTTTGCCCCATGAACATTATTGTTAGAGAGATTCCTCATGGGTTCTGTGAATCTTTTGATGGTATTGTGCACCATAGCAGGTGAAAAACCTAAAATCCTTGCCATTGCTCAATGTGGAACATTGTTCTTAAACTATTCTATTATTTGCTGGTGCATTTTTTTGGCACAGTGTGGATCCTCAATCTCCATCTTTGCTCAAAAAGTACTACGCCTTTTCTTCATGCTACTTATATTCAAGCATGATTGCATCACCTATTTAGGATTTCACACTGAAAGTGTCATTCTTTAGAATCAGTTTATATTTACAAAAAAACAATGTAAGACAGTGAATATCTTGTCTTTGTACTATTTAAATGCAGATTTACAAATCCACTTTTCCTAAAATCACTACTTTGTATTTTTTTTTGCATTCCACATTCTGTCGCAACTTTTTGGAAGTGAGGAAAAGTAGATTCCATTCATCAGAGATATATTTGAGTAGATGCAAGAAAGGTCACACTTTATTTTAATAGATTATCTACAGATGTCCAAATTACTAACAAGCTATCTAGTGGAACAGTTGATTTTCAACAACGTTCAGCTTAGTATTAGTAATATGTTTAGGTTTATCTTAATAGAATTGGTTACATTAACTTAAAGTTTAGTTGCATTTAATAGATAATTAGTTAAAGACAAGCTGAGCATCTACAAAGCTTCTGCAGTGGACTCTCAAAGTGTTACCTTAAAAAATATAATTAAGAGTACTGAGGAAAATTTTAATTCAGTTCTGCTTTAATTTAACAGTATGTGTGGTGTTGTTTAAAACAGAGCTACAATCTGCATTAACTCCAGTTACAGAGTGGCTTGTAATTCACTCCTGTGTGTCTGCTCAGTGCATTCAGACAGCATGTGGATAAGGAATACGTCAAAACAGCAGCCTTTTTAAAATTCATCACAGCTAAGTGGGTTAATTCTTACTCATGGTGTGTTTATAATCTTTGTTAGCTGAATGCCTCCAGACCATATCTTTTGGGAGCGGCTTCATGATGGATGTCTCCTTAGCACTGTTGCCAGGCAGCGAAGGTAAGCTGTGCATGCTGCTGTGCTCTGAATTGCTTTTCTCTTCATGCCATTTGTCTCCATTGCGTTTGTGTGAGTGAATGTCATGTTAAAATCTCAATGCTTTAGCCCTGTAATGGAGCCCCATTATGTGCCCCCTAACAAAGTATCTGCCGTGCAGTGCAATGCATATGCATTTTGATTGTGTCTTTTGGTTATAGATGGAGTCATTTGTCTGTCACATGGCTGTGCCTGTGCGTTGTGTTTATGGAGTGTAACTGAATCTTATTGTTCATGTAGTGCCCGTCTTGGCTTGTGGTGGAGATGACAGTAAAGTCTATCTGTATGTGCAGCTCAGTGGACAGGTATGTATGTATAATGTGTCACATCAGTGTAATACTGCTGATCAATACATGCTGAATTAGTTCAGAACTGTCTAATCCTAGATCAGTAATTGTATTATTATATATTGTCAACAGAAATTTTAGAATACTGTGCAAAATCGGAGACATTCATTTGAGTTGCTGTCAACTTTGGCCATTAAATAAGTTATTCATTTCTCAGGAGATATTTCTGAAGAGATTACATACAAGGTAATCCACTTACATAAAGAAGGGGACAGTCAAGGAAAAATAAGTGAAAAAACAGGAATTCCAAAACTAATATTTTTCAAAAAATGGGCCCAGCTGAGGTTAATCATGTCACTTCCTCTTCGGCTTTGTGGATAGCGCAGTGTGGTAGATCTCACAGGCACCTTATTAATGTAGATCACCAGCGTTAGTAAAATACATAAACACTGAAAAATTCATGAAAAATAAAGTTTATAAAATTGTATTTAGCCACTTGTCTACTGTGATTGTATCTATTGGTAATTTGTATTTGGTGCAATAAACATCAAATATTGAATTTTTCTTTTCTGAGAAAAAGATTTCCTGGTAACTGAAAACAAGTCTCTCAAAAAGAACGAAAACTGTAATAAAGGCAAAGGGACACACAATGCTATAAGAATGAATAACTTCTACTTAATGGGCATTTTGTCTGGAAATTACATAAATGAAGGATGATCTGTAACTGTTGCACAGAACTGTAGCTCAGAGTTTTAAATAAATTCTTCACATTTTTCCATCCTAATGCCTATCTACTGCATTAGTAGCATGCAGTTGTTTACAACAAGCAATAATTGTGTTGTTTTTCTCTGTATGGTAATCCTTTGATTTGGGAAGTACTGATATATATATATGTATGTATATATATATACACACACACACACACAGTACTATCTACTAGTATATAATAGAAGCCAATGGGCAGTTGTTGAAGCAAATTGAAAAAAGTATATCATTGTGTGTTGTTCAGTTTCAGAAGGTACTCACACTTCAAGGCCATGAGGATTGGGTTCGTGGGGTGGAATGGGCGGCCAACGGTAAGAGTTTCTACTTCAGTTCATGCTGTTTAGAAGGCAGATATGTTTATACTGTGCTAATGCACACAGTGCCTTAATCGTTCTCAGTTACTACTTCATACATCGTGTAATTGTTTTAAGAATATCCTAAAAGATTCATTATCCTATCCACTGCTCAACAGGACAGACATACTCAAACAAACTCATAAGGTGAAAGTGTGGTACTGCACTCAGACGAGTCTGAATATAAAACGCTTCACCCTCAGGGGCCTCTACCCAAATTGATTTCACTCTAGTGTGCCTTCATAATGCATGAAGCAAGCACTTCCTGCCAACTAAAGGCCCCATGCTCCACAGGACTGATATAGTGAAGCTGCTAAAGCAGGTGTCGTGTCTGTATCTGAATATGTGTTCAGATGGGGAGCTCCTTTTGGCCAGTTGTTCTCAGGACTGTCTGATCAGAGTGTGGAGGCTGGTGGTTAAGTGTGCACCACAGTCGGAGATGGCAGCTGAAGGAGACATCAAGATGAAGGAGGATGTGTTTGAGGCGAAGGGAAATGGTGAGACCTGCATAATTTTGCTGCATTTTTAACCCTATAGAAATAAATGTTATACGTTTTAGTAAAGCTAATTTAGGCAGGCATCGTTCCTCATTGTCATAAATATTATTATTTTTTTATCTAATGTTATGTTTATGTATTTGTACGTAAAAAAATTTATTGGCCCAAGTTTGGCCCAAAATTCCCATATCAGTTTAAACCAAATTATTCTTGAGTTGTAGGTAGAGCTGTTCCATTACAGGAATTTTAGAGTCTACACTGATTCCGAGTCCAAGTGACAGGAATTGATGGAGTGAGTTGCAAGAGTCGATTCCACACAACCTCCATTCCAAAAACCACGGTGTACAGAAGGACATCTGCCAAAAAAGAATACAGTATAATTAAACCTGAACTTAGCATAGAAAATTTGGTAAAATAACTCTTTCTAAATTAAGCTGACTAATGGGAGCTGGCTAAATTGTATCTGATTCTTCTGTCAGCTCCTTCAGGTGGGTAGATGTTTTGGTGCTAGCAGTGTTGTTTGTCAGGCAATTTTGCTGCAGGTTTTACATTTTGCTTAGTTTTCTACTTTGTCTGCAGTGAAATACAGTTGGACTTTCAATGTGCTCGTTATGGAAAGATCTATTTTTCATACAGACTGTCTAGACAGTGACAGCAGAATGTCTCACACTCAGTGCATGTGAGTGCAGCAAACCTGAACGTCACTGTGTGAAATTGAGTCCAAAGCTTTGGAGTTGACTCTTGATTCCCAAATTCCTGGAATCAAGAAATCAATTCTTTTGGGATTGGCTCTGAATCCTAGTTACAGGAGCGAAGAATGGTAGCCTGGACTCGCCAGCAGGTTCTGGCTATTTTAGGAGTTAGGGGATTAAAGCTGTATGATATGTGATGTATTTTTGGTGGATGTAAATGCTGTGTCGATCAGATGTAGAAGTTAGAGTTTCTTTTGATTCTTGAATGACAGATGCTGTTTGTCTGTTGCCATCGCTTAACTGCCCTCTCCCCCTCTCCATGCAGTATACGCAGTGACTCTTGAGACAGTATTAGCTGGCCATGAGAACTGGGTGTATGGCATCCACTGGCAGCCACCAGTTAACAAAGGTAACAGTCAGTGCTTTCTAACAGCTGTTTTGGGGAATGATGCATGATTTTATTTATATTTGTACTGGTTGATGTTTGTACTGGTTGATGTTTGTACTGTTTGACGTTCTTTGCTGTTTGTCTCCCCCTGCAGGGGGCTCGGTGGAACAGCCTCTGAGTCTGCTCTCTGCCTCCATGGACAAGACCATGATCCTTTGGGGGCCAGAGGACTCGTCAGGTGTGTGGGTGGAGAAGGTGAGTTCAGACAGTTTGCTGTTCTTTTTTCAGAGTGTTTTTCTTTTACAGAGTCATGAACTGCATGAACTGAGACTGTATTCCACTGACTCCCAAGGTGGCAGTGATTTGGCGCTTCAGAAACAGCTCAGCGTCTTATTTAGGGTTTTCTGTTTGTAGTACTATTACTAGAACTACTACTAAGAGTGTACATTTTTGTCATTGATTTGACATTGATTTCAATTCTTGTATTCATGAAATCTTATCATTATTATTATTTTATTTTGTTATTTTTATGATTGAGAAGTATTTTTAAGATTTCACTCAAGACACATGTTATTAGAGGAGCTGCTTACACAGTAGTATAATACAGATAATGAATACAGTACACCAAGTGTTTTTGTTGTGATATTTACAAATATCCTGAGAATTTAATTTTGGCTAAACATCACAATGCATCAGTATATTTTTACACCCCTATTACTTTCTAAATATCTCATTTTAAACTATACTATATGTAGTTTGATATTCTGTTACAAATTATTACTAATATATTGCACATTTTCATAGTATACAATATGCTTTACAGTATATAATTTTTCTGAGCTTTAAAACGTTGGAACAGACAAAAAAACAACCACTAGTGCCATATTTAAAAGATATTATCAGAAAATATGAATGCAGTGATATTCAATGTTTTGTACAGTGCAAAGCCAGTTATATCCAGTTATAAATCCAAAATAAAAGCTAAATCCAGTTATATAGGCCTAATTATGCTCTTGTAATGAAACATGCAGTTGGTCAGTGTTCTTTAAGTACTGACAGTTTCCACAGTATGTTCAGAAAAGCATACTGTGATGTAATGTGTTGTAATTTACCACAATAACAATGAATATCGCCATATTGCCCTATAACACACTTCTTTTAGATACATACAAAGCCTTGTCGTCACCAGACAACTGTATTATTTTCTGGAACCATTGCAGACAGAGCTGCTGGACAGCCTCACCCCACAGTGGGGTCACTGTGCCTTCTCTCTCTTCTTTCCGTACGTCCTCTGGCTCTCCTCCCGTCCACTTGTGAAGCTCTTCGGAGTCCACAGCAGGACGAGCAGGCAGCAGGAATGTGTTCTACAGCTGAAGCCAGATCCTCCGCTGTGCTCCACCCTCTCTGTCAGCCAGAGAACATCTGTTTGTTCTCTTCATCCTCTTAAAACCCAGGCTCTGCGTGGAGGAGAGGTTGGAGGAGCAAGGTCTTCTTCATCTGGCTGTGAGCCGATGACAGTGATGAGAGCCGTCACCCTGCAACAGAGCGGAGGTACCTGAGATAACCCCCTGGTGCTCAGTGTCAGCCTCAAAGCAGGCCAAACTTCCCCTTCATCCGTAACAAGGGGTTTTGATTGGCGTCCCAGCAGCAGATAACAGGCATGGCTCCATAGGTGATCAATAAGAGCGGCTACCTTTTGATCTTTCAGCGAGCAGGTACAGCTTTGTGGAGCTCAGATCAGTGCCGTCTCTAGAAGTTCCTGTTCCTGACACGTGGTGTCACGATGTGAGTTGCAGCTGGCTCACGTGCACCACTGTACCTGAGCTCATCCAATTAAAACTGATGGGCTACTTGCACCTTGCAATACAGCAACAGTTGTGAAAGAAATGGGAGTAATTGTACTTCTCTCTCGTGAAGTTGACGTAGTAAGAAAGCCTTGCATAAATCTCTTTTTTTGGGTCTGTGCTGCATACATGGAAATGCATTCAGTTCACCCTCTGTATTTTTTGGTAAAGGGCATATTAGATGAAGTGGGTCGTGAACTGGCTTATCAAACGCGACTCTGAGCCTTTGAACTGACAGGTTCCCTGCCTCCAAAGGAAGCAGGCGTCTGTTCTTGCACACTTTCCTTCACTTCCTCCCTCCAACCACCCATTTTCCAGCATTTCACACAGAGCTTGACTGCTTAAGAGCTGAGATTATATTATAGCTGCCTTCTTATGTAATATCTCCTGACAAAAGGCTAGAATTAATGAAAGCTGTGCGTCTAAACGTTGCACTAGAACAGGCTGGTTTTAAAGGAGAAATACTGAAGGCCTAGATCACGGCATCTCCAGCGCCACTTATTTCTTCGTAAATATGTTCGGGTCATTTAAACTGGACCGTGCTGCAGCGTTCTGATAGACTGCCTGTGAGAATGCCACTAAGCAGCAAATGACCAGCATCAGTGTGGCTAATTAACGCATTTAAAAAGGAGAGCCTCCTCCATAATGATTAGCCTAATTGGTTAGATTTAGTGGAGAGCTGGCTAGCAGTGGGGTGGCCAGACGGACTGCTGGGTAAAGTACGCCCTGCTAATAAGTCACACTGGCAGTTAAAGCTGTGGTGTGGTGTGGCGGGACCATAGCAAGGACCTGTCAGTCCTGAGCCATTAGCTGCATGCTAATGCTTTGTTAGTCCTGATAAATTGGAGCAGAGAGGTGATGAGTGGCTGGTAAAGAGCTCCAGCTACTCACTAAGGCAGAAATGAGCTAAGATGAGTCTAGATGGTTACTTTGGCTCATCACAGACAGCAGATCATCTTAAACAAACTGAACTAATCAGCTATTCCCAGTAGAGTTTGCTTGACTATTACTTTTTACTTGTCAACTAGTCATTCAAAAATTAATTAACTAATTTAAATATTGCCATGTTTTAAAAAAAGTTCTTGTGCATTTGCTGACCAGTACTCCACTTCGATTGATATGAGTTTGTTTTTTATTGTGCAGGTATCAGCTAAACTTTCTGTAATTGCTCAGTCGTATTAGAGACGATGGTTATTGAAACCTACCCAGGTTTGGCTTACAAGCCTGCATTTCAATTGAATTCTTGCACAGCTTGCAGTGGAACTGGTTTTTGTGTAGTATTTCCACACAAATAAAGCAAAAGTAAATCATTTGTTATTTTTCTTCTGTCTTTCTGCCTTTTCACTACAGTTTTTACTGCTGCTGAATGTCACACCTTGTCCTCAACTAGTTGACTGCTTCCCACAGCGCCAACTTGTGGATTTATTAGTCTACTAGTCTATGCAACCACTAATTGCCAGTGTGTGGATCTTAAATAACAGTTAAGTGGCAGGATTATGGGAACAGATTGAATTAAGACCTTTTCCAGTTACTTGTACTTTATATACTTTCAAACTCTAGTACCTTCCTGTCTTTTTTGCCTCCTTTGTGCTGTGAAATATGTCCAGCCATGTTCCAGACCTTCTGGTGAGTGTTTTGGACATGTACATTGCGCTACAGATCCATACTGTTATTCCCTCCGTAAACAAGACTGATTACACATTTTGCTTGCAGGAGCTTGGCATGATGTACGAGCAACAATGTGGACGGAATTCAAAATCAATCTGGTTAATGTTGCGTTGCTCTCTCCACAATGGCTCGCAGAGGTCTGTGCCACTCAAAGTGAAAGGCACACTTTATCGTCGTCATTAGTTCCGCCATGTCTCTCAGCAAGATGGGCCTGTGAAGGGCATCTCGCATGAGCCTGTGCTGGCGCTAAAGAGCGCCAGAACGCCCACTGCAGATATCCAATGAGATTTTGCATGTTTGGTCGTACATGCAAAATAATCTTAAAGGTTAGTCATGTCCTCAGCTCTCCGCGTGAGATTTCATAATCTTTGTGACTTGTTGAAGCAGGCCTTTTCAAACATGCTCAGTAAATAGTGAGTACATGGCTTAGAGTGTACAGCTTTTCTGTGCTCGGCATACCAATTGATTGTTCGTCATCGTTTGTGACTGTGGCGCTACTGACCAAGAAAAGAGTGTTCATGTTTTTCCGTGGCTGCTCCAGTGTCCTGTCACCTACTCAAGGTCAAAAGGGGGATAATTTTTAGAACCTACAGACTGAGCCAACTCAGAGCCATGGTGGGTGGCAAGAAATAACATCCAGAAAGAACATCTTCGAAGAATCTGATTTGATTATGTAACTTGTACAAATGCAAGCTTTTTTTTTTTCCTCCTTCCTTTTTTATGTCTGGAATTGTTGCCAAATGCAAATGATCTCAATCAGTCTGCATTAGTCCTTGCTTGTACACTGCCATAAATACAAGCAGAGCCAGGTTAGCCCTGATGGCATAATCATGACTAATTATCTTGTTTTATATGATGTTAGTGCTTGCTTCGCAGCACGACTGGCTTCCTCCATTAATGTGAGACACTCAAGCGGCATTAAGCGTGTTAGACACGGGCCAGACAGAGGGCACAGTACTCTTTTTGTTTTACAATTTGTCGGGGAAATGAATATGGCGCTTTGGTATTCATAGCCTTGCCAGGTCAAGGGAGTTTAGCCTATAGTCTAATTCATCCTATGTGTAAGCAAAGCTATTTTCTGTATAGTTTTGCTTGGACTGAGGCCTCCATTTGTTTTAATGTGACATGGTGCACACTGACTGTGCTCAGGACTGCATTAACGTGTTTGAATGAAGTTTTTTTTTTTGCCTCCCCCTTAATAGCCTCTGCTTTGCATAATTCCTGCTTTGGCCTGTCTGTTTGATTTATTTGGGGTTCCGCATATGCACTTTGTAATGTTGCTTAATAATAGATGGCTAAACTAAGATGGAGCACAGCTGCAGACTTTGGCTCCCATTGGCCAGGATTCATGGCCAGTAATTAGTGGCCTCTGTGACCAGCAGATTCATGAGGGGCAGCGAGACTGACGCATTCGCTGTGACTCCTCCACTCTTTCCCATTTACTGTCAAACAAAGCACCTTAAAGCACCTGCTTCCTTAATTGGCAGTCAATGGGAGTAGCTTCACAGAATCTTGAGATGATTTTTCTGTGATGGAGTTTTGCCGCAAGCTTGTTTTTCACCCCTCATCGCTCTGAATGTGCTCGTAAGGCGCCCACTTGAAATGATATAGGCCTGAAAGATTTTACTGTTTATCGACTTTCCAACCACTCTAGGAAAGTGGCCTCTGAGGAGTTGGCAATCTTGCTGTTAGTAACAAGACTTATAGCCAAGACGGTACTAAAGAATGTTTGTCTACCTGCATACGTGAGCTCTTCAAGGAGAACTTTCAAAACCACCACTTGTGTTGGCTTGTGTCCAGGTGCGTGTTGGGGAGGTAGGAGGAAACACGCTGGGCTTCTTTGGCTGCCAGATGAGCCCTGACGGCTCCAAGATTCTGGCTCATGCTTTCCACGGAGCGCTGCACCTATGGTATAAAGACCAGGGCCAGCAGGTAGGTCCCAAACCTTATCAGTCAACCATTAAATCACCTTATCTGGAGCTTCCAGGAGATACAGCTGAACTCACTTTTTAAAGTTGAAGAAAAGTACATGATGCAAGAAAAACATTAAACAAAAAAAGACAAAAAACGGGGAAAGGTGTAAAACTAATCTAAGAAACCTAAAACTACAGTTTAATATGTAATTTGTCATGCAGTTTTCCGCTGAGCATTTTATCCCAAAGCAAGCAAGCAAAGTTTATTTATATAGCGCGTTTTACAACAGGTGTTGTCACAAAGCAGCTTTACAAGGAAGTCAGCATTACAGAAAGAAATCTGGGTCCAAACCCCCGTGAGCAAGCCAGAGGCAACAGTGGCAAGGAAAAACTCCCTAAGAGAAACAGGAAGAAACCTTGAGAGGAACCAAGACTCAGAAGGGGAACCCATCCTCCTCTGGTCGACACTGGATAGTAAACATTGTTAGTATAAAGTATTATAGTACAAAAACAGGGAAAACAGGTGGAGCAAATGATTAATTTGATTAGTTTAGTTCATGCATCAGCAGCAGCATCAGCAGCAGCATCAGTGGGGTCAGGTTGTAAGGGTGAGGTTTGCACGGCGTAGTACAGCATGAAGCTCAATGGTGGTCAAGCTGGTCCAGAGGGCTGGCGAGCAGTGGCACCCGATCAAGGCATAAGAGGCAGCAGCATCAGACGCACAGGATGGGCAGCTGTTCAACTCGGCAAAGAAAAGAAAGAAAGGAAAAACACACAGAGAGTCAGTTCTGTAATGGGTGATTGATTAATTTGATTAGTTTAAGTTTTTGATTAGTTTAGTTCATGCGGCAACAGCAGCAGCATCAGTGGGGTCAGGTTGTGAGGGTGAGGTTTGCACGGTGTTGTACAGCAAGGTCATTGGTGGTCAAGCTGGTCCAGAGGGCTGGCGAGCAGTGGCATCCGATCAAGTCAGAAGAGGCAGCAGCATCAGACGCACAGGATGGGCAGCTGTTCAACTCGGCAAAGAAAAGAAAGGAAAAACACACAGAGAGTCAGTTCTGTAATGGGTGTGAGTTCTGTAATGGGTGACTGATCACAGATTACAGTGTTAGCAGAGCAGCAGAGACTCTGGCAGGTATAGAACTGACAGGGAAAACTAATTACCAAAGGCTTGACTATACAAGTAAGTTTTTAGCCTAGACTTAAACACTGAGGCTGTGTCTGAGTTCCGAACTTTAACAGGAAGATTATTCCAAAGCTGGGGGGCTTTGTATGAGAAAGCTCTCCCCCCTGACGTAACTTTATTAATTCTAGGTACTAATAGTAAGTCAGCACCTTGTGATCTAAGTAGGCGTGATGGTTCATAGTGGGAGAGAAGTTCACTCAGGTGCTGAGGGGCGAGTCTGTTTAGAGCTCTATAAGTCAGTAAGAGAATTTTATAATCAATGCAAAATTTAACTGGTAACCAGTGTAAGGTTGATAAAACTGGGCTGATGTGGTCAAACTTTCTGGTTCTAGTAAGAACTCTGGCTGCAGTGTTCTGGACTAGCTGAAGCTTGTTAAGGCTTTTGCTGGAACATCTAGCCAGCAGGGCATTACAGTAGTCTAGCCTTGAAGTAATAAATGCATGAACTAACTTTTCTGCATCCTGTAGAGATAATGCATTTCTCAATTTAGCAATATTGCGGAGATGCAGGAAGGCTGTCATCAGTTTCATGTTTTCATCCATCAGCGTTCTTTCACTATGGAATGCACCATGCAAACATTTCATACAATCAGTGAGAACCCCTGTGAGATAACTAGTCTACCTTGCTAACTGCACATTTTAGCTTGTTAACCTCCTCATCTGATGGGTCATTTGTGTTGTTTCAGTAATCTATTCTCTCCATTGTAATAATGATTTGAGCACAGTTTCTACAATAAGTGCAATAAGGTATTTTCCTAAATGTCTGGCTCATTCTACATTCACCAGCAAGCAGACTTTGAACATTCTGGCTCCAAAAATCCACCCTAAAGCACCTTCAGGATACGTCATCAGAAGGATGTTTTGTCTATTCTTTGAATGATAAAATCTCACTCTACAGTGATGAGTGATGATGAAATGTGTAATTTTGACCAGAGTGTGCTTTTAGGTGAAATGTAGGAACGAATGCTGACTGGGTTTGGGTTGTTGTCTTGTGCAGGGAGAGTGGAGTCCAGGAGTGGTGTTGTCGGGGCACTTTAATGCAGTGCAGGATCTGAGCTGGGATCCAGAAGGGGAGTTTCTACTCAGCGTCGGCTCAGACCAGACCACCAGGCTCTTTGTGCCATGGAGAAGAAACTGCTCACAGGTTTCAGATTTAAATTCAAATCTAATTTTACTGCAGAGACAGTTAAACCAACTTGTACCTTTCAGAGCAAACATGATCTCTGTTAAATCTGTACTTCCATTCAGAAGTTTGGAATCACTTATTATATTAATAATGGGCATTACTTTTAAATTTGTTACTCAATAATAACTTTTACAATCCGGATTGAAATAAGCGGGAATGTATTTTTGTATTTTTTATTCAATGTCTGGAAGTTTTTAGGAACAACACAAAGTTATAAATGATAAATAGCAATTATCTGTAATTATATAATTATTTGTTTTGTGTCACATTTTCTCCATTGAAATTTGATCACAACTTTCAAGTATAACATTGTATTGTATCACGTTGGATCATATTGCATCATTGTATAATAACTAGTATGTTACCTTGTGGCTTCTGTGTTAGCTTGCGTCTGATGTATTATTTTGTGGCTAGAGCACTAGGTCAGGACACTGTAAAGCACAGCTTTTGATTCAGATATTGTCCTTTTGTAATGTTGAATGCTCTAATAAGCTGGAAACTGTAACAGTGGTGTATATTAATGTAAGGTGCATTTTCAGGTACTCCTTATTTTTGCTGTACCAAAAATGCGAGACACCGCTGTATTAGATAAGACTAAATAAACTCAGTTTATCCTCTTTGATGCGTCTGAATGTCTTCATCGTTACAGCTTCCTACAAAGTAATAGTGTTATATTGCAGTCATTTCATTCACTGTATGTAAAGTACAGCAAAAATTGTTTTTATATTATTGATAACAGTGATTTCAACCTGCTGAATTGTGATTCCGAAGTTTTGAACAGTAGTGTACATAGACATTTGAAATGCTGCACTAAAGAAGACGTGAGAAGAACTGCATGTGTTAATGTGCAGTAATGTTTTAGGATGCTCTCACTGTGTGATTTATTCACTCCAGTTGCGCTGTGCGTGTGTATGTGTATATGTGTATTCAGGTGACTTGGCACGAGATTTCCAGGCCTCAGATTCACGGCTATGACATGCAGTGCCTGGCCACGGTTGGCCGATTCCAGTTTGTCTCTGGAGCAGATGAGAAGGTGCTGCGTGTGTTCAGGGCCCCACGCAACTTTGTGGAGAACTTTGCCAACATAGCGGGCACCTCTCTGGAGAAACTCATGGCTTCTACTGTAAGTATTCACAATCCTCTATTCTTGGAAACATAATTATGCCACGTGGATCCTCAGCGTTAATTACATTTTTTCTCTCAGTCTTGCAGCATGAATTCTTCTTGGGCTCCCTTTTCTTCTGTTTAAATATCGTGCACCTTAATTATGATTGCATATACTGTAGTTAACACAGTTCCATTCGCTTTCCTGTGATCATGATTTTGATTTATGGGGGCAAGTATGTTGTGAAATGCATGTAAAAATATATCATATATGCTTTAATGCAGTGGCTCTCATACAGTTACATTGTGATAATAATATTTGGTTTTGATTTGTCTTCCCTTGGATCTCCATGATGGCAGGATGCAGCAGGTTTACCCGAAGGAGCGAGCACACCTGCTCTTGGCCTCTCCAATAAGGCTGTGTTTCAAGGTACACATCTCCTTTGGAGCTCATGGTTGTTTTCTGTTGAACAGGCCCGTAATGACTTGCTTGCTATTGCTTTAGTCAGACAAATGCTGACGTTTTCCACCTACTGTTTTGATTGACAGGTGACCTTGCAATTCAGAACACGCAGGTGGAAGGGGAAAATTTCAACAGTGTGTCTGACCAATACAAGGAGTCCTACTTCCACCCTCTCAGTCTAACAGGTACACACTGTTATGTTAGCCTGTGGAAGCTGCTAACAAACTGCATACTAGCTAGCAGCCATTTACCACTGAGCTATCAAATCTGATACACAATCTAGCAGCCAACTTATAGCCTGCATGTTGCCCATAGTTTTTGCCAGCAACGTCAGAAACCACTATTTCACAGTTTACTATGTGGTCTAAAGCAGGTGTTCTCAAACTTTTCCACTTCACCAACATATTTATCACTAGAGAGCATGAAGGCCCACAGGAAAACAGTTTTTGTTAAAGATATGTCAAGAACCCAACTTTTTGGGGGAATTCTTCAACTCAGCGTGTGTTTGGGTCATATCACTGAACACAAAATATGAACAAAATGACAGGTGGCAAATTAAGTGGATTGTGTATTTGGAATTAAGTGGATTGTGTATTGGAATGAATATATTTTTAATCACTTTTATTATTTGTTATTTTATTATATTGTCACGAGTCGGCAACTGAAACGGGGGGGGTTGTTGTTTTTAGCTGGTAAGGAGCAAAAAATAGATGAAGCTGCCATTGTGTGCCATTTTTGCAGGCATTGTATTGTTAATATTCTTTGCCATTTGATAACATTTTATAATATATTATATATATATATTATGTTTGAAATATTTCAATTTTAATACTAAGTCTTCTTTTTCACTGATTTTTTTAACCGGCCCACTGTGGACCACTGGCACCCACTCACTATTTGCCTGTGAACCACCAAAGGGTGCTTTGTGGCCCACTTGTGGTACAGAGCCCAGTGGTTAAGAAACTTTGCTCTAAAGCAAATATGTGACGATTTGGGCTTGCAGTTTGCACAATGCTAATTGGTGAGGTATAAATTTTGTTACTTGTTAGCTACATTAGCAGCATAACTCCTGTGCAAAACTAAAGAAGCAGCAGACACTAGACATGTCTTGCCAGATTACTGGGTGGTTAATTTGTGCTCTCTCTCTTTATGTAACTCTCTTAATGGTCGCTTTGATGATAACAGTATGTATTGCTGAGTCTGAAATGGTCCTCTGCTACTTATTTAATGCACTGCACAGGTCATGAAACTATGGCTTCTACACCCAAATATTGCACTAATTGTTAGACAGGGAGTCGTGCAGTTTATGGCTGAGTATAAATGGCTTTCTATTAGACATGTAATGCATATAATAGTTGGGTGAAAAATATTTCATGACCCACATAGAGCAGTACGCAGGGAGTAGGGAGCCGTTTGAGACTCAGCCTATATCGTAAGATGATTTGGGGAACTGTTAAGCTCCTGGGAAATCTCACTAAACCGGTAGCTTAGGTAGAGCGTCAGTCTGCAGCCTATTAGAAAAATTGAGGTGCTGTATATTCACTTGTAGTGTTCCTCCAATCTCAACCGCAACTGCTATTGCAAAGAAATTAAGTGATGTTTTCTCTGTATTATTTACATGGATTTCACTGAGGGCAGCAGTCTCTGTTGTAACCCCATAGAGTCTGCCTTGCTGAGGCACAAGGAAGAGTCAGAGAGCTCAACCTGCTAGAGAAATCTCTGTGCTGTGCTGCTGAGAGTAGACAAGAGCAGGTATCTAGTCTGAGAGTCCAGGCCCCCAGAACCCACCTACACCAGCAGTAGACCTGCTCAGCTCAGTGGAGGCTTTCCTGGCCTGTGCCTGGAAAAGACAATGACGGCCCACGTTTGTGACGAGATTATTAGGGACTGCCTTCGCAGGCTGAACCGTACAACTGGGGCATGAATCAAAGATACTGGAGACAAATGTTATTACTGGAATTGACTGTGTGAGGAGGGGGTCTGTGCGCGTGTTTGCATGCCGAGTGTAATGGCAGGAGGAGGGGTTTATGCGTCTCTCGCTCCAGGCAAACAGGCAGACGCTGTCAATGTGATTGAAAAAGCTCCTTAATCTGAAATCATAATTAGAAAGAAGGCTTATATAATTGCAAAGTTAAAATATTGATGACTCTGGGCTATGGGGAGTGCAATGAGGCAGACCTAGAGTTGTTAACAGAATAATGCAACACTTTCCCGCTCTCTCTCTCTTGCACCCGCTCTCGCTCTTTCTTTCCTTCTAGAGGGACAAAGAAGGGAATAATTAGAGGCAAATGACAAACCAGGGTTGAATAAAACACGGGTTCAGCTTTCGACTCCGTTTCAGCTCAAATTGGGCACATGTTGCATTAGTATCTGTTTTTGAATGATGAGGGGCGTTCCTAGTCTTGCATTAAGAAAAGTAAATTTGATTTGCTTGAAATCTGAAAGCTAACAGCCATTGAAAATTGTGCAGAAAGCTTTTATTGTTGGAAATAGCATTTGAGGTAATTGGTGAGGGATTATTTTGATGCTAAATAGATGAGCCTTGTGAAAAGCTGAAAAAAAAATGCCTTGGAGTGTTTACTCAATTCTCACAGCATTATCTGTGTGTATGTGTGTGTGTGTATGCGTGTGTGTATGTATATGTGTTTCCAGAGCCCCCACCAGAGGATCACCTTCTCCAAAACACTCTTTGGCCTGAGGTTCAGAAGCTGTGAGTCCTATTTATTCTCATTTGTGCCTCCTTAGCAGCACTGATGTGGCTGAAGCAAGCAGTAATGCTGTGCAGCGTTAGTGTTACAGCATCAGCCCTGTGCAGCACTAATAATGCAGTGCAGGAGTCCTTTAGAAATCGTGAGCAGTGAGTCCAGACCCAAGCACCTTTTCCCCACCCTGTCTGCTGTGACACTAGGGAAGATAAATTCAGCCCTGCTTTATTAAAGGGACTTGTTTTGCTCTCTCCCTTTTGTGAAAATGAATGCTGTATACCAGGTTATTGGCTTAATGCGTTTGTGAAAGGCCCAAGTTTCAGCTTTATTTCCTACCAGGCTTGTGTCATCGCAAAATTGTCCTCATTTGCTTCCTGAGCTCATTGTATTGTTTCAGTTATTTTTGCACATAAAATGAGATTTGTACATTTAAAGAGGGAACAGACATTACATTGTTGAATTGTGCTCTCAGTGGCATTCACAAAGGGAGGTAAAGTAGGGAATTGCTCTTAATGCAGTTTCCCTAATCGGTTACGCATAATCTAATTTTGAGCAGATTAATTAGATTCGTATCAACAGGGTATTTATAGAAACCGTTTCACATTATGCAAATATTTCTCCCTACAATGCATTTGTGTTTGGTTGAAATAAACAAAATGATGTATATTAAATAATGTAATTAGTAGCCATCTCTTCCTCGGTCATTAGCTCTGGTGAGCGTTTTGAGTCATGGCTGATTCTGCCTGCTAAATTGAAAGACTCAGACTATGCTGTGTTCCGTATGCCGTAGATAGTAGCTGTAGGCTTAGTCTCTTCAGCTTCCTGAGCTTTTTACCCAGCGTCTCAAATGACTAAGCAGGCGGTGTAATAGCTGCTGTAACGTGTGCCTTCCTGCCCCCCCTCATACAGCCATGCTCTGCTTCTTGCAAAAAAAGAGCATCCTGGCCTCAAATGCTGTCCTGACAGGTTCTCTAAGCACCTACTGTGTTAAGGTTTAGTTTCTGAGACAGAAGTGACAGAAACCTCATTAACATAGCCTTTCTCTCTGTCTCTCTCCAGGTATGGTCATGGCTTTGAGATGTTCTGTCTGGCATCAGATTCTTCAAGAACAGTGGTGGCCTCAGCGTGTAAGGTACTGTCACAATACGCACCAGACCATTAGCATTACAATATTCTTCCTGTCTAGACTGTTTCCCTCCTCCTGCCTGGATTTAGCTCGCAACTTTTACAGTGCCTGAATTGGAGCCATTCATTCAGAGCTGTATGTTGAAAAATTCTTAGTTTGATTGACGGGTGCACTTCCTTATTGCACACTGGATAAGCACTTCTAAAGCTTTTTTCCCATTGAAATTTACTCTGTATATCTTTATTAACCCTGCCAATTTCATTGGTCCAAATTGTTCTTTGTTGTTCCTCACTAATCCAAAAAAAAGCTACCTCTTAGTCAGTGTGGACAGAAATTATTGCCACCCTAAAAAGGAGGTTTTTGTCACTGATTAGATTTGAAGCCTGCCAGGTTCTTGGAAAAAAACATCCTGGCAAGTGAGATTAGCGTGAGTGTGAGATTTTCACAGAGTAGGAACTTATTGAAAATTAAGCCCAAATTGTACCAAATATTTTCTCACACTTTCTTCACAGATCGCTGGGTGTGTAGGGGTGTATGTGCCATTGGTTAAAGCCAGTTTCCTTTACACCTGCTGTAATGTGCTTCTTATTTAACCCTTTAAACTGCAGGCTTATTTTTTAGTTATTAAACTTGAGACTTTACATTATTCAGTAACTACTAGGTAACTAATACTTGAAGGGAGAACAACTGAGTTACAGTGGCACACATAAAGGGGAATTCCATCGATTTTAAACATCTCCATAATTCAGTGTTTTGAAAAGTCATTCAGAGTGGTTTATTGTGAAATTGAACATTGCTGAGCCATTTTATTTGCTATCTAAATCCCATCAGTGAAACTTACATGTGTCTTCTGAGTTTTATATGCAGTGGTAAGAAAGGTAAAATAGTGGTAAATCTGAAACATTTTCTTTAGATACTGTTTTTCCCCTATAATTCTCTGCATATACCTTTCCACACTGAACAGATTTTAGAAATACATTGTAGTCCCTAACCTTCTTAAAATGATCAAAAATCAGTATCTCATGCATCAGCCAGTGTATTCTTAATCATTTCATATAATAACTTTGCGCAAGGGAGCTTTTAGAGGCATTAAACTTGTCTGGTTCCTATCACCACCACTGTGAACAATTCTGATTCAGTACGTTTCTCTAGAACAGAACATTTTACATCAAACCACTTTAAGTAACTGTTTAGATCTTAACTGTTTTATTATGCAGAAATTTTGAAATATTCCTGTTTCATTCATTGTAGCTAGTCTTCCCTCTGAGGCCACTGTGTCCTGGCCTGGCTTGACTTTGTGCCTCTGTCTGCCTACACTGGGTGCAAGCATAGCTTTGTAACTAGGAGCACGTTCTACATGTCGGCAACTATCGCTCACAGGCCATGTTTATCCCTCAGCAGGTCGAGGGAGGGTGGTCTAGCAAACTAGAGCTGACCTCTGCTGCAATGTGTTCCACTGCTGCCCACAGGCATATGCATGGGAGACACCCCACAAGCCCTGTTACATGACCTGGTCAGGCAGAGGCAGAGGGTTTTGGTGTTTGGTGGGGAAAAAAAAACAACTCTATTTACCTGGAGCTTTCATCCCCTTTGCTTTCATGGCACTTTTAGAGGTGACTTTGAGTTTAACTGCAGTTGAGCTGTTATGTCACGGCATTTCTGACATCCTGTGACAGGCACGTTAAACATGACGTCCTCAGCTGCCTTTCTTGTAAACAGTCAGTCAGACAGTGTTCAGACTACTCCCAGACTGCTAGAATGCGTCTCTTGCTGCCCACAGGCGTCTAAAGCAGAGCACGCAGCCATCCTGCTCTGGAGCGCCTCCTCCTGGAAACAGCTGCAGGCACTCCCTTGCCACAGCCTGACTGTCACTCAGATGGCATTCTCCCAAGATGGACGGCTGCTCCTCGCCGTGTCCCGAGATCGCACCTGGTCTCTATGGAGAAGGGAGGACCCTGGCGCTGACAGCTCAGGTAAACATATTATTATTATTGTGATAAATTACATCATGAAATGCTTTTCTGAGTATTTCATCAGTACTTCTAGAACTTAGTACAACTGCATGTAACATAAAGAAAATTTTGCTGAATTAAGACCTGTTATAGAGAGCCTGTAAATAACAGCAACTAGTGCATAGCAGAGATGGGGGACTTGACTCAGACTCGCGACTCTACTTGGACTAGAGACTTACCACTTATGAATTTTTCACCTGACAAAAGACGCAAACAAAATTGATTAAATTAGGACCTCCAACTTTAATGTGATAAATGAATAAAATCTTTCCTTTGCTATGGTTGTTCTCCCGCATCGTGCAGCAGCATCAGGCTCGATACGGCTTTAAATAAAGAGCCTTCAGTCTAATAGAGAGAATGAAACACTACATGCTGTAAATGTGGTGTTTAAAAGAAAGAAGCAAAACAACGTGAAACAGTTGGCTAGTATTTAGTTTGGATAGCACGTACTGTAGCTTCTGCAACACGTAATTTAGCTGAAATTGTCAGCTAATCTAGACATTTTAGTAAGTTACAGATCACATTCCTTTTAAATCTTACTAAAACCGGATTAGTTATTATACTAGTTAGCTATTGTAACTTACTTGCTATACAAATTACAGACTGTCCAACCGTTTCAAGTTGTTCTGTCTCTCTTCTTTAATGCTGTATTTACTGCATGTAACCAAATATTGTGTTACATGTTGTGATACATTATCTTGTATTGTGAAAATGTCTTCAGTTATCGTGATGTTATATTTTTGCCATGTTGCCAACCTGTAGGTAAAACTTCCTTCTCTTCTTGCAAACAAACTGTTGCACCAGTTTGTTTGTTTGTTCTTCTCTCAGCATCAATACTGTGCTATTAGTTTGGTGGCCAAACACTCCCTCATGTCGAGATTGCCTCTGTGTGTACCAAATTCTCTTTAAAAGCTGCCGCTCAGTGCACAGCCTTCCTCTCCTCCCTGTTTTAAGCATCCGCGGCTAAATTGCCGCTGACAGGAGTTAAGCGGCTGAGCGGCTGTTTTCCTTTGCCTGTTTACTTGTGTGTTGGAGGAAATGCTGACCGCTGAGGCCAGGGGAAGACTGCAGTCTGTTCTAGTTGAGGCTGGTATTACTCACAGCCTGTGTGCTGTGGATGTGAGGAGGCTCGCCAGTATCAGTGCAGATGAGGCAGAAGCCCAGCGTCAGCAGTGGAGAAACCTCGGCCGCACAGATGAGGCATCCCCCTCTTCCTGTTTGTCTCACTCATTCTGGCATTGTGTTTTGGGCTAATGAGTTGAGACCAGCCAATCAGAGACGAACGGTCGTTTTGAATCAGTGGATGCTGGTGCTGTTGTCTGAGTGCATGCACGTGTGTGTGTGTGTGTGTGTGTGTGTGTGTGAGACAGAGAAGGGCTTGTTATTGGCTGTTGTGAGGTAGTGTTGCTGGGGCGTGATGACTTGGCTGAGGCAGGCTTGCTGGCCTGGACTGTAGATCAGCACTCAGTGACAGCTTAGCTAAACAGTAGCAACCTCTCAAGGAGATCCACAGCCAAGTTCGCTAACATACAGAGATAGGTCCAACAATGACAAGTTTTTAAATTGTGTTTTTCAACATAATCTCTATCTGCTGCATGTATACTGTACCGTTCATTACCCCGGACACTATTTTTTTAAAGTTTTGTTTCCCTGTACTAAGAAAAGATGATCTATTCGCATAAGGAAGGGGAAAGTCAAAGGAAGTTTCCAAAACTAGAGTTCAAAAAAATACAAGTTATATAGAGAAAATGTGACTCCTAACAACTATGCAAGACCTGGTAGACCACCAAAACTGTCGCCATCAGATAAACAGTACTTAAAGCTTTCACCTTGGAGAGAGAGGAGAAAATCAAGCTCCACTCTTGCTTCAGATCTGAAAGCTGTTACTAAGAAAATGAAACAGACAAAAAACAAGAACATCTGCAAATCAAACAAAGAAGCTGCTGGTGTTCTCAGTACAATGGACTGACCACCCCAGAGTCCAGACCTCAACATCACTGAATGTGTTTGGGATTACTTGTATTGTGAGGACTAGAAAATACAACCAACCTCTAAGATTGAAGTTTTCTGGTGTGGAAAAATATCCCTGCAGATTTCTTTGGAAAAGTGAAAGCAAGTCTTCTAAAGTCAATGGGGGCAGTAATAAAGGCAAAGACTGGACACACTAAATATTGAAAAAAAATCTATAATTGGTTGTTGGGGCTTCTGTGTAATGTTCTAGTAAAATATGTTTTCAGATTTTTTTCTGACACAGAAAAATGAATAACTTGCAAAATTAACTGACTTTTCTGTCAGTAGTAGTAATTAGTAGTAACTAGTACTGTATAGAATTATTACTTCAATCTGAAACTACAACCACTACATTATAACAGTACAAGTTTTACATGTCTTAGATGAGACAGACATGAGAGAATATCTCACCAAAGATGTTCTTATGAAGTTTTATCTGACTTCTGAACGCTGGAGTAACAGTAAAAAGGCAGTAACTTCTGCTTTCCATAAGGTTCTCTAGTGTCCATGTGCATTTAGATAAGAGCTTCTGGAAACTCCACAGTACTACGCTGGTAACCCCTTACCTCAACAGACATCTTTCACTGAAGAATTTATGAAAGTGTTCTACAAAAGCATGTTTGGCGTAAACCTCTATTGGCAGAATTTAGCAACTGCCCAGTGGCTTCTATAAGTGTGCTTTGAGTAAACAGTTCTTATCTAAGGACAGGGATATTATTGCCTTTGGTAATTCAGTGTACATTACAGAAGTGGCAGAGAGAGATTAGGTTGGAAACATGTTGGTGTCTTCTTTCAAGTCTTTGAGTGACACAAAGAAATCACAACGCATTTGTTGTTTCCTGTTTCAGAGCCTCGTTTCTCCCTCTACACTCACAGCACTAAGGACTCAGCGGTGCACACACGCATCATTTGGTCATGTGACTGGAGCCCTGACAATAAGTACTTTGTGACGTCAAGTCGGGATAAGAAGGTGATGTACAGTTTTACATACAGCTGCACCGTTCAGAGCTTTATCTCTATAATTTGACATGTAATTTGCCTGCCTGCTTCTGCTGATAGGTAATAATGTGGGGTCACCGTGGCTCTGAGGATTGTGTTGGTAAGAACAACAGCACAGTTGTTAGTCCCTGCTCCTCTGTCCTGGATGTAGGGGATTCAGCCACTGCTGTGGCTATCTGCCCTCTTATTCTCTCTGACCAAAGGTACAAACTACATTACACACAATTCACTGAGAGAAGCATAGTAGCTAATTCTTCCATTGAATACTGTTAAAATATTTTTAAAGGGTGCATATCATGTTTATACCATAAGATTTTCCTGATTTTCCTGGTTCGTTGTGGTATGTACACTGTTAGGCATACTGTCCAAACGTACGTTCATTGTTTTTTGGTGTCATGAAAACCAGGTTATTTACATGTATCTGTGTATTCAGCCTACAGCAGTTTAGCTCCGCCCATTCACACTGAAGTTATACGGAGTGTTTCAGCCCCAACTGCTTTTTGAGGCACAGTACAGGGCAGCCAATCAGAACAGAGATTGTTTACATATATCAGTAACCAAATCTGTTTGTCTAATTCTGAGAGATGAAGAGAGATTGGAAAATGGAGAATAAATATTTTTTGTTTTTGTTTTTTTACATCATGTTGGCATTTAAGTTAATTTTCCTAAACAGCTGACAGTTCTGCCCCATTGTGAGACAAATGTTTCATGTTTTAATAACAATGCAAATGTAGCTGAATATTTAGAGTTTTTCAAGTTTTTTTTTTGTTTATTTTTACACCATTGATTGTTTGTTATTGCAGTCAGAGCTCTATTTATGGATTTGCAAGTAACCCAGTTCCTTGATGTTTTGCATAATAAAATGTGGAAGATGCGATTATATTGTTCTATATATTGTTCTGTTATTTTCTGCCTTATAACATAGTGTGTACGTTTACTTAGTATTTCATTCTTGTTTGTTTAGCTACCTCTTGGCGGTGGGTCTAGAGAGTGGACGGATCGTGCTGTATAAATGGAGGCCGATGGAGGACCTGTATTCAGGGTCAGACTGGAGCAAGTGTGCTGAAACTGATGCCTCGTATCCTTTCCACTGCGCTGGGCTCAGAGCTCCAGCCTGTATATTCTTCGGAAGCAGCCATGCTGAAAGGCCAAGGCTGCAAGGTCCCAGGCCACTAGCACTTCTCACAAAACCTCTTTGATCTGATTACATGTGCTTTTTACTGATCTGATAACGGGTCTGGATCTGTTTGATCTAGTAACATGGTGCCTCATGGGAGTTAAACAGGCTTGCAGGCATTCCGGCTGCTGCACCTGTGAGTCCAGTGTACTTAAAAGTGACTGAAAGCTGAATTTGAATTTAGAAACTGTAATTTGAATCAGGTAAAAACTATTACAACATTCAGTGAATGTTAATGCACAGTTAATCCATATTTAAAATTTACAAAAAAAATAGAAAAAGTAAAATAGTAATTGTGTGCAAATGTTTGGACACCCTTTCAGTTCATTAAAACATTAGGCCAAAACAGCAAAACAAAGCCCCCATATGACAACAGAGGACCTGCAGGAAGGTTTAGCTGACAAAGGAGTGGTGGTGCACTGTTCTACTGTGCAGCGTTGCTTATACAAACATGGTCTGCATGGAAGAGTGATCAGAAAAAAACCTTGCTTGAGACCTCATCACAAAAGTCGATGTCTAAATAAACCAACATCTAGATAAGCCAGAGGCATTTTGAAAACAAGAGTTGTGGACTGATTAAGTAGAAATGGAACTCTTTGGCGATAATAACCGAAGGACAGTTAACTGTTAAACACAGAACACATCAGCGAATTCTAGAAACAAATGTGACTGTCAGTCAAGAAACTATATAGGGACAATAATCCAAAACATAATAATCCACAAATAATCCACAATCTGCCATGGACTACTTCAGGAATTGCAAGTTGAAGGTTTTGAAATGGCCCTGACCTAAACATTACTGGAAATCTGTGGGTAGATGTCAAGCAAGTCAGCCAAAGAATACAAAAAGCTGGATACAAAAAGTGTTTGCATGCTGTAATATCTACCAAATGGACTCAGTCAGGTGTCCGAACTTTTGCACATGCCACAGTTACTGTTTCATCTCTTTTCTGTTTTTTTTTAACATTAAAGTCACTATGTTAACATTTTGCAGGAATCCATTCATTTGTTTATTTATTTTGTTCATTTTTTAATAGTTTGCTACAGAAGTTGTTTACTTCTTTTCTTCTTTTCTTGGACTGTTTCTCCCGCGTACATGTTCCTACGCTCTACCAAACAGTTGCATACTCTCCAGAGAGTCGGTGGAGGTGGCTGTAGTTGACAGTAAAAGGCAGCTAGGGGCTGTGTGCGTGTAAGCTGGCCCACGCTGCAGTAGCAGAGGCAGCAGGCTGAGCGTGCGGTTCCTGTGGGCAGGTTCCATGTTGATTGGGAAGCAGGGCAAATGAGGCACCACCGAGAAGCCTGAGAGGCCATGTGTGTGTTCGCTTTGCCCTCAGCCTCCTCTCACTCACTCCCTGCTGAGAATTGCCTCTAAAATACTGGTTACACTACACAGCTCTCGCACTTCACTCGGGTTTGTTAATTATAAACCTGCAGCTGAAGCTAATGAGACTTTTTCTTGCTTAAATGTCATCTGAACATGGGAGCATGTAAAATTAAAATGTTTGAGGTTTCAGAGGTGCATGGTGTGTGTGTGTGTGTGTGTGTGTGTGTGTGTGTGTGTGTGTGTGTCTGTATATACACCCTTGATTGGCTTAGCAAGATCTGGTTAGCTAGATTAATATTAAAGTGCAATTATTATACAACCATTAATTTACTTACTGTTCATTAATCTATGAGGGGTCAGCCATGACTATAAAAGCCAGGTCTTCAGTTTGGGTCATAAATGTCAAAACGAAAAAAAACACCTTTGCAATAACGCTAATTTCTGCTAGCATTCACAGGATTCCTCATTGTATGTTTGTGCTAAGCTAACACTGAAGCACATGAATGTTTTTTGGCCTTTCAACATTAAGTGTACGGCTGATTACCATGGACAATAATTTCTCCTTAGTTAGAAATAAACAGTAAGAACTTTGTAAGAAAAGTTCACTCACATTTATAATAGAGGTCAGTGGGCAGGTGCTTCAGCAGTGAAGTTTGGAAAATGCAGGAGTGCTCCTTCAAGAGGTCAACTGAGGGCAAGCAGATCAGAAGTGAAGGCAGGGGAAGGGCTTTAACCAAAAGAGACGGTTCCAAAATGAAAGGATGGCAAAAGCAGAGCGAGGGAGAGTGGAGAGATAGGGAGTGACAGCAGAGAGACTTGTCTGAATTGCTGTATTAAGTCGCGTAGCTTTCTTTCGCCGACAACTTTCCTTGACTGCTCACCCGCCTGCAGCCAGAGTCACACTCTGGTGGTAAAGAGACTGCGCTGGAGGCCCAGGGCTGGTCAGGCTGGCCAGCGGGATGAAAGTGAATGCCAGAGCAAGAGCGGCCACCCTGCCTGGGTCCAGCTAGCCAGTGCAGGAGCTGACCACGCCGTCAAAATCTTCAGCATCAACACACTGACTCTGTAGCAGCCCGACACCGACGGCCTCCAGTGGTGCCCTCAGCCCCTTCACTCTGACAGACACTCTCCAGGACTGGACTGCTTACACTTCAAGTTATCCACAGTGTGTGTAGTGACTGATCTGCTGCTGAAAGAACAGTTGTTTAATAGCTCTACTCATGTTCAGTGAAGGGGGAAACAGTGCTGTTTTGTCTGTGCTGAAGTTTTCTGTTAAATGCCTAAAGACATATTGTACTATTTAATGTTTTATATAAAAACAAAAAGGTTGTAATAAATGACTCCTTTGTAGCAAAACTGAGTGTGTAGTCTGTAGTAGGTGTCAAGGGTGTTTGATATTGAAAGTGGACGCAGTTTGCTATCTTGGACATATCTAAGCCATTAAAAGCCCCACTCTTTCCATTTTCCCTTCTTCAGTTACCTTTTTCCTGCAAGTAGGTGGTGTGGAAGTATTAGATATCCTGTGGGTGCCTGACCACATACTCTGGGTTTGAAAGGCTGACTCTTCTGACCAGATCATCCTAAACTGCGGAACTACCCTGACCTCAGGAAGCCACGTGTCAAATCAAATCAAATCAAATCAAATTTATTTGTATAGCGCTTTTTCCAACTGATGTTGTCACAAAGCAGCTTCACAGAAATCCGTTTAGAACAAAGTTTCAACATGAAATGTAAATCCTCCAGGTGAGCAAGCCAGGGGCGACAGTGGCAAGGAAAAACTCCCTCAGAGCTGAGGAAGAAACCTTGGGAGGAACCAAGGCTAACATGGGGGGACCCATCCTCCTCTGGTCAAACTACGTACAAAATTATTATTCTACTAATATTAATAGTAGTAATAGTAATAGTTAGGAGGTAGTAATAGTTAGGAGACTTCAGCGTAGAGTGGGCAGCCAGTCCAAGGCAGGTGGCGGTGACTAGGTTGTGGGTAACTGGTCTGAAGCGGGTAGCCGGAGAGCTCTACAAACAATCATCCAGCAGTGTCCGGCCGGACAGGTGGGCAGTCGTTTTCTCGGAAGAAAAGTGTCCACACTGCAATTACCAGAGTAAGGGACAGAACTATATGTTTTACATTTAAAAAAAAAAAATCTTAGCTAAATGCAGGGGTCAGAGTTCAGCTTTATGAAGAAATTAAAATTAAACCTATCTGTTTAGTTCACACCCAGAAGGATAAGCGGCTTGGGAAATGCTATGGGAAGTGTGTGTGTGTTTGTGTTTGTTAGTGTTTATTTCACATATCTTGTCATTTTATGCATGATTGATCATATTGTTTCAAAGACAATATTCTTGTTTTCCTGTTAATATTCCATCACAGTGTATTGACTTTTTTGACCACCTCTAAAACATCTTGTGTTTTAATTACATCACTGTGCACCAGTAGGCAGGGAAAAATAATAATAACCAGTAATATCATGTTTTACCTCCCACCAACCCACCTATCATCAAGTAGAAACATTCAGCGAGCCCTGCGACCCTCCCTAATAATACATTTCACTCAGATTTACTTAAATGGAAATTTAATGCCAAAAAATGTGTTTGTATTTGAGTGAAAGTCAGAAGGTATCTGCTTTTAAACATACTCAAGAATGTAAAATGAAAATTGTTTTAACATCCATCAATCCATCATCTAAACCGCTTATCCTTCTGGGTCGCGGTGGGGTGCTGGAGCCTATCCCAGCTGTCATTGGGTGGAAGGCAGGATACACCCTGGACAGGTCGCCAGTCCATCGCAGGGCAGACAGACACGTTCACACACACACACACACACACACACTCTAGGGGCAATTTAGCATGTCCAGTTGGCCTGACTGCATGTTTTTGGACTGTGGGAGAAAACCAGAGGAAACCCACGCAGACACAGGGAGAACGTGCAAACTCCACACAGAAAGGACCCTGGTCACCCGGCCTGGAATCGAACCCAGGCCCTTCTTGCTGTGAGGCGACAGCGCTACCCACTGCGCTACCGTGCCGCCCGTTCTTTTAACAGATTAATTCAATTTTTTTTGTTTGACAGTGTGTGCTCCCATGACTGATGGGTGGTGTTAGTCCTCACACAAAGATAAATAAGGGTGGTCGTGGGCTGTTTTTAGTTTACAGTGGTATGAAACTGGGTTTAAGAAAAAAAAACGCAACTGAATTGTAAGGCAAGAGAAAAATTCGATTTTTGAAATTTGTAGTTTGAATACTAAATAAAAAATGTAGGAAGTAAAAGTAGAAGTATTCCGTTTTAAAAATACTCAAGTACAGATCTTCCCAAATTAAGTGTAATAAAGTACAGTTACTCAAGTTTTTGGCACCGCAGCACAGTACATTTTTTTTCTTGCTGGTTTTGCTTTCTGTCATTGCTGAAAGGAGCCTCTTCTGTTAATTTATTATTGTTATAATAATAACAGTTGTTATTATTATTATTATTATTATTATTATTATTAAAGTATGCTCACATGTTTCATCAACTAAAAAAAAACATTTTTTGCACTTTCTTCTGGCGGTTGACCCAGACGGCAGACGTCAGACTCCAGTCCTCATGGGCCACAGCAGAACAGACTTCAGCTGTCTACCTCATTCAACACACCTGATTCAACTCTTTAGTTAATAAACAAGGCCTTCCTGATCTGAATTCAGAGCTTCATAAGAGGTAAAACGCTAACCTCTGCAGAGCTGTGGCCTGGAAGGAACCCAGTTTGACATGCCTGACCCAGCGGGAATGGGACAGAAAGCAGCCAATTGTAGTGTGCAAGAGTAGCTGTATTTGTTTTGTTGGTATTGAGTTCATGAGTTTAATCAGATGTCAGAAGTCACTCTATTTTTCATATTTACTTACAGTGATCTTTACTTGAGAATGTCAACCAAATGGTTGAGTTTCTTACATGAGAAATAGAAATGACTCCTGAAAAGGTAGATGGTTATATTTTCTTTGCTCTTCCTAATATCCAGAGTGAGCAGCCTCTCCAGTTTGGGCCAGGAGCTGGCGTGCTGTACTGTGCAAGGCTTAGGGCCGCTGAGCCCCTGTCTGCCGCTGACATGCTAAATATTTGAGCGCTTGATGGAGCAGGCAGGCTGAGTCTGACATGAACGCTCTGCACTCATTCTCCTCGCATCCTGTTTGCCGTGGGGCCCTCGCTCCCTCAATTATTTATCACCCTCAATATACAGAGAGGGTCATTACAGATTCATCTTCCCCATCTCGCTGTGTTTATATATGAGGAAGAGAGGGAATATGCTCCGCTTGCAGTTAGTTTTGAGTCAAAGTATAAACTAATTCTGTATTTTTGATATACTAAATTCTAGTGAACTTTGTTATCAGAAAAGACACCAGTTCATTTTGATTATTTTATTAATAAAAACATTTTTTGCAATAATTTATTAAAAATGTTATGATCTCCATGCAGTTTAAGGGTACAAGAATATGAAATGAGCACATCCACTTTGATTTTTCAACAGCTCCTGTGTGTGTGTGCTAGTACAAACACACTGATCAGGACAGTCGTGGAGCACAGAAGTGTACACTGGCAAAAGTACTAGATATAAAAAGAAAACAAAAAGAACAAACAAAAAAAAAGATAAAAATTGTGGATCTTTTTGATCTTGATGGGCACCGATGTTCTGTGAAGTCAAAAAAAGAGAAGTCTTCCAGCACAGAATAAATAGTTTTGAATAGCGATGTGTAAACTTGAAGACGGCACATTTTCACAGAGTGGCAAACAGACATACACACTCACCGTCAACATTCTGTAAATTTTTTTACGTCATTTGTAACGTCCCCCACTATCATAGATTAATACCTCTACAGAAAAATGTGTTGTATACATTATATACATTAGAAATAGTCCTTCGCTCTTTTGGGGTATTGAGGAGGCCTTTCTTATTGTTCCATATTGTCCTAGTAAATGCACACTAGTTACCTCCAAAAAAAGGAGCCTTTGATGGTCCAGGCTTACATTTAGCAAAAGGTGAATCTGTTTGCCCCAATAGCTGTTGTCCAGTGTTAAACGTTTTGTGGGTAACATGACAAAGTGACCAAGATCTCAGCTATTAACTTGGTTTCAGAGTTTATTGCCAGTAACAAGAAGACACTCCACAAATCAAGTCCCATGCTGCACTTTTTGAACCTCTGTGTCAATGAGTAAACCATGTGTTCAATCAATAGACATACTTTACACACACACACACACACACACACACACACACACACACACACACACACACACACACACACTTAGTGATTTAGATTAAAATTACATAACGCTCCCAAAATAAAAGCAAAGAGTAACCTTGGTGGTTTGGTCGCTCACTGATTTCACCAGAGAAGCAAACAAAGGTCTGTCATAACTTCACAGTTCTTCTCATTGCACTGAATGACAAACTAATCAGTGTTTATGGTCACCATATTTACTTTGAGCTAAGAGTTTGTGGGCAGCATGGAATGTTGTTTCTTGCTCCTTTCAGAAGGTTTGTAAATGTGCGCAGCGGATCATTAATCCAAAGAGATCTTGGATTCATTGGTCCGGAGAAACATTGTGCTGTATAACGTACTGTGCTGTGCAAAAGTATGAGACCACCCCTCATTTATTTCACTTCCAGTCAAAATGGAAATTAAATTAAGTAGGTTAAGTAGGTGAGGTTACTGTGTTCCCTCTTTGTCTTTATTACAGCTTCTAAGCTCTCCCCTTGCTTTCAGGTTCAAAGAAATCTGCAGGGATATTTTTTCACACCCCCAAAGTTCAGTCTTAGAAGTTGGTTGCACTTTCTGCTTCTCTCCATCCAAGTAATCTTAACCACATTCACTTCGCAAGAATGGCGCTTTAATTTCCTCCTGTCTCAAAGATGACAGACGGTGGCAGTTTTGGTGGTATACCAGGTCTTGCATGGTTGCTGGGACCCCCGTTTTCTCTGTATCTTTTAATCATTTCTGACCTCCAGTTTTGGAAACCCCTGTTTTTTCACTTATTTTCCTTTGATTTTCCTCTTCCTTATGCAAGTGGATTATCTCACATCTAATCTCCTCAGAAATATCTTTTAGAAATAAATAACTTCTGCTTCATAGCTGCTTTGACTATAAAATAAATAAATGAAGGGTGGTCTGTGACTTCTGTACAGTACTGTAACTTTGTTCCTTATAATATGGTGCAGAAATGCAATTCCAGTTCTATTGTTCTCATATCAGAGAAATATCAGTTCTCAGGGTTTTTGACTGGGCGTTACATTAATGTAGTGTGAAATCACTTGTCGCCATTGACTCTCCCTTCCAGTGTGATATGACTTCAGAATATCAGTCTAGACAGCCTGTTAGAGCTAATTATTGCCACTTTCATAAATGTTGTGCATTTGTTAGAATTTAGTAAGGAAAATAAATTCTACAATGTATGCATAGTATACCATGTATGGAAGTGACAAAAATGTGTTATAAAATCAGTTCTAGACATATTCCAGCCTCTTCCATTAATCATAACCAAATATGAAATATGTAGGTGTTATCATTTTCTGTTTTGTTAATGTATTAAAAGGATGATTACCAACCTTCACTTGGTGATTTTCATGGATGCAAAATATTGTGATCATTGGTCTGGATTAAAGTGTTTGACAACACTTTGACTTACAGGTACATAAAAAGTTTAAAAATCTAGTAAATAAACCTAAAATAAAACCTCTGCCTTCCAACTGGTCCATGTTTGCATGGATTATATGGAGTTGATACTCTAGATACCGTTTATGCAAACTACATTTATTTAAATGAGGAGAATGGTTAAATCTTACAGAATGGATCTTTACAACAAGAGTCGACGACTTAATTATATTGGCACCAATCAATCATATCTAGTTTAAATTAAAGTGATGAGACACTATCATTTATTACTGAATATTCCTTGAGACTCGTCTCCAAGTACAAGCAGAAGCTTTAATCAGCTATAAAATATATGCTGACACTTCAGCTTGCCTGGAAATAGAATTAAAACCTCACATTCTGGGCATTTGTTTTTCTCATCAGAACTCCTTTCAGCGTAAATTTAAATTCAAGGAGTCTATCATTTCTAAGTTAGCCAAGAGGAGATGTTTGCCTTTTTCCATGATGTTGGGTCACAGTAAAACTCCACTTGTAGCACTGAAGACAGAAAACTACTGCCTCACAGCAGTTGAGCATGATTAACTCCAGAGGTCTGCCCCCAAAAATCAAGGCGATGACTCAGGAAATGATCAGTTGAATATTAGTGAGATTAGTGAGCCCTTTTACAACCTCTGAACTTCACTGAACCTGCAGGTTTCATTTAGAGATGGGAAACACGTTAGCGTAATGAAGACCTACAAAAGGGTGTGTAAGCTTTGTTGGCTGAGCAAAATTCCCCTTTTTTGCTTTTACTTTGATCTTCATTCTTTTTCACACTGGTCTGTATACACATATAATCTTACTGCTGGATTACTAATCTAGAATAAGACTCCTCCCATGTTATTCTCATACATGAAAGCATCCTCAGCACTCCTTGCCCTCAGATGCGGTACAAAGTCCAGGCACGTGTACCTAATTTTGTGTGCATGCTATTGTGGGATGACATAGCTACTACGGGAAAACCTTCCCAAAGAAACGTGAGGCTTGAACTGTATCAATAAATTATTACGAATGAAGGAATAAAACTATGTGGCGAATTCCAAAGTAAGAGAGTTGTTTGTAATGACAGTTAGATTTTAGTAACTTCACATGAAGTAACTTCTTGGAACAGAGAATTAAGAAAAAAAAGGTCTAAACAGTGACTTTGACTCAGTACTTTTAACTAAGCTCATGACAATGAAACCCTCTTGTAGATCATGGCCATCATTCTGAGACATATGCTGAGGTGCCGTGGCATTACAGAGTTTTTGCTTGACTCTGCTCTGTTTTTAAAGGTCTTCTCCACTGTTACTGAAAGTGAGGCGAGCTAGCACTAACAGCCTCTTGGATATTAACTTGCACTGAAAGCAAAAATTAAATAAATAAAAAAAATAAATAAATAACAGTTAATGTTAAGTTATTCTGACCCTTGCACACCAAAATCGCAGTTATGCTGAAGCTGTGAAAGAAACCCATGTTGTATTTTACTATCAAATGGTTACAGCTGTATTTCTTTGCCTGATGAGCTCAAATTCTACAATGTTCTTTAGGCTCCAAGTACAAGACCACAGGCACAGCATTCAACGAACGCGACGAAAACTAAATCCAAGACACCAGCGGTGAGATATCTGCAGAAAGGAAATGTTGTTCTCGAGAGGGATGATACTTAGCTTATTCCGATGTTTTGCATTTTAAATACAATTCCTTTGTTGTCTTGATATAGGTTTACAAAAAATAGTATGACAACAGCTATACGCCTATGCTCTCTATATCTGTGAGACATTTGTGCAAAGTTCACAGGACAGAGTTACATTTCTATAGCAACCATGAGGTATGTTCACTGTTGCTAAGTGCCATGTGATATATTTCCATTGCCACTCCGGGAGGGGAGCAGAACTCCTCCTGCGCTTTGGGCCTGTGATTTAGTCCTCAGTGTGTGAGCGAACGATGTGCGGCTGACAGCTCGCTCTCCATCCAAGCTCCTTTCGGCTCAAGCTACAAGAATTGCTAGATGATTCGTTTTCCGTGAACAAAACTTGTGGCAGGAGAATAATAAAAAACAAACTGCACTGAAGGGCCATAGTGAGGTTTTGCTCTTGTGACCAATTTACTCTTTAAAAAGTAAGACAGGTCCATAATTGTGCTGCAAATCGCTAACAGTTTTCATCTTTCCACCTGTACGGACCACCCTGTGGGCTTTCCATGACGACACTCTTGTATTTTTGCTTTTGATCAGTATTATTACCCTTGTTTGGAGCTATTAGGCCTTCAGAGATGACTTTGATTGCATGCCAAAGTCAGTTCACTGCCAAGGGACGAAGCGCAAGCCTCGGAAGGGTGGTCTATCGACCAGCGTTTGTTTTTGACTATGATCTCTATGAGAGAAGGCCCACGCACTCAGCTGAAATGGAAGACTGGCCCTCTGGATTGCCCCAGATATCTTACCTGACCATAAGGCTTGTGCACTTCCATACTGGCTCCTGTGAGAGTAAATGCTCACGCATGATTTTACAGAGGGTCTCTCGGCTGGTCTATAAGGACGTCTCAAGGCCTCTATAGTGTAGTTGCCTCTCTCAGCCATTTTGAATCAAAAGTCAGTATAGCAATTTAATGAACAGTTACCCAGATGGTATGATTTTTTAAAGGAAAATATACGGTGCAAATCTAGCATTGTGACAAATCTGCAGTGTACTTCTCTTCACATAAAAGAGCTGGCCTCTAGTGCCGTGTGACGCTTGCTAGCTGTGGTTAGCGGAAATTACAATTGTCTCACTTTTAACAAACTTGCGTTTTTCCACACCATGAGTGTACACTTAAACAATGCCAGTAGGATCGTACCAACCAGCTTATAATGCCTTTTCTGTTTTTGTCAACAGTCACTTTCTAAAGTTTTTCAGAGGCCATTTTCTGAAGTGCCCAGCCTTATCTGAATCCAATGACCCGAGTAATTCATTTCACAGCGTACTGAGAGCTTGCTTTGATGTGGAGGATGGTATTTACATGACTGTTAGCACGGTCAACAGGATGAGTCCTAGGTCACGTCTGGATCGTCACTGCCGCGGACCACCAGCAGCAAGCTACTAAAGTCCGACAAGTCGACAAGCTGACAGTGGGTCCACGTTTTCGACAACAAAAAGGGTGTTTTTGAGAGACCCCCTTTGAAGCAGATAAGGCTACAGCACAGCTGGCATCCTCTGTTGCTTCTCTCTGGTTGTTTGAGATTGGGGGGCTGGAATTGTAGGGGGAGCTTTGGGGGTGGGTGGTGGTGGGAAGCGGGTGTTCCTGGGCACTGTGGGTGTGTGAGGACGTCCAGTCGCCCCCCCGCCCTCACAGCCTGGAGAATCAGTTCTGCTCTGACATAGACCATAGAAGTGGATGGGGGTGGGGGGGGTCATGGATGTATGAAGAGTAGGACCCCCCGTGTCACTCACACGCTTCCGTTAATTGCTGACGTGGCTCAGTCTGTTGGATATAAAACGGAGACTCTCTTCCTCGGAGCGCAGGGCCATGGCAGCACTCACAGGCCGGACACCATGACTCTATAGGAGGGTGGCATGTGCTGTCTGTGGCGGGGGCTGGACGCTGGGCTGCTGGTGGGGCTGCAGCTGGCATCCACCCCTCCTATGGAGGGTAAATAGGCATGGTGCAGAATGGGCAGCTGCAAGGACAGCCTGCGCTGTATGCTGTGGACACAGAGCACATGAGTATTAAAGGGTGAGTCAGTGAGGTCATAATGCACAATTAAATGCATCACAAAAGACAGACAAATGTCAGTTGAATTTTTCATATTTTCTATATAACATAATTGTTCAATATAATTCTTTAAATATTTTACATATAATATAATTCTTAGAGCAATACCAATAAAAAATCAAATGTACACAATTTCTCCTTTATCCCAAATATAGGAAATAAGTCAATACATATTTGGTGTATGAAGTTTGCTTTTTTACTCATAAGCAATAACAAAAAAGCAAAGCTTATCACCAATTAGCATTGTGCAAACTGCATGCCTAAATTCCTAATGTACCGCAGCATTACACCCTAAGCCTCATCGGTATTAAAGAATTTATGATTTCACATTGTTTTCTCTCTCACTAAAGTACCCAGCCTGCATTGTGCAAATACTTCATACAAGCATTAGGACTCCCCCACAGCAATAAAGAAAGGCAGTGATGTAAATGCTAATAAATACAGACATGATATTCTGCTTTCTAGTAATAACATAAACAATCTGTTTTTTTTTCTGCATGAGCAGGTTAGCAGGAAAAATGTAAATAAAAAGCCCTGCATCAAGTATCTGCCCTGAAGCACTTGTAGTTTTTTAAAAGTTCCTCCCAACTTCAAGATATATCATCTGAAGAGGGGTTTCCCAGTCTTTAAACTGGAAAGACTATTGTGTAAAGACTCTTGAGACTATTGTGACACCACTGTAGGGGGCAAGTAGACATGTTTGCAACAGATGTAGTAATGGTAACATTTTTCATTTTGGCCAGGGTTCCCTGTAAGTAATCTAAAACAGATTTTCTTGAGACTGTATGACACACTGTTATCTATAAAAATGCACAAAACATGCAGCACCCCAGTTTGAGGCAAGAATGAGATGATGTGCACGACATGTGCATGATGCTATTCGGTGAGGCAAAACTTCATTGTTGGCTACATTAGCCTCATTGCTCCACGGCAGAAATAAAGAAACTAAGTTCAGACATTCATTTGAAGCACGACAACACTGTAACTTTCACTAAACTATTGCTTTAATATTCCACAAATCTTTAAAGTTGAGATATCACACATTTATAGTTTGAGAGCATCCAGTCACTGATAAAAATGTACAAAAAATCTGTTACCCACAATCATTATGTTGTAATAAGATGAATGCAAAAGTCATTTTTACAGGAGTGTTTAATGACTAAATTTCCCCTCTTATTCAATCAAGCTTTCTGTGAATTCAAAGTACTTCAAAGAAAGCTTGAGTAGATTTTTCCCTCTTCTCTTTGCTGTACTGGATCATCGTATGTTCACTTATATTTACATAAATGTGAACCTATGGCTGCACAGAAGGGTGACAAATTACAGTTTTTAAAGCTCAAGCAGCAGTAATGTTCTGGATGTAAAATATGTGACTGTGGTCTTAAGTAAGCGATTCTCTCTCTCTCTCTCACACACGCACACACACACACACACACACACACACATACACACACACACACTGCGAGTAGGCATAAGCAACCCTCGGCTGCACAGCCCCCTAATCCACCATGCTGCTGGCTCTCCGCATCCCCTGACATAAAGTACATTTCATGCCTGCACCTAGTGTCAGTCCTCACCCTGCACCCCAAGAGACTGACACGCTTTCAAGTCAATTACGTAATCGAAATGCCAGTTATATAAAAGAACTAACACACACACATTTCTTTTGGTACATTGTACATTGACATTTTTATAATGTATTTGATTAGATTAGGTGTTTACACTCCCACTGTGTAGGAGATTTGGCTAGTTGGGGATGGGCTGCATGGTGATGCCCCCCCTCTTGGTATATATACAATCACTTCTGCAAAATTTTGGCAAAACACTGAGGAAGTAGGGCAGATTTCCCCTAGCAAGCCACTTTCACTCTGTTTGATTGGCAATTTATCCTTCACTATTTAATAGTGCTCTACTTTTTCACATTTTCAAGTTTAAAGATTTTTCTGAAGATTCATTATTCATATGGACCTTTATAAAGCACTGTTAATTTAATGCCAACGCACCAGAAATAAACTAGTGCCTCTGCCTGTGCTTCTCTTGTTCTCTCTGGTTCTGTATACTTAGGGAACCTCTTTGTTCGGAGCTCAGAATCCCCCATTGGTCAAGGAGATATTCATGCTGGTAGATGATATTCTTATTGTATTAAAGCTGTTTCCCCTCTTGGCCAACAGTCCAAGCATTCCCATTTGAATTTTGCGAAGTTGTGTTTTATCTTTAGGACCTTGTGATGCATTAGAAAGAATGAATAAGTTTATATTAGTGAACCTCTGGAGCTTTGTGACTCCAATTTCACTTTTAGATGAATTCGCATTTGTACCATCTTGTAAGAATTCCTCAGGCTGTACATACTTCATAGAAAAGCAATAGCTTTAGTGGTCTTAATTTGAGGCGGGCGTTTGTATTTGCTTTTAGTTTAATTCAAGTTCAGATGGGCTCTCCTTCTTATCTAGTTGTGTTTCATGTGCATATTTTTTGGCAAGACGAAGCGCTGTCATGTTCTTTTCCTGTACAAACTATTACCTGCAAATAAAACATGTTACGAAGGCTGATCCTCTGCTATGCACAGAGATGACCATCAACACCTTTGAAAATCCTATGGCTAAATTAAATCCTATTCTTCTATTCCATTACTTTTGCATGGGAGGATGATGGCTCGGGGAGCATCACTGTGTCCAAACTTGGTTACCATGCACTACATTACTGCATCACTAATATAGAATGGACTAGAATCTGGAGCCTAGATTTTTGTAGGGCAGTATTGTGTTAAATCAACAACTAATGCTATGCACCAAATGAAAATGAATTGCTTTGCATCTTGGCCTGTCACAATTGTTACATAATCGCCTGTTTGCAATTATTTGTGCTAACTGCAATTACTTACCACAGTTCTTAGCTTTTACATTGCAACAAACAGAATTTAATCTGTTATTTTTATTAGTCAGGTTAAGGCAAAAGCATGCGAGTTAAAGAAAGCACAAAACGCATTAACTGAGACTTTTTGAGTCATGTGAAAACAACTTCTGATTGGTGCAACAACACCTTTAGAGGGCAGTGGTAAGTAGTGTTTGTTTATCTGAGCTTGAGCTGTTTCTGTCTTCAGTTGCAAACTAGCAAGTAGGGGTGCGGGAAAAAATCGATTCTTAGATGCATCGCGACGCGGACGTGAACGATTCTGAATCGATTCACAAATGTCAAAAATCTAAATATTTAATTTATACCGTAATATTGACGGAACGCAAAAGGCGGAACCTGGAAGTGCGGAAGTGCAGCGCCCGGACAGGCTGTGAGGTGCACTTAAAAAAACACAACTGGATGAGTGAGAAATCCGACCGGCTCCCTCTGCATTAAAAGCCAGGTCAGGTCAGGAGTCACAACACAAATGTTAAGAAGAGCCATTTTGTCCTTTTAACAAAAATCAAACCACCTTGGCAGCCACAACATTTATGTCCAGTATGTCTCAGTACGTGTTAATGCCCTAGTATAGGCTAAACAATATAAACGAAAACGCGGACTTCCTTCGCTCTGCTTTAAGCTTTAGCTATAGCCGCTTTCCTTCCATCTCCACCAGAAAACTTTTCCTCTAAAGTAGATCAGTTTCTTGTAAAATGTCTCTCAAAGTTTTATGAGGCTGAAGTCACTTCTTTACGCCGCTCCAGCTTCTTGTTCGAATTTTCCTGTTCCACCTTAAATTCTGACTGAGTTGCCGAATGTAAATGCGGCACCATTTAAGGTGGAACGGGAAAATATGAAAGAGAAGCAACTTTATCTTCGCAACTTTTTAGTGTTTGATAGTCTCTCGTTGCAGATTTAGCTTGCAAGTAAACCAACAGCAGCACTTATGAATGCGAATAACGCATCGTTGCTGGGTGACCTGCAGTCGGAGAACGCCAGTTCTCAGTCGTTGCGAAACAGGGCTTTCATGCTATGTTGCACACGTCCCGAAGATATTTTACTGACACAGCGACCCCCCTACTCCCTACAGCGAGACCAAAACCTAAGTTATAAAATCACTAAAGAAAACGGGCAGAACGGCTGTAACGCGCTGCATGGACATCCATTACCACAGGATCTTATTTCACCGTAACTGCGCATTTTATCGCAGAGAGTGGCAGCAGCGTCTCATGTGCTCCAAGCAATAGCAGTGAATGAGAGCTTTCTAGTTCACTTGCCACATCACTTCCATTCGATTTATTAATAAAAGATATTGGAAGTAAATGCATTATAGATCATTACAAATACTTTGCTTTAAAAGTACCAAGTCCTGACACAGTAAGAAAATAGAAATCCTGTATAGAAAAAAAAGATGCTTCGAGATGATAATCGTTTTACAATCGCATCGCAGCCCTGTGAATCATAATCGAATCGAATCGTGAGGTACCTAGAGATTCCCACCCCTACTAGCAAGTAATGACAGCTAAGACCAGGAAGCAAGACAGCTAATCAGCTAATTTGGCCACTTTAGGCTTTGACTTTAACACAACATAACTGTAGCAAACTAAAGTTAACATAAGATGGCCAGTTACCTTTATGACATTTTTAAATCCGGAGCACAATTACTGTCACACAGAAATATACATGGTAACTCACATCAGTGAATTTAGTAGTTAGCTAAAGTTAGTTATAACTTGATTTGCTCATTTTCCATTGTAACATTTTGAAATCCTAAACAGCATAACAGAAAGTGCCATATTGTAGCTATGGAAGGACAAAGACATCTAATTTACACATTGTACAATGTCCCACATTTCATTCCTCAGCAGTTCTAGTACATCATCTGGGCATTGTGCTACATCTCATACTAGTCCAAACCTTGACTGATTCAGAGACTCAATGCCATCAGTAAAACTTTCTACTTCCACAAAGTGGAAAATCAGAAATCAACTCCCAAAGTTCAGGAACCTTTGAGTGTTGTTCATCCTCATAATATCAGTAAATGATGCCCTAGTTAAAATAGAAAGGTACAGGAAACCTTTGAGTTCCTTTAGTGCCCTAGAATAGATTACAGGTGACCCTGAAGTCTGATACCTTTACTCTTAGTAAGTAATTTGAGGTGCAAGGTAACAAGAATTTTGATCCATGATCTGTGAAGAGATTTGATGTCAGCAGGCCTACCTGCGAGTTAAAATATAACATTTGCGTGTTACAGAGACAGCGGTACATGGGACACCAGAAGATATCTTTCTAAGCACAGACCCGTGAGAATAGTGTGAATGTGTAAGTATGGGGGGTTGTGCATGGAATGCTGATGAAAAGGTGAGCACATAGCACGCTCCCTCCCCCGTGTGATCAAGCATTCATGGGCATTGGGAATAGCTCTAGTATTCCTCTTCTGCTCTCCTGTCTATTTTCAGGCCTCACTGCCTCCAATGCCTGCTGTAAATCACTGGTTATGCAACCTCCTTTTCTCTACACGTCTCTCTCTCTCACTCTCTCTTCTCTTACTCCTTCATTCTCTGGGTTAATCTCCTCATAAAACCTTCCATCCCTCTCTGATCATACAGAGAAACGTCTAAATACTCTTACTATGTTGGAGCGTAATCATGTTTCCGAGTGAATGAAGCAGCTGAAACACTTACTGTTCTGGGGAGTTGATGTCCTCTAGTGGGCCTCTGTTTATTCTAGAAGGGTCCATAGATCCCCATTGTGCTTGGGGCTTCTGCTCCAGGTGATTTTTCAGAACAGATTTCTCACCATCTACGGCAAACAAATGAAGCACACAATGGTACACGCTGCAAAATTATCCCAATTTTTTTGATAAAGTTATTTGAAATAACTCCCATTTTTAACCCTTAACCTGCTAAGATCTGTATGTAGGCCCACACTTTAATTCATTACCTTATATACCAGTTTCACAGTAGTTCAAGTTTCAAGCATAACAAGGAGGAAGAAGCCCCCCAGGGTAAGATGTTCGCCCATCTTATTTTCTTTTCTCATCAAATTATGGAGCCAAATTTTTTTTTTCATATATATATATATATATATATATATATATATATTATTTTTACCCAATTTTCTCCCCAATTTAGTCGTCTCCAATTCCACCCGCTAGTTAGGACTCGATACTATCAACACTAGCAGGGTGAAGGCTAACTCAGGCTTCCTCCGAGACCTGTGAAGCCAGCCACCGCTTCTTTTCGAACTGCCGCTAATGCAACAGCATTGGACAGCCGAACGCGCTCGGAGGAAAGCGCCAGATCTGTTACATCAGCCAACAGACGCCTGCACTGACTAGCATGGCTCGTTGAGTGATGGGGGGAGAGGGGGAGAGAGAGAGCAAGGCCAAATGTGCTCTCTTGGACTCCCGGCTACAGACGGCTGTAGCATCACCAGGGATCGAACTCACGATCTCCTGATGATAGGGCCAACGCTTAGACGGTTGCACCACTCGGGAGCCCCCCAAATATTTTAACATATTTTATGAATGAGTATGGTCTAATTAATTCAAAAATTTCAACTGGATCACTGCAATCTGAGGATTCATTGCCCCAGAATTTTATTTGGGGTCAGTTTGTCATTTAATAATAGTGAAAAATGGTTAAAAATATACATATGAGGGGCCAAGTGTTAAGTGAACAGTACATGGGGATTTAAGAGGATTTTATTGAAGTGAAAATGTAGAGTTAGACATTTGGGGTAAGAACCCCCCCCAGACATGGCTGCCCTTTAGCATACTGATCCAAAAATATTATGTAGTTAGATTTTGATCATAAAATCACTAGTGTTTCACTGGTTTGCTATAGTGTCATGCTAGCTATAGCAATTATTAGCTAGAATTAGGCAACGTATTTGTCCATTTTGCTCTGAACACAAATAAAGGCTCTTGGCTTGGATGTACAGTTTTTTAAAATGGTGTATAATCTTTGGTTTTTCTATATTAACACTTCAAAGAGCTCTTTTTTTGGCAAAACTTGAAGAATTAGAATCAATCTGAACTTTGGTGACAGAAGTTTACTGAAGGTGCTTTATTTGTACTGCACCTGACACCACAGGCGTTGAATTCTCTCTTAGACTAACTAAAGAAACAAACATCTTACAATGACGCCAGTCTGATCAAAGTATCAGTGATAAATGAGTAATGCGAGGCATTAGATGAGCTCAACACACCTTTTCCGTCTGTGAAGTTGCGTATGCTCAGGATGTTGTTGACATCCTGGTAGTGGTTCTGCTTGATATAGGGCGTCTTCTCCGGAGTGTCCTGAAGCTGCATGGTCACTTCCTCCAACTCCTTATCCAACTAAACAAACACACAAGCCCAATCCAGAATCACTCTGTGCTAACAGCTTTACAGGCAGAATTTTAACACCAGGGTAGAAGGACACATGTGAAGTGGTGGATATGTTTTTAGGTCATATAACTTACCTCTGTGATCCTCATGCGGAGGCTGTGGTTGTCCGTCTGCAGGGTGTCCAGGCGAGAAGTGTTGGTCTGGTTAACGCTGGTTACAGAGGTGGAGGTCTTTGAGTCATCTTTCTTCTGGTTTTGTGTGAACTTCAGCCGTCGGTTCTGAGTGGCTGCATCTGGGTTTGTCCTCATTGTAATAAGCTGGAAAGACAGACGAAAGAGATGCTTTATATTTTACATACTGTTCTATTACTTTATGACATACTGTTCTATTACTTTATGACATACTGTTCCATTACTACATGACATACTGTTCTATTACTTTATGACATACTGTTCCATTACTACATGACATACTGTTCCACTACTGTATGACATAGTGTCACATTACTATATGACACACTGTTCCATTACTATATGACATATCATTCTCATACTATATGGCATACTGTTCTATTACTTTGTAACTGTTCCTGATTACTATAATACTGTTGCATTATTATATGACACATTTTTCTATTACTATATGACATACTGATCCATTACTATTTGACCCACTGTTCTATTACTATATGACACACTTTTCCATTCCTGATATACCATAAGACAAACTGTTATCTATTAAATACAGAAAACAATATTAGCTTATTTACACTGTAAAATGTAACAATTGCACTAACTTAAATTTTTTTGGTTTACTTAACTCATCTGTTACACTTACTAATGCAAATCTATTAACACATACTATTTTTTGTATAATGCTTAGTTACTTAGGTAAAGTTAGTTGAGATCAATTAATTTGCACAAGTCCTACTGACTGAGGAGTATTTTTAAGTTAACACAACTTATATACTACAGAAAGTTGGAGTAACTTAATCTGATAAAATCAAACCAACTCAAAAATGAATTGTTGAGATAGTAACTCAGTAATTTTGAGTAAAATCATTTGTTAGCATATTTTGAGTTAAGGTAACTTTATTCAAGTGTTTTATGTTCACTATTTTTATTTAAGTTGACTGTACAGGTGGGCACAGACAGGGTTGGGTTTACATTCAAATGATTTGGACTTCTCATGCTTTTCATGTAACATTTGACAACTTTGGACATTCAAATTGGATCTTTGAGTTGAATCAACCTCTTGCAGTTTAGTTTAATTTGTTAAGACCTCGCAGCTTTACTTGGTGAAAGCTTGGTCAATGCAACCTTGAGTAAAACTTGCATCATTCCTATTGGCTCTTGGTGGCATGCATATCGGGCGTGTCTTTCCACCTTATTTAACCTACCATCTCTGTGTTGTCATTCTCCCCAGCCTACCTTCCCTTGGGCGCATACTTATTTTCTAAATTTGAGAGCTCGTCTAATCTCAGTCAGTGCTGACTGTAAATCAGTGCTGAGTAAGCTGAGCTGCCATGACCTCGCAGTTAATGGAAGAAACTGAGTTAGCTGAACTTGAGTGGCTAGAGTTGTGTAAAGGCAGTAAATATAAGTTAGAGTTACTTAATTGTATTGACTTAGTACCATTATTATATAAGTCCAAAATAGTCAATCATTTTAAGATCAAAGGAGTGATTTACTCAATTTAGTCAAGTGTATACAAAAATAAACAAATGTGTTGTTCATACTCAGTTCAGGGAATTACTCATGGTCAAATGATATGAGTAACCTAAACCTAAATGGTTTAAGGCAATCGGTTTCCTTAAACCATTTGATTTTGCCTAACTCATCAGATTGGAGTTACTTATACTTAAATGGTTTAAGGCAATCGGTTTCCATTTAATTCATTTAAGTTTATTGAACTCATTAGGTTTTACAGTGTAGCTTCATTAGCCTTATATTTCCTGCTAGTTACATTAGAATCCTAGCTCCAGTGCAAAACTAAAGAAGCAAACTTTGGATACAACAAGTCTTAACTGATTGAAAACATTTGGGGTAAGAGAACTATTTCTATTTCTATAAAGCCACCAGCAGGAATTTGTTAAGCCATTAGTATTTTTCATATAGCTTGGCATGGCTGTCTTGTTCAGCTTTGATGCAAAACAACTTAGGTTTTAACTCTCCTGTTTACAGACCCTGCAAATCAAAAGAAACCAATCTACCCCAGCACTTTTCTTTGGTATTTCAGAATGCCGGTGCTGCTACTGTTGTTTAGAAATCCCTGACTGTGTCTTTTAAGAACCGAATGTTACTTGACCATCCCAGTAAATGACTTGCAGGTGATTTTTTTTTTAATTGTAGAATTGCTGAGTTTTGCAAAGTTCTTACCTTTGGCACAAACACCAGGCACAGTGTGATAGTGCTGCAGAAGATGATGACCAGGGCTACGATGCAGAACTGCACATTCGGCTGATCTCGAGTCAGGAAGGACACAGCCGCCCCAATGATGCACATGATGCCAACGTTGTACACACTCATACCAATATACTTGCTGTCGTTCAGTGCAGGAATGCTGACATTCCTTGTTTCCCAGGCCAGGAAACAACCAAACAACTACATAAATAAGAACAGAAATGAGAGAGTTTTAATAGACACCTGAGATCTGAGGAGTACTGTCAGTTTTCACAGTGCACTTGCTTTGATCAATAGATAGTGCTTTGATGGGTCTGTCAGGGTTGAGGGTCAGAGCCGATCAAATCCATGCTGTGATACAGCTTTATGGCTATTGACAGCAATTTAATAAACACGTCAATCCAGAATGAAATATACCATTGCTCCTAAAAAGAAGTGAGATTGTTAGAAGCCACTGAATATACCACTACAATTATTTCTAGATGAAAATAACCTTAGTATGTGTTTTTATCCTCAGCAGCTGATCCATTTTGACAAGGCAGGCAAAACCAGAAAATCGTCATTTTGTCTTGATAAACATGTAGCTGTTCAAACACTTTTCTGTCAGCTTATCATCAACAACAATCAAGACAAAAATAAAAATGACTGTTTCACTTTAATTATTAAAACAGAATCTACCATACTTGTCACGAACACAACAGCAGGGCTGGATGCAGAAGATACTTTTATGCTACCGACTGGATTACTTCAGTACCACCAAGTTCTGAAAAATTCTGTATTGTTCAATACCAATTTTCAATAGCACAGTAAGCCAGTAAGCAGGCTTATTCCAAAATCTAGACTGTTGATTGGCTGATAAACATATGAAAATTAACAAAAAGAGTATGTGTAATGTAATATTTTCTTCTAATGCTCTAGAGTCGTACAGTCACATGCAAACCTTTGCAAAGGTTTGAACACCCAAAAAAAGAGTTTACACATCCTCTATAGGGAAACAAATCCTCACTGTTGGAACAAAACTTCATATCTCCAAAATGGCAACTTTTCAGGAGAAGGAAAAAACTTTCTTAATTTTCAATGGAAGTTAAAGTAAAACAATTTTTTCAAGCAATTTTGGGCTATTGCTATTGACCCATTTATCATGAAATTTTAACACATTGTAGAGGGCAAAAAGAAAAAAAAAGACAAAAATGAAGATACATGGTTTTGTCCTGACAGCAAACGAAATGTAAAAAATGGTGTTTTTCAAATTTTAGCACATCTCCATAAAAGATGTGTTAATTATCTTCACCCAGAAAATCAACAAAGCATGGACTTTGACCAGGGGCACCTAAAAACCGATATGACTGTATGGGCACTGATATCAGCTTAGAAAAATTATGAGCAATACCCCGTCCTATGTGTCTGAGTATTCTATTGCATCCAGGCCTCTCGAATAATACCTACTGTTGTCTGTGTATTTTTTAAAATCTGTCTTCTGTGATATAAATAGGAGGGTATGAGTTACACTTGAGCAGCTGAACTACTTTTACTGTCAACCAAACAGCACAGGACAATTACACATCCTAACATGGCTTCTTTCTACCTCACTCTCTGCCCTTTATCTACTTCACTCTTTCCCTTTTTTTCTACTTCAGTCTCTGTTACTCATCCTCTCACAGTTCCCCCCAGAAATCCTGTACATAAGAACTAAACTACAAAAGAGGAGGAACTAAAACTGTATGGGGATTATTCGACAAATGAAACATACTCCTATAAAGTATATTACAAAAAAACCTGAATATGTTCACAAACACGAAAATACATCATTAAAAGTAAGCTTACATATGCAGATTGTGGCTGTGGCTGCAGACAGTATGGTATGGTGAATCATAATAGAGCAAAGAGGACAAATGGAGGCAGACTCACTTAACATGAGGATGTTAAAGGCACATAATGACACCTGTTCAGCTTTTCAGAGAAATATGTAATTAACACACCTACAAATCTGACAGAGAATTCTGGCAAATGTGACTCAGTCAACTCGGTGACGCCCAGAGCAATCAGATTCCCTCTGCACAGACCTTTAAATCTGATCACATCTCTTATTCATATATTCATATTTTCTCTACAATAATAACTTATACAATATTAGTAACGACAAAAAACGTAATTGTAGATGTTATATTCAATATTTCTGCAAACAGCAAGAAGCTATTAAATTATAAATAACATGATGCCATTATATATTTTCAAGAATTATTTTGTCAAGCTGTCCTTCTTCAAGATTTATTTAATCATCATTTTTCAAAAATGAGGCATTCTGGACATTGGCTATTATACTGTTATTGATTTTCTTTGATGTATTCATTTTATTGTTTTATTTCAGCATTTTTTGTACATAGTTTTTTTATCATCTTCAGTTCTGTTCATCACACTGAAGACATTTAAAATGCCTTTATTTGTTTTACAAATTTCTATTAAATTTCTACTGAAATCTATGAAATTGCACTGAACTAGCACATTGTTTTCATTTTATATAATTATCTCCAACCAAACTGGAACTGTGTGATGTAACACATTTTGTCTCAGCCTCTGTAACTTGTTTGTCTCCTTTTTCTCTCTGCTGTTTTTTTCTCCCCTACATCTCTCTCTCTTCTATCTGCTCGCTCTCTCCTTCTCCATCTCTCTTCTATCTGCACTTTTACCTATCTACTCTCTCACCTTTCCCTATCCTATTTGCTCTCTCCATCTCTTCCTCTCTCTCAATCTGTCTCCTATTCTCACTCTCTCTCTCCCCTTCATCTTTCTCTCCTCTCCCTCTGTGTCCTCTTTTCCTCTCTCACCCTCCATCTCTCTCTACCTCTTTTATCTGCTCTCTCTCCCCTCTTTCTCTCTTCTATCTGCTCTCGGTCTCCATCTCTTTTCTCTCTCTCCTATCTGCTCTCTGTGCTCTCTCTCCATCTCTCTTCTATCTGCACTTTCACCTGTCTACTCTTTCTCTCCCTTTTCTCTTTCCTATTTGCTCTCTCCCATTCTTTTTCTTTCCCTATCTCTCTCCATCTCTGTCTTTTTTTCCCACTCTCTTTCTCTTCCCACTCTCTCTCCCTCTATCTCTCTCTACTCTCCCTCTCTGTGCTTTCCTCTCTCCCCTCAATCTTTCTTTTATCTGCTCTCTCTCCCCTCCATCTCTCTTTCCTCTCTTCTGTCTGCACTTTCACCCATCTACTCTCTCTCCCCTTTCCCTCTTCCTTTTTGCTCTCTCCATCTCTCTTTCTCTTGCTCTATCTCGCTCCATCTCTGTCTCCTCTCTTCTCACTCTCACTGTGCTCTCTTCCTGTCTCACCCTCCATCTCTCTCAACCTCTATCTCTCTCCCTCTCTCCCTCTGTCTCTCTCCCTATCTGCCCTTTTCTCGAACCACAAGTACATGTCAGCACTGAATTATTTACTGACCAAGTTGGCTATGCTGGAGCTTTTCAAACATATGAAGGTAAGATAAAGGCTAAAGTTTTCAGGATTTCAGGTGTCACGTCTCATTTAAACAGCTGGGAGTTGTGTGACAGTGCTTGTCACTCGCAGTGAAGAGGAGACGCTGAGTGTGTGTGTGTGTCCCCACCACTGCTTCTCTACAGTAGGGCGGCGAGGGGCAAAGGGTAAAGACCCGTCAACCCACTGAGACATGCAGCACCATTAGAGTGGCAAGAATAAAAGGCTGATTCATTTCATAGGGCCACAGAGCCAGGCAAAGGGCAGCTTTTATTGCCTTTTACTCTAGGATACTGCCACTACTGCCTTAAAAATAACAGGCAATGCTGTAGGCAATTAACTGACTGGGTGCATTTTTTTCTTCTCGGAGCATCTTGCTGTTGGGTTATGCAAAGGTTAATTGAAAGAGCACCCTTGTAGAAGTACAGTCTTGTTAGTAGACATGGACTCAAGTAAGTAAAAATCATTCAAAATTTAATGATATGAACTTGCTTAATAAATCTAGCTTGTTTATCTAAGACCACATTTTCCGAAAGCAATATATATACACTTTGGAAAATTTTAAGACCTCTGGTCAAATTAAATTTTTTGTTGATTTTCTTTAATAAATTTTGGAAAAAATAACACATAACATATTAAATGTGCCGTAATCTTTGTACATGATACAGTTTACAGTGTATGCTGTTTACCAAAATGTTAAATACAGCAAATAACCAGTAATTGTGCATTGAAATGTGCACAAGTGTGTTCTCTGTAGAGGATACGTTAACTTATTTTACTAGTAAGTCAACAGTATATGTCATTTGACCAGGGGCTCACAAACTTACATATATTCACCAGCCATTTCATTAAGTACGCCTACCTTGTATCTACAAGCGTTGTCCATTTTATCAGCTACATTTAACATATAGGTGCACTTTATAGTTCTACAATTACAGACTGTGGTTCAGCTGTTTCTATGCAAAACTTGTTATTTCTTGTTTACACCTTTCATCAACGGTCAGAACCCCCACAGGTCCACCAATGAGCAGGTATTATTAGGGTGGTGGATCATTCTCAGCACTGCAGTAACACTGACATTGTGGTATGTTACTGAACGTTGTTGTTACAAATGGATCAGTGATGCTGGAGTTTTTAAACACTGTGTCCACCTGCTGTCCACTATATTAGCCACACCTACCTTGTTGTAGAGCTTGAAATATTTGTCTGACAAATGGGACTTGACTGCTCACCTAGGGTTTGGGTCATTTTCCCAATAAGTGTCAGACAGAGTTTACATTTTACCTCTCAGTCAGCCTGTGTCCCACTTTTAACATATGTGACCTTGCTTTTCCCCCACTTTGTTTTTACTCCTTACTTTGTTCTTCCTCCCTATTTTCATTCTTACAATATATTTAAATCTGGCATGCTTAAGTCAAACACTCATACTGTTGATGGAGTAGTACCAAGGAGAACAAGGCCCACACATGTGAGAAAATTGATGTGTGAGAAACAAAATTCACATTGATTAAGGAGAGTATTGTTTAGTGCAACCAAAAAGATTGTATATTGTTGGTTTATATATATATATATATCCAAGACTAAAGGGGGAAGGCAAATATCATGCTATATCAGCACAGCACAGCACATCGTGAAGGATGTTGTTTAAAAGCATTGCTTGATAAATATATTTGTTAAAGCAGAATTTAAAGCTAATTAAATTAATAAATTAACTTCGAAGTTCATTGTTTTTCATTACTTGATTTACGCGTTTTATTTATTATTATTGTCTGTGACTTAAAGATGGCTGTCGTTGTCACTACATGGCAATTTAACTGGTGCTGTCACTAAAAACATGAGGTTTTATTCAGCACCTTGGATGATGATGGTTTCAGACAGAATTTAGTTGGGCTTGGGTGAGTTTTGCTCCCAAAACTCGATAATGCAGTTTAGGTCAGATCAAACAGGAAATTCTTGGGCTTTGTTCAGACCAAAATTTCAGTCCTGATTAAAACTTTACCTTGTTTGTTCACCCTGTAGTAAAGTTAGAGATCAGACGATGCACTTATATCTTATTTGGACCTGATAAAATTGACAAATAGTGTAGATACAAGGTAAGTATAACTAATAAAGTGGCCAGGGAGTGTATATACTCTAGGCCAGAGGAGGGGGACTGTGGTCCTGGAGGGCCAGTGTCCAGCACAGTTTGATGATTTTCCTGCTCTTAACACATTCACTAAACCTGGCAATTACCTGCTGAATTGAATCAGGTGTGTTTGAGTAGGACAACCACTGCTGTGCAGGACTTCGGCCCTTTAGGACTGGAGTTTGCCACCCCTGCTCTAGGCAATCTGTTGCTAGCTCATACTTTTAAAATAGGTATATTTTTTATTAGCACACATAGATCTGTTACATCTTGTTAGACTGTGTTCATTTCTTTGTAGTTACAAATATTTGTACGAGAATTCAAATGTGGTTTGTTATTTGCACTCCTGTTTGTTTGCACCTCTGGGTTTGAGTGTTTTGAAAATGTAGACATGATTTTGACAGTTTAAGGGCTTAAGAGAAACTGCAAGAAATAGCAGATAGGGTAATCTTTACAATGGAGATAACGCTCCCCTCCACAAAGAATAATAATGCAATCTGACCTCAGTCCTGTCAGATAAAGGCAGAGGAAATGGTCACATTTAGAGACACTGTGGCCTGAGGAAGCAGATGGCAGGCTCGCTTCTAGAATTTTCTCACTTACCATAAGGAGGCCTTTGTAGGCATACACGATCCCCAGCCAAATGGTCATGTGCGTGTTCTCACAGTGCTCCAGGAAGGGCCGGATAGCAATGTCTCGCCCCTGAGGGTCCGCCTGTGGAGACACAGCAGGAAGACGGGCACAGTGAGGGGAGATAACACTCACAAAAATCACCATCACAAACAACAACAACAACAACATCCACAGGATATTGGCATTTCACGGGCAGAACCTACGGGCTTGTGGTCACTTTCTGTCTCTTCCACACCATAAAAAACAAGGTCTTTAGAGATGTGAAATACTAAAAGGTGCATTTGGGGTTACCAAACTATTGTATGAACAGAGTGAGTGAGTAAATAAGTAAGTAAGTAAATAAATAAATAAATAAATACCTACCTACCTTCCTATGTAGAGTACTGTGCCAACGTCAGAGATTATTGGACTGACTAGTCTGTAGTTGAGATAACTTGGATTGTGAGAAGCAAAAATGCAACGAGCTTCTAAGACTAAACTTTGGGGGTGTGAAAAAATATACCCCTGCAGACTTCTTTGAAAAACTAAAAGCGAGTCTCATGAAAAGAATAGAAACTGTAATAAAGGCAAAGGGTGGGCACACGAAATACTAAAAAAATGTTTTATTATATTTAGTTCCTGAGGCTTCAGTGTAGTTTTCTGTTATACATACACATTTTCTTGTTTTCTCTTTTCTAATGTTACAAAAATGAATACTCTGTGCTTAATGGCCATTTTATTAGCAATTAAATTCATAAGTGGTGGTCTCTGACTTTTGCACAGTACTGTACATACATACATACATATACGCATGGTAATGATACCATGAATAGTGATTCTTTAAATAACTTATTAAAATGAACACTGGAAGTTTATAAATCCTACTCTTTTGCCTTCTGATGAAATTCAAACATGCATGATGGTGGCTTAATTAAATGGTATTATGCCGGTGGTATTCATAGCTACATGTGACGCGCTTTCATTAAGCGTCTGGTTCAGACCTCTCACCTCCCACACCAGTGTCGCAGGTGATTGGGAGGATATGCAAGTACCTTTGGCAGCTCAGAATGCAACTCAGAACACTATGGAAACGGGTCATGTGATGCTCCCTGGGGAGACACCACTTGCTGGGCTTTCTGAAAGGCCGCACTAATAAGGCAATTGCCTCTGCAGGACGCCAGAGGAGTAATGCTGATAAACAATAAGACTTTATGGGTCAGAAATTGACTGCCTGACATATTTACAACCAAGTAATGCAAACGAGCCGGACTGCTATGTAAAACAGGTCAGTGTGGTGTTGCACGGCAATCCTGGATGAAGGAAGTGTATGAAGAAGAGAACTTATCTGGGTTTGCCTCTGTACACGGGGCCTAAAAGTAGCCAGGCTCTAACCCACTTTTTCCTGCCCCACTTTGGAAAACCTTCATCATGCCATGGGTGCAGCCCATCCTTAAAGATGCACCAAGTCACAAACACACAGTGACACTCTTCTGCTCAGCTGATTCTTCTCGGTTTAGGCATGGTGTGCAGAGGCCAGCCTTTTATCTGCCCCTTGTCTAAGCACATCTGAGCTAGAGAAGGTTTGTGTCCTGGACTCCAGTGTTTAGAAGTTGACTTCGCAAAGTGGCTGAGGGAGTGAAGTAGGGCAACACAAGCAGCACTATTTATATATGAGACAGCTCCTGAGAGTGCATATGGTGCAAAACCTCTGCAAAAAAATCCTACATATCAAACTCAGTGGACAGGTAGTTGCTAGAGTTTGTTCTGTTGTTCACTGTCAGACATGGACACATTTTTAGGTCCCCAAAAAGAGAATGTATGGTCTCCCTAGTTTTACATCAGAAGGGCCTTTTAAGTCGTTGACATCTAGAACACAAGTTACTGTCCCGTGACCCTCAAAACTGGTTTATTTCAATAATTAATAAATAAGATCAAGAAGCACACATACTTTCGCAGTAAGGTAATAAGAATGAATTTTACACAATTTTTCATACTGCATCAACTACAGACGAGCACACTGCTGTGTGCCACTGGGACTCTATCAGTGGACTAACACTCTACCTCTCCACTCTATCCAGGCTCTAGGATGTAGACAGTTCAGCTGAAATGAGTAACAGTGAAATGCGAACAATTCCCCTCTGCCATTCCCCCCAAAATTATACACTTACGTAAAATCGGCAAAATAACAAAACCAAAACAAGGCCTCAACCCTCATCATGTCAAGCCTCTCCTTTAGACGGACAAGCTGTGTGAGAGTTGCCAGGCAACTGCCAACGGGCCAAGCAGTATTGCTGCTCATTGGTTGCTGCTGTCATTTATCAGCGCATTAGGCCTCTAATGTAATTGTTCATCAAAGACTGGAAAGGGCGTGTGACTGACTGGGTGTCTACAGAGACAGAGAGGCAGGGGGACATGGCCAGGCGAGCATAGACTCCCACAGAGAGAGAGAGAAAGAAAGAGAGAGAGACAGAGAGGAAGGGGAACATGGGCAGCTGAGCTAAGACTCCCTCAGAGAAAAGAGAGAGAGAGAGAGAGAGACAGAAAGAGAGGCAGGGGGACATGGGCAGTCGTGCATAGACTCCCTCAGATGAAGAGAGACACAGAGAGAGAGAGAGACAAAGAGACAGAGGTAGACAGACACAGAAAGAGAGAGGCAGGGGAAAGGGGCAGTCAGACTTCAGAGAGAGATAGAGAGAGAGAGAGAGAGAGAGAGAGAGACCCTCAGAGAGAGAGACCCTCAGAGAGAAAGAGAGAGGCAGGGGCACATGGGCACAGACTCCTTTAGACGAAGAGAGACAGACTCTGAGAGAGACAGACAGACAGACAGACAAACAGATAGACAGACAGGCAGACAGGCAGACACATAGGGAGAGACAGAGAGAAAGAGAGAGAGAGAGAGAGAAAGAGAGAGAGAGAAAGAGAGCAAGTTTACTTATGAGAGTTGGAACAGTTGAAGGAACAGAGTGATGGAGCCTTAGCAGAGGAAATGGAGTGTTCACTCACTGTCAACTGAAACAGCCTCATGTGAGGAGCAAGGGAGAATGAGATTGGTGAGGAGCAAGGGAGAATGAGAGAGAAAGAGAGATAGAGTGAGAGAGACAGAGAGAAAGTTAGAGAGAGAGTCATCAGCCCACTTGACAACAGCATTTCATCACCCACAGCCATGATATCAGGGGGAACAAGGGAACATTCCCCAGACCTCCACAAATGTTGACCTGTGCTTCTGACAACCATCTGAGGCTACACCACAGTGAAAACTGCACAAACTTGAGGACGGGAACAGTCCCTCATGTTTGTTGTGGCCAGTAAAGGTCCTGTGGGTTGACGTATTTGACCCATAACAAACATTCTTCTTATAACATCTCCCTCAAGTTTTGAAGGCTTTGAAACAGGAAGCCACTGCAGCGTCACTAAGAGAACAAGGCACCCTCAGTATGGCTAGGGCAGTGACTTAATATGTGCAATGGAGAGTGGTTAGTGTCATATGGCTGGTTCTCCCAATCTGAGCACAGAAAGGCTAGAAGGAAGAGAAGACTGCTTAGTGTCAATCAAGCAGGATTTTGTGTAATTCAGCAGCTGTCTGTGGAGCCATGAGAATTGTTTTTGAAGTGTATGATAAAATGCCCTTAAAACAACAATCCCACATTGAGACATCTGTGACTGCTCAGGGAAACCCATGCATGCTCTTACACAGCACAGAAATCCAGATACAACCTTAATTTATCTCACTGGATGTGCCAACAGGAAATTGTTATGAAATGGTTATGAATATACTGCCTGATGCCTGAAACACTGTCTTACAATAATTTTGAGAAATAGTTCCTTCTTTGGGTTAAAATGTACTTTAAAATCCATTCTTGGCAGAAAGGTACATGTAGGGTGTTGTAAGGCAAAATAGTCCCCAAAAGAAGCTCTTATTTTCAGATTTATTACAATTTTACCATTATCAACATCACACATAATAACAATAATATGTTATAATAATAATAATGATGATGTGTAGATTCACTGGTGGTTTTCTATAGTAAATAAGATGGCTTCACTTTTGTTGTAGACAATGTGACTTCGGGTTCCTATCACCAGCATTGTAAAGAAATGTAAAGAGTCAGTACGTTTCTCTACAGTTAAACCTTTCACATCAAACCCCTCAGAATTACTTTGTTTACATCTGAATGATTGAACTGTGTGGAAATTTTCAAAAATCAGTGGAATCCCCCTTTTAAACCTATAGCTTTTCCACTGGCAGAATGGAAACCAACATTTTTAAAATCAAATAAAATTTTGTAACTGTAACTCTGTTTTCAACAATAGTTTTTTTTAACAGTGACACTGTTGGCTTTCAGTGCGTGAAAGATTGTGGTTCCATGTTGAGCTGCTAGCTACCAATGACAGGTGAATGGAAAGGGGTGAAAACAACTCATATCTCTTCACAGAGACAGCCATGCTAAGATAAAACAGACAGCTCAACTGCAACTTTCTTGATTCCAGAAATTGTGTACAACTGCCCCAATACACAAAACAGCATGTAAATACAATAAAAAAAAATACTATAAATGTTGACTTGCTTGCTCACACACAAAGACAAAAATCCATTTTTGTGGACAACATATTACAATATATGTTCATCAACTTCAAGTTCAACAAAGGGACTTCCAATACAGGCAGAAACTGCATTTTTGGCTAGTGTGATAAAGTTTAAAGGGGTAAAAAGGGTCTATTTACTGGACCAGTGGGTCCACAATTCCAGTTTCTCAGGCTTAATTGTGTAACTTACGTATTAGTTCCATAGTAGCTACCAACTAGCAGTTGCTGAATAAAAGGTCTTAAGATTCATAACTGAATAATAAGCCTAGGCGTTTGACATTTTACATTGTGTCAAAGTATTTAATCGTCAACCCATATAAACTCAGGTAAGCTCAGCTAAACTTATTTTGATTGTGGTACATAAAGAAACACACATTCATCAACTTCTGTTTTCCGGTCCATGCCCAAACCTGACTGAAAGACATTTTTACATAGCTACTTTTGAGCTCACAGCATGTGCCTGGGTGACCACTCCTGCCAGTCCAACCAGGGCGAGTGGCCGAGAGCCGGTGTGGCCT